GAAGGACTGATTTGAAGCTCAAACTCCAATACTTTGGCCACCTGATGTGAAGAACTGACTCATTGGAAAAGACCCTGATGCTGGGAAAGATTGAAGGCAGGACGAGAAGGGGACGACATAGGATGAGATGGTTGGATGGCATCACCAACTCAATGGACATGAGGTTGGGTAAACTCTGGAAGTTCGTGATGGACAGGGAAGCCTGGTGTGCTGCAGTCCATGGGGTCACAAAGAATCAGACATGACTGAGGGACTGAACTGAACTGACCAACTATAAACAACAACAAAAACAATTAGCAAATGGGAAAATCTAAGAAAACAGAGGTATAGCAATGCTCTTACAATGATAAAGTTTTAACAAAACAATTAAAATGTTTTCCTCAATTTTCCCCCATACTCACTAAAACACAGTTATTCACTAATCTCCATCACAAAATTCTGCTAATACCCTCAGGAGTATTGTCTACTTCTTATCAGGAAAAATGTCAAGGAAACAGAACATTATTTTTCCAAGTGAAATGGTGAAACGTTTATCATTGACTCAATCACCTAATATATATTCTCACTGCATTCAAGTCTAAGGAAAAAGCTGACCAATAGTATGAAAGTAAGGTTCAGCAGTAATCAAATCTTCCTTTATAGTATCTAATGTGCTGTATAAACACAACATTAATTTCTACAGGAAACCATACACGCAACTTCCCTTTTTTCATACTGATTTAAATATCCAATTATACTTAGTATGGTGAGTAAAGCAATCATCCTTCACACCATATTGAGTTAGTAACAATTTAATTCAAATAAGTAGAAAAATGTAATTAAAAGCAAATGACATTCAGTGTGCATATTTAGTAAGTTATGAGAAAGGAGGTAACACTGAAAACAGGAATAGAATTAAAAGGAAAAAATTAAAATATTTAAGACAAATATTCCAACTCATTTAGTAAGGTTTAAAAGACTGGATCTCTCAGCTGCCCTTTCTCTCTCTCTCTCTCAATATTTTAGCTTACTATAGAAAAAAGGTCTAGGAAATAGGAGGAAATAAAAAATAATCATCAATTTGTAGGTGTTTTTTAAAAAATCTTATCATTTTGAAAAAAAATTACCACCACTTACTGAGTATCACTGGGCCAAGGACTGTGCTAAGACCTTTAAACACATTTTATCTCATTTAAAACAAGAGAACAAAAACAGAGTACAAATTTTAATAAAAACAAAAAAGTGAGAAAATGAACTTATCTAAAAAACAGTAAATTATAAAGAATACATGAATCAGATGTCCAAACACTAAACAGTCAAACACTACAGATTTAAGATTAGGACAATGGTCTAGAAAAAGTTCCTCAAATTCATTTTTTAATTTTTATTTTAAAAAAATTTCCCCTCAACTTTATGTGTAAAAAAGCTGCATATTAAAGTGGTATCTGACAAAACTACACATCATAAAGTAAATTTCTAATAAAAACACATATTCCATCTATTTCTCCCCTTTCAAAAAGGAACAACAGATAAAATACAACACACCTACAGCACACCCTCCTCCCAGTGACTCTCCTCCAGGACTAGAAAGTCAATGTTTAGTAACGAACAAATCCTAAGAATGAAAATTTAAATCTGAAACATAAAGAATATTACCACATCTAACTAAAATATATCAATACACTAAAATAGAGCACCAGAAGCTATCCTTCATTATGGCAAATAATATTAGCGAAATACATTAAACACCAATTTAAAATTCTCTATTTACTCATGAGGTATATCTTCATTTTCAAACTAGGTGTATTAAGTAAAAGAAATGCAAACATAGTATTTTGATTCACTTTTAACTGGAAAAATGTCAAAGTTAACACTGTCCTCATATTTAAAAAAAAAAGCTAAAGACTCTAGAATCTTAAATTTTCTTTAATGGAAAAAAATCTCAAAATACCTTGGTAAGCAATAAACTTAAGTCAGTCACAATATCAAGTATCAAATCATCTAATTTGTATTTTACAAGCTTGCTAAGGATATTCACTAAATTCAGCTTCTTGCCTTGTCCTCAGTCTCCATCCACTATCCTCTCCACCTCCAAATATTTTTCAAGATCTTCTGTATGGAAATTTAGATATGACACAAGTACTCTTAAAGCCTTTAGAGAGAGGGAAAACCTGGAACCCAAAATGACCGAAAGCTGCCGTCTTACGGTATTGACCAATAAAAGTCAAAGAACTAAGACAAGTCTCATAAACTTCCCTTGCCATTAAAAAAAAAGAAAAAAACAACTGACTCAAAACTTAAGCGGTACTTTTTCATTAATTGAACAAATACTGGTGCCTACTATGTTAAAGGCACCTTGCTAGGCATCTGTAAATAAGATACTGATACTATCCCTGCCCTTGTGGAATGCTCCACTCCACTGAGAAAGAGAACTCAGACACAAGTAAACTCACTGACATGACCAAATACTGATCTGAATTCTAGTAAGCAGTTTTACTATCATGGCCCACCTTACTGCATATTATCATCCTAAAAACATGTTAGTTAATCCACTTAGTCTTCAAACTACACACTCTTAATTATGCTTAATAAAATGAAAACTAATTTTGTACTTCCCTGGTGCTCCAGTGACTAAGACCGCACTCCCAATGAAGGGGCCTAAGTTCGATCCTGAGTTAGAGCTAGAATCCCACATGCGTCAACTAACACGCAGCACAGCCTAATAAATAAATAAATTTTTAAAAGAAAATTAATATGACAGATAACTTTGAAACCTTAATTCTGAACATTTAACACATCATTTTCAAAACAATTTAAAAATTAGCTAGTAGGTGATCATAGCAGCACTACTTACAACTGCCAAAAGGTAGAAAAAACTCATGTCCATCAATGGATGAACAGATAAAGAAATCGGAGTAAATGTATGATAGAATATAATTCAGTCATAAAAAGGAACAAAATACTGCTATGTTCTATAGCATGGATGAACCACAAAAACACTGCACTAAGTGAAAGCCAGACACTAAAGGTCATATATGTATGATTCCATTTATATGAAATATCCAGAATAGATAAATCCACAGAGACAGATCCCAGACTAGAGACTGGGCTGCCAGGGACTGGGAGGGGGCAAGGGAGAAAGAAGAGCAACTGCTTAATGGGTTTGGGGTTTCCTTTTAGGGTGATGAAAATGTTTTGAAACTACATTGTGGTTGCACAATGCTGTGAATGCACTAAATGCCACTGAATCATTCAATTAAAAATGGTTTGTGTCATGTGTACTTTATCCTAAGTTTTTAAAACTTAAAAAAATAGCTACTACTTTAAAATGGACCTTTTGTCACAAATAAAACTGCTCAAGTTTAACTTTGGGAAAACCAGTTATAAATCAAGTTTCAAATCTTAACTTCTTCGAGATTCATTTTGATTTTGACCCATATCAAAATGTTTTTTAGAGGACTTATGGCAAAAATCATTCCTTAAAAAGCTGTTTTCATAGCTTGTAAATGTTACTTAATGTTTGAGATGTACATTCAATTCCAACTACATGATGATTCTTCTTTATTACATGTTTGGCTAACATCTTTATGGATCATGTTTGGTATATAATGTTCTCAATCAAGTTTGTGTCCAATAAAAGATTGCTGACATCATCAACTGTTTATCTTCTTTATAATGAAAATACTCACTCAAACGATGTATTTTTTTGTTAAACCCCAATAATCTAAGTACAATTCAATGCAACCCTCTCCACAAAAGCCACTTTTCCCGTTTCTATCTCTACCATAAGCTGCACCACCATTCAGTCAGCCTAGTAGCACAGTTATTTGGGTTACGTGCCTCCATCCCATTTCCCAAGTTCCTTGAGGGGCCTCTCAATTCTTTCTGCGCCCATCATAACACTACCAAACACCACCCTAAGCATAACAGGTGCTCAAACGATGTCAATGGGATTGAAAAAGACATCTAACATTTAAAAAGCTAATAGAACTGATAATACAGTACAAATACTTTGCAGAGAATTTTTATATAATACGTTCTGATATGTTTTTCAGTGCAAGCCTACAGAGCAGTCTGTTGAACATCGATATGAACATGAAGTAATTCACCTAACACCGGAAAGAATAAAGGGGGATTAGTCTTATCCATCTCCCTTTTGAAGTTCGCTTGCATAAGTAATAGGGAAACTGAACTTAATGAACCACAGTATTCCAAACCAGGTCACAGGAGAGTTCTAAGTCCCCAGCCATCCTGTTTCTATTTCCTGATTGGTCTGACCTCCAAGCATTATGGTGCTCAGCCTTTCACGATCTCCTTTAAACTCAATACAGGATCTCCTTCAAAACATCTTCCGAGGTGAGCTTTTTCTGAAAATAAAAACTGACTTCCAGAACTTTCTAGGAGAATTTCGGACAAGGCACCCCACTTTTCAAAATGTTCCGAAACACTTTGCTGCAAAAAAAAATAGAAATCTATTTTTCAGAAAAGTCCCGTTATAGTTAACACTTGTAATTAAATGTGAGCCATTAACTTGCACAAGTGGAAATTTAACACTACAGCATTACTCTCGTAGCGAAGTATATTTAAATAGACATGTGCACGAATTTTAGAGAGCTCCTGCACTTCCAGAATGCGTATCTTTCAAATGGAGATTGTTTTTAACACCTACAATAGATGAAAAACCAAGCCTGCTTACACTTCACAGGGACATTTCCTCCACACCACGCTGGCAAAGCAGCGACAACCAGACGCCACCTGGGCAGCGACCCCGACCCTCGGCCTCCAAACCCCCGGAGTCCAGGTCCCCACTAGTTTGCTTCCAGCCAAGACCGCAGGCACTTCCAAGTCGCTGCGACTCACATGCCTCCTCAGCGGTTTAAATCCGCTCTTTACTCACCACACACACCCACACACATACACAACGTTACCAGACTCGGGACGACCAAGGGACCAGGGAGGGGGAGAGCTCGTGCGAGGGAGAAAAGCTGACGCTCCTCATTCCCGCCCCGCCCGGCACCCACCTGCAGGCCGCGAGCCCGGGGGCGGCGGCGCCGGCGCCCCGTCCTCGCCAAAGACGAGTTTAAAGTCGAGCTCGTCGTGGGCGCCACAGTTTGCAGTAGTCATCGGCGTGGCCCGGGGTGCTGCGGCTCCTCCTCAGGCGGCTGCGGCGGCGGCGGCGGCTCCTCAGCGCCGCTTCATGCCGGGCCGCGCCGGCCAGGAGTTCGCGGCTCCGCAGCAAACTTTCCGGGCGGGGACCGCGACTCCGAGCGTTCAGTTCCGAACTCGAAAACTGGCCGCGCGCCGAGCCGCACCACGAGCCGCCGCCACTGGCAGTCGTCGGTGCCCAAGCTGCCACGGTCGCCTTAGACGATATTCCCCGCCCCCCAACAGCCGCTGCCACCGGCGCGCTCCCGCGCCGTAACGCGCGCCAGGCCCCGCCCCCTACCGCGCGCCCGCCTGACCCGGCAGCCCATAGGCCACTGGCGCCGCGGGCTAGCCCGACGGCCCCGCCCTCTCAACCGGCCTACCGCGTGACTCCCTCTCCTGGAGAAGGAAGCCATGTGATCATGGAGAGTTGGGTAGCTCTGGTACCTCTCGGGAGTTGTAGTTTGGCCTCTACTCCATCACCTCCTAAACCAGGACCCGGTACCAGAGCGTGGGGTCGGTCTAGGCCCTCTAATTAGATTGAGAGGCCCACTACCGGCCAATCAGAGATCCCCTTCCTTCTTGGGTGGATCCCTAGCTGGGGAAGGGGCGCTAAGAGCCTTGGGGTTAAGGGTGCGGTGGCTGGCGGCTGCAGAGTTACTTCTGCTCGCTGAGTTTTGGGAAGGAAACAGCGCTCGGTAGGGTTATGTGGCTATCACTCATACCCTCATCTCTTCACCCCCACCTTAATGGCGGAGTCTCCAGAGGGCGGGGACTGGGTTGGGCTTCCAGCTGAGCTAGAGCGGAGCGGGAGAAGACCTGGGTTGCGCGACGATCCTCAAGCCTGAGTTACCCGTCGCTGCAGACCCACCCCTGCGGGGCGGAGCCCGCGCTTCGCCGACTGAGCCTTTGTCTACCCCGGCCAGCCCGCCTAGCAGCTGCTTTCTCGAGGACAGCCGGCGCATTCGAGACCTTGGCAAAGTCCTAGGAGCAGGGTCTGTCCCCTGCTGTAAGTCAGGCTAACTGAACGGGAAAGCCCATCGTGAACTCACGCCACTGTAAGGGCTCTGTGACCTCTGCATCCCGATGCACATCCATTAAAGCGGGAGAAACTGTACCACCCAAACTGAGTGGCTGTTAGTGGGAAGGAAGTGACACTGTATCAACAGTTTTCAAACTCTCGGCCCCTCCCCAGCGGGCCAGTCTTCCCCCGAGACAAGCTAACATGCCTCCTCCTGGAGCCTGGGGTGGAGGCTGTGCCCAGGGACGCTGAGCCTGGCTTGTTTACTTAGGACTCCTGCAAGGCACAGGGTGAACCAAGATCTGGGAGAGGTGACAGTGACCAACTCTCCTAGTTCCAGGCCCTGAAGGGCATAGCCTCCCTAGAAGTGTGTTGCCAGAACTAGAGTCTCAGGCAGGTGCAAGAGCCCAGCTATATTCTACACTGTCCACAAAAAAATCCCTGGCTGGAGACCTGAGAATCCCTTTGACTGGAAGGAGATCAAACCAGTCAATCCTAAAGGAAATCAGTTCTGAATATTCATTGGAAGGACTGAAGCTGAAGCTCCAATACTTTGGCCACTTGATGCGAAGAACTGACTCACTGGAAAAGATTGGAAGGCAGATGGGGATAACAGAGGATGAGATAGTTGGATGGCATCACCAACTCGATGGACATGAGTTTGAGGACGCTCCGGGAGTTGGTGATGGACAGGGAAGCCTGGGGTGTTGCAGTCCATTGGGTTGCAAAGAGTCAGGCATGAGTGACTGAACTGAACTGAAGAGGGCAAGGGGGAGCACCCTTAAGAAATGTCTCAGTATGTGGACTGACAACGTGAGCTACCAGGGAATCCCAGGGAGAGCCCAACTAAGTCTAGGGTCAGCAAGACAGAGCACTTCCAGACCAGTGAGATGTCTATTTTGGATTGGTTCATCCCTGAGGTCAGAAAACTTTTCCTGCCCTATGCTCTGTACCCATACCTGTGCTGGACCTGGGGAGGCAGAGATAAATTAATCTCCCTTCAGGCATCAGGGAGAGGCCAGCAAATCTAATAATCACTGTGCAAAGAGATTTTGGCTGTGCCAAGAACTCAGAGGAAACTCATAATCACCCTGGATGCAGGGCTAAGTAGGAACTGGAGAGATGGGCAAGATGGTTCCAGGCAGAGAACAGATTTCCAAAGACTTGGAAACCAGAGAGTACATGCAGTGAATAAAAGCCAAAAATAAGGCCCGATGAATGGGGAAGAGTGGTGCATGCCACTGTGAGCTTTCTGGACTTTATCCTGAGTGCAGGAGGGAACCACGAAAGGGTTTAGAGCAGGAGATTTCCATTTCAGAATCCTGAATGAATCTCTGGCTTGGAGTGGAGGAGGGAAAGATTCAAGGCAGAAGACAACCGTAGTCAAGGAGAGGGAACAAATAGCATTAAGTGGGTGAAAGAGCCTTCCAATAAGCAGTCCTGCCTTCAGAGGAACTCCAACCTTGAGGGCATAAGTATGGAATTTAGAGTCCAGACATCACACTAACTGCAGCCTTCTGCCCCAGGCAGATGTTTGGTCTGCCAATTAGTATTACATGTAACACGACCCTTAGTATACTAAAAGACCCCAGAAGTTTAGCCGGCTCACCTCTTCCTCATCATAAAATGATGTAATCTCAGGATGTGTCACCCCTACCACCCCCCCCCCCCACACACACACATATACACCAATACCTCCCAGGTTATCATCTAGATGGAGAAAATGAACCTTTATCTAACCCCTCTGCCCTCCACACATGACTTTATCTGAACCAGGGGCTCAGCTGGTCAGGCCACGGAGAAGACAGGAGGGAGATCATGGGCCCACCAGCCCCACTACTGGGCAGGGACCAGAGAAGCTATAGACGGTTGCAGAAATTCACCCATTCATCAAATGTTCAGCGATGCGTGTGTTCCCAGCCATTGTGCACCTGGAGAACACTTTAAAGGGCTCATGTCTTGGGGAAGGTTTCTTCTATGAAGGAGACTGAGAATCCTAACCTGGGGTGTGATGAGGGCTGGGGCAGAAGTGAGCATCAACTGCAAGAAGTGTTAGCACCTTTGGAAGAAAGGCGTCAATGGTTGAGAACCCTGCAGGCTGTGAGGAATCAACACACATCAATACACAAATTCTAAAAAAAAAAAATACACAAATTCTCTCTACCCCTTTTCCTTACCCTGGGCCAGGACTCAGGTCAGCTCCCAAAGCTCTTTTAGATGACAGGTGGCCATCTGACCCACCTCCAGCCTCCTGAGAGCACTGTGCAACCAGGAGGCCCAGGGACCCAGTGCAATAGACAGAACCCCCAACTGGGCCAGGTTCATGGACAGGGATAGTGTGGGTCCCTTCTCCCTCCTGTGTGTATACCAGTCAGGGCCTGAGATGAGGGAAACCATCCCTTTTGTCAGCTGCCACATGCTTGGCCCTGAGCCCTCATCATTGAAGGCTCTCCTGTGGCCTCTGAGTGACGGTACAGCTTAGCTCAGTCCAGCCCACCTTTTTCCACATTAGGGACAACAGGAGCCTTGGAGAAAAGTCAGAGTTTAGAAAAGTTCTTCCTCTCCATGGCACACATTCCCCACCCGCCACCCCCACCACAAGCTCTTGTTTGACTTTTCCTCTGTGCCTGCTCCCCACCCCCACGCCCAGGCTGGCCAGAGGGGCACAAGGACTGCCCTTGAGCAGCTCCCAATCTGGCGGAGGGGATATGACCAGCCAACTACAATCAAGAAAAGTTAGTTGCTGAAGTCAGCACAGGGTGCTGAGAAGACAGGGTCAGCACTTTGTCCTCAAGCGCTAGGCTGTGGAGTTTGGACTTAATCCAGAGGGCAGTGGACAGCCCTGGAGGAGTTTCTGAGTGGGAGTGACACCTGGAAGGACTGAGTGTGCAGAACGGCAGGGGCAAGAGATTCCCCACCAATCACTGCATCCAGTCCAGTCTGTTTGCTGTAGCCTTCAGAAGACCTGCCCCCCTCTTCTTCTCGTGCTCATATTAAAACCATGTGTGGGACTTCCCTGGTGGTCCAGTGGTTAAGATTTCACCTTCCAGTGCCGGGGGTTCGAGTTAGATCCTTGATCAGGGAGCTAAGATCCCACATGCCTCACGCCAAAAAAACAATATAAAATAACAAACAAACAGAAACAATGCTGTAACAAATTCAATAAAGACTTTAAAAATGGTCCACATTAAAAAAAAAATGGTCCACATCGAAAAAAAAATCTTAAAAAAAAAAGTGTCCCCAAAATATGATGCGTTAAGAGGAAGTCCTCAATCGAGGTGGCTGGAATGGATGGATAAGTGTGGTGTCCACTAGATTAGAGAGGGGTTTGGGTATCTGAGTGGCCTGAGTTTACGGTGAGCATGGTGAGCACAGTGGCAGCTTTCAGATCTGACTGGGCCCTCCTAGTTGGTCTCAGGTCTTAGGCCTCTCTGAGGTAAGGGCAGGCATCCCTGAGGAGTGCTAAAGTGAGACCATTTGAGGGCCAACATATTCAACCAGAATTCTGCTAGACATCCTCAGTCAACGAACACACACTAGCCCCCCATACTTGCTCCCCTGTGACTCACCCTCTCCCCAACACTTTTCCTGGCCCCTGAAAGTCCCCACACTCTAACCTCTATCTCAGCAGCTGACCTCTACCCCTGCCTTTCCTCGCCCATAGCCCAGAAAGACCTGACCACTCTAGAGCAGAGCCCCACCCCACCCCCCACCCCCCACCCCCCAGGAAAACCACACTGATGGAAGAAGAGGTCTGAGGACAGAGGCCAACCCCACCAGGTAAGTGGATCTCTGGACTCAGTACCTGGCCCACCAGGGTCCTCCCACAAGCTCTGACAAGTTCAGGATGCCTGGAGGGTCGATCCACTGGGACCTGGCTTTGCTGTTCCAGTTGGGTATGAGGAAAAGCAAAGGGGGCATTTTGACTGAATATGTTTTTTGCAAGAAAAATCAGAAATTATGCCTAAAGTTGGATGACTGAGACTGAACCAAGCCTCAGTCTGTCTCCTGGGTGGGGCCCCTTCTCTGGAGTCTCTGGCCTGGGAAGTTAGGGCATACATAGAGTGACCCCATTAGCTGCACAGTGCCAGGTGAGACTATTTATCTGCTGGCGTCAGGCAGTATAAGAGCTGATCCCACTCAGAGAAGGGCTCTTGGGCTCAGCAAGGACTAGAAGTGACTCGCCCAAGGTCAAAGAGTGACGGGCTCCTGGAGGCCCTGGTTTTGTGGTATCCTTATCTGCAAACAGGAGAGCAAGTGTGGGTGCAGGGAGGGGCCGCTCCAGGATTGAGGCAGGGGCCTCACACACCCAACCCTTGACCTAGGTCCTCAGAGCCAGGAGTACAGACTGGAGATGAGAACTAGAAGTGACTCGCCCAAGGTCAAAGAGTGATGGGCTCCTAGAGGCCCTGGTTTTGTGGTATTCTTATCTGCAAACAGAAGAGCAAGTGTGGGTGATGGGAGGGGCCGCTCCAGGATTGAGGCAGGGGCCTCACAAGCCCAACCCTTGACTCAGGTCCTCAGAGCCAGGAGTACAGACTGGAGATGAGAGGAACAAGGCCTTGACCCAGAGGGGAATCCCCCCTCCATACAGAGTTCTGAAAGGAGGAGGAGAAGCCGCGTGTTTACAGCGGAGGAAGCGGGGGCGGTGCTGGGCAGAGACCTTTGGTCAGAAGGCCCCTCCCAGTTAAGTGGGGGAGGCCCCACAAGATGTGGTAGCCGTTTGTTTGCTTCTCACTGCCAGGAGGAAATTAAAGAGAATCTGCCACTTCCTTCCGGCCCAATGGGATGGGACGGTGGGGGCGGAAGGCAGGGGAGCAGTGGCGTGGGCAGGCAATCACAAAGGCCCCAAATTGCTGTCATCAGCAGTCTCCAGTGTCCTCTGCCCAGAGTGGGGGCCTCATAGGTCTGAACTCCAGCTAGGTGGGGTGGGTCAGACTGAGCACCCCCCACCCTGCCACTCACCTGACCTGGTCCCTTACTAGGGTGCCAGATACCCTAACAGTTCCCCCAGATTCCATATTATCTCTCATCAGGAAAGCCAACTGATAGCCAGTGCCTCAGGTTTAGCATCTGCAGAATGGGCTTCTTGGGCTTTCCTGGCTCAACTTGAGTCCAGGAGTCCAGTGAGCATTAAAGGTGATACCCCATCCCCCACCTCTATCTAGGATGGGTAGGAGAAATGCTTCAGGAAGCCCCAGTTCTGCCCAGAGGCTGGAAGCAGACTAATGCCAAGACATCCATCCATGGGTAAAGAGCCAGGCTGAAGCAGCCAGCTGGGGGTAAGGGTGGTGGGTGTCTTTATTGCACTGTACCAATGTCAGGTTGGGGAGGTTCCACCTGAGAGCTCCTGTTTTCAAAGAAAATACTGAGGTCGCTGGGAACTTAGCTCTGCTGCTCAGACCCACTGAGGGAGATGGGACACTCTGGGCACCCCTCGGCCCATGCTCCAGGCTGCTGGCCCAAGCCAGAACCTCTCAATTCCTGTCCAGCAGGGGCAGAAAATTGTCCAATGGCATCTGGCTGATGCTGTGCACCCACAGCCATCCTAGGGCCAGGCCCAGGCCCAGGGAGAGGCTGACCAGGGAGGGACAGTGGTTACCAGCCTTCCAGGGGGCTCTCTTGACCACTTGCCAAGGCTACAAAAGGCTTCTTGCACAGCTCCCCAGGCATGGCTGGCTCCTGAGTTCTGGGATCCCCAGGGTCTTGGTCAAGGGCCTCCCGCTTGCGCTTGTGCAAGGAGGGGCTCTCCTCACCCAGCCGACCCTCTGGGAGGCCCTGGCTCCGCAGACAGACGATGGCTGCAGCCTGTTCCGCCAGTTTCTTGGACTTGTCCCTGGGTAGATGAGGTATGGGGCAATAAGGCAGGGAGATAGGTAAACTGGTTACAGGCTGAGAGGCTGAGAGGCTTGACTCTATACACCCTTGGCAGAGATTCTGACAAAACTGGGGAAGGGGTCATCACCCAGGGATACCACTATCTAGGTACACTGGCCCCCCTAACCCTCCCAGGCCAATGCGAGGATCAGGCCCTGCCGCCAAGCCTCATGCCCACTGATGAGAAAACTCACCACAAGGTAGACTGGTACTTTTGTTCAGCGACAGTGACAACAGAACAGAAGAGGCGATCCAGGGGGCGCTGGACCTGGTAGAGAGAGAGCAAAGGAAACAGGGACAGCTACAGGAGAGCCAGAGGCCCTGGAGGCCCACCTACCAGGGTCACGACAAAGGCAGAGAAATGGAAGTACTTTCACCTAAGTCACACAAAGGCTACCTCTATCACATGCTCCTCCCCTGAAGGGCCTGTATGCCTCTTCCAGGGAAGAAAGGCAAATAATACAGTCAGCGACACCCCAGTGTGTCAGGAGTTCTGTCATGGACCTAAGCGAAAGGCCATCACAGCCCTCAGCTGGGCGTGACTGGAGCGTCCTCCCGCTGACATCTGGACGGGCCAGGTCCCCTCAGGGGGGAGGAGCTCACCGGACGGCAAAGGGGTGAAAGGGGACAAGGACGGAGCACAGAAAGTACATCAGGCAAGGCGGCCAGGATGAGTGTGGGTGGGGAGCTGAGTGGGTGGGACCTGAAGTGGAAAGACACGTGCGGGGCTTGTGCTCTGTGCTGAGGTGGGAGGGCTGGATCCCAAAGGTGCTGGGAAGCTGATGAGGATGGGAGCAGGGAGACAGAGTCAGATTCATTTTGGAAGAGTCACTGTGGCAGAGGGGAACACCAGGCCCAGAAGATACAAGCTTGGAGGTCCACAGGCCAGTTCAGAAGAGACAGAGCAACCTAAACAGGCACGGCCATGGGAACCAAAGGAAGTGAAGCAGACTACCTCAAAGTTTCCACTGAGGAGCCCAGATGTGGGGGGCCCAATTCTGTGCCCCACTGGCTGAGGCCTGGTCCAGAAACCCGTCAGTCTAACTTTTAGGTTGGATCATCCTTCCTAAGCCAGTCAGCCCTTTCCAGAGATGAGACCCCTGCCCAGGCAATGCCACCAGAAGGAACTGGCCCAAGCAGTACTTACTTAAGTCTCTAGTTCAGTTTTATGAAAGTGTCCAGAACTAGACAGCAGGCTCACTGTCACCAGGAAGGAGCTAGCGGCAACCAGCCCACAGAAGGCAATACCAGGCTCCAGCCAAGCGGTCTGGAGTCCAGGTGGAGCTATGGGTGGGCTGGGGGCCACAGTGGCAGCGGGAGTGCATGGGCTGGATGAGGGCAGGATACAGCCAGAAACTCACCGTTTCATACACCGGCTGTGCCAGCTTCTCCCTCCGGCACCACTCCAGCAGGCACATCTTGGGGGTGATCTGGGGTGAATATGCTCGCCTGGAGAGAGGCGGGGAAGGGGTCAGGGCCCACCGACCATCAGCACTGCATTCCTCAGCAGGAGCCTGACTCAGTGCCTGGAGGAGCTGCAGGAACTGAGATCACAGACTGCTTTCACGACACCTGCTCCGAGTCCCTGAATCTCCCGCTTCTGTCCCACCTGCAGCTCGGGGCCTGCATTCTACCTGAAGGGAAGACGGGCTTCAGCTGCTTGGGGAATCAGGATGGGAAGTGCGCTCCAGCCTGGAAAACAGCCTTCAACAGCCAAGAAGGGAGGTACCGTTTGCCTCTCAAGACAACCTCAGGAGGGAGTGGGTAGGAGTAGGGAGCAAGGTTATCATATAATGGTCTCAAGCTCTAGCTCCACCCCGATTATGTACCCTGAGTGTCAATGGGCACAGTGGACTCTAGCTCCAGAGCCAGGTGGTGACAGGGACGGAAGCACCAAATTCCAACTTCCCACCAGGAGCTCTCCCAGGGTATGACTGCCCAACAGTTGAGCCTACATCCCGCCTCCCAAGTCTCTGCCAGACAAGACTGATTCCTTATCTGGGTCTGGGGACCCGAGAAAGGCTCAGATCCTAGATCACAGAGGATAAGGGCCAGGGCCCCATTTGAAGCTGAGTCACTGGCTGAGGCAATAATTGGCCTGAGGCTACTTCTGCATAGAGACAGCACCACAGGCCTAACAGGGGGCAGTGAGGGGTGGACTGCTCAGCTAGATAAGGGTTCAGGGCCTGTGGCTCTTTTGGAGCTTCTTATGAGCAGTTAATTCCTGAGGGCCAAGGTAAAAACCGGGGCTTCCCTGGTGACTCAAATGGTAAAGAATCTGCTTGCAATGCGGGAGACCTGGGTTCAATCCCTGGGTCAGGAAGATCCCCTGTAGAAGGAAACGGCAACCCACTCTAGTATTCTTGGAGAATTCCGTGGACAGAGGAGCTTGGCGGGCTACAGTCCATGGGGTCACAGTCAGATATGACTGAGCGACTAATACTTTCACTACATTTTCCAAGGAGAAAACACATATTTTCAGTAACAGAAGGGGACGAGTCTCCCCAGATTGAGTTGTGGGAGGGGATGGGTCAGGAAAAAGGTATAGTTTAGTCACCCTTGGAACAGCATGCACACCCTGACAGCACTGCCTGGGCTTTCAGGGACTTTCTCCACAGTGCCTTCTTTGGGTTTCTGAAAACTGAGAACAAGCATCCAAAATAAAGGAGGCCTGTGGTCCCATGGCTTGGCATTAACCAGCCAGCTTGCTGGCCCAGTCAGACCTGAGGACTGTCCCTGGCCCAAGCTGAAGCCAAGCTGGAGACCTACCGGTCAAACTTGATGGCCATCTTAATGATACCAGAAGTGTCTTCAGCTGGTCCCTCTGCTTCCTCTGGGCTCCTGGCCAGAAGTTTGGCCCGTCGGGCATCCAGCTCTCGTGTGGTCTCCTCATAGAAGGCACCAAGGCCAAAGGCCTCACTTTGAAGGGATGAGAAGAGTAGGGCAAGCCCCTTAGTGCAGCCAGCGCGCAGGAAACTGCTGCAAAAACCCAGGGCCCGCCACTGAGAAATGTCCCCTACATGCACCGGAACACCACCAGGGTTAAGCCATTGGAAGGTGCTTCCTACACATCCCTGAGATCAGCCTGAACTAGCAGGTGGAGAATGGAACAGGTGTCCCCTAAGCGTGAGCACCAGAGAGCAGGCTGGGCTGGGTGGAAAAGGTTCCAAACATCACTGCAGCCTTTCTTCCAAGGAGAAGCACATAGGCAGGTGTCCCCAGCCGGCAGTGAGTGAGGTGAGCTACACAGACCAAGCGCTGGGGGTATGCACAACCTCATTCTCATGTGGGCCCGTGGGAGGAAGACACGGAGGCCTGACCACTGACTGGTTCCCCACTTCCCGCCCTGACCACAAACAGTTAGGCCAAACCTAAAATGAGATACCACCTAGAGCGACAGAGTGATAATTCTTTAGAGTTGTCCCCGGGCTCACAAGGTACTGAAGTCGAGCTGGTTAAGCCACAAGGGAGAGGGATAGACTGAGCACCACAAGCCCAGGGCGAGGAGGAAGGTTCTGGCAAGGCTCTTCCCTCTGGGAGCATCTTAAGGACTGGAGGATATTCATGAAGAGGGCTGCCTGAGGGCAAGCTTGGTCCAGAAAGCCTTCTCTGGGGGAAGGAGGGTAGAAGCAGCGAACGTGCAGGGCAGAGCGCATCTAGGTGGGAGGCCCCGTACAAGCACAGGTAGTCCAGGAGTGTGGGGACAGGCATGAGCCCAGGTCGTCACGGCCCCCGAAGTCTACCACCTGAGCTGGAGCTCCAGCAGGTTTGGAGAACCAAAGGGTGGCATCTAGATGGGGTGAAGGCGTGGGCACAGGCCGGGGGTTCCATTCTAAGACCCCAAGTCTCCTAACCATTGGATCCTGGTGGCCTGGCATGTGACAGATCTGTGACCAGGAAAGCCCCTTCCTCCCCAGGGATTCCCAAGCCCAGCCCTCACCTTCCTCCATCCAACTGGTGCCCTAGTTTCCAAAATTCTGCTGCTGAGATCAGTCCAGGGATAGTAGGTTCTAAAGCTTTGCAAGTACCCCCTTCTGTGAGACAAAGCTGTACCCCGCAATCTGCATTCTGCAAATCCACCCCCAGGGGCCCCTGGTAGTCAGTTTAGGGCTCAGGGTCAGGTCTGGGGCATGTCTGCATGGACAGATGAACAGCCCATTGCCCCTCTCACCAAATTTCCTGGGAAGACTGGGCAGCGTGGAGTAACCTTCCCTGGGGTGATTCCAGCTGTTCTCGCAGCATCTGGCACAAGCAGTACTTGGTGTTGGTGTAGTGGTTGTCATACTGCACGGCCTGCAGGAAGAACCGCTGTGAGCCCCCCTACTGCCCAGGCAGGCTCTGAGCTGCTCTGATGGCGGGGACAGTGGCTCCAAGGAGGCCTGAGAGGGACCCAGAGCTGAGGCCCCACAAAAGAGCCACCTCCACCTTGGCCATCTACTCCTCTGGTTAGTAACACAAGGCTTGAGGGTTGCAGCCAAGGCCCCCGGTCAGGAGAACACTACCTAGGACAGGCTGACCAAGGTCCAGATGTGCAGGGAGCTGCTCCCGCATCAGCTACCACTGAGGACCTGCTGCCAAGCATCTTCCATGGCGGGGAGCGGGAAACAGCCAAGCTCTGGGAGTGGCAGAACCAGCCCTAGGACAGGGGTGAGATTCCTCTACTCCTTATAACCCTAGCGGGCACCTGCCACTCCCACATCTTAAACAGCCTGTCTACAACTTCCCCCAACATGGGAAAACCCAGCATCTTGGATCAAGCATGTTCACATGTGTCACGAGCTCGACAAATGGGTACCAGTACTCAGATGGGGAAATGCAGGCTCAACGAGGCAAGTCGAGCGCCTGGGGATGCCCAGTGGAAGTCGGCCTGGCTGGGGAGGGCAGGAGAGCAAGGGTCAAAGGGTGCCCCAGTCCCCCAGAACCCACCCCTCCACCACTCAACCCCTACACTCTTCTAATCCCTCCACCTAGGCCTGTGTCTTCAGTGCCTTGCCTCAGTGCGTCACGACAAAGCAGGGACCCAGGGGTAAGTCCCAGCCAGCGGCAAGGCCTGGACTCAGCTTGTTTGGGACAGAGGCACCTGGCTGGACCAGAAGCAGCCCTGCCTGTGCGGGAAAGCCACTCCCTTTCTCTGGCCCAACACACCCTCGTGAGGTGCTGCCAAGGGACGGGCTGTGCAGGAAGGACACCATCACCATTCGGCCAGTGAGAGGGCGTGGCTCTACTGACCGTGCCATCCCAGCCTCAGGCCACCAGCCAGCCCACCTAGGCTGAGCCCAGCCCCTCACCTCTGGCTGACCCAGGCCGTCGGAGAGCCTGGTGGCCACGCACCTGGCCGACAGGCCATCTGGGACCAAGGGGATGAAGGCTGCAGCAATGAGCAGGAGAGGCTTGAGGACAGAGGCTGCCGGCTCTGGGCATGGGCCTCAGGGCCTCCCCCACCCCCAGCTCGCTCAGCACTGAGGACACCCACATGTCATGGCAGCCACAATTGCCCAGGCGTGGTCATGGCCGCCTGAGAGTCTGAGAAGCTCCTGATCCCCCAGGTGGGTGGGGGCTCCAGGACTGAAGAGGAGGGTGGGAGTCTGCTCTGGTGAGGACTTCACTCTCTGCTCAGACCCCCCTCACTGATGAGGAGTCTGAGGACCACTCACTGTCTCTGCCGACACACACACACACACAGTTGGCCACAGAGTCCCATAGGGTGTCAGGGCTGTGCCAGTGAGACATGGTAGGTGACAAAAAACTTCTTTACAGGAAATGCCCTGGCACTACCATCACCATCCTGGTGGGAAGAAAAAGCTATTCCCCAAGGAAAGGGTTAAGGCTACTTCCTGAGTCAGAAGACATAGCCTAACTGGAAATTACATTTTTGCTTTTTTTGCTTTCTGGGAATTACAAGAGAAGAGCTTGAGAAGCAATTATGACTGATGGCCAGGTGACACGTCTTTATGGAGAGAATCTGTTCTCAGCAACAGCTGCTATGATGGCTACTCCTGGCTGTGGCTGCTGAAGTGCCAACCCACTGGCACTGGCACTGTGCACATGGCGGGCAGAGGGGTGACAGGGAATTAGAGAAAGGTATCATGGGTTAGGGGCCCCGACAGCATCCTGGATCCAGAGGCCCGTGCGATGACCCCCACACCTTGGAGGCTTTAGAAGAAGGTGATGGTAGGGCAGCCCACTCTTCACACTGCAGCCAGAAAAACCCAATGCCTCGCGACACGACAAAGAAAAGGAGAGGAACCCCATGGGCTGCTGGGGGCTGGAGGCTCACCCAAAGCACTTTCTGCAGAAAGCGGGCAGACAGAGAGAAAAGCTTGTTATGAAAAAGTGTATAGACGTACATATCTGATGTACTTCTGCATGACCTCTTCCAAGGGCCGTGGACCCTCCTTGAGGAAGATGGATGGGTTCCACATGGCCGCCCGGGCCACCATCACTGAAGAGGCTGCCGTGGCTCGTCGGAAGTCTTCTATATCCAAATACCCTTGGATGTGGTCGTGAGATCCTCCACTGAAAAGCAACAGCCGGCGGGGATGGGGGGTTGGTGAAGGGTAGCCCCAGCCTCGTACCAGCACTGTCAGAAACAGGCAACTCCTGGATCTGCTGCTTATTAAGTATGTGGCTCTGGCCAAGCCCTTCAGCTGTGACAGCTTCGGAGACTGGAGAGCACAACATGCACCCTGCTGCGGGGCCAGGAACACCGAGTGAGATGATAGAAAACGGCAGCCCAAACCGTGCCTGGCACTTCACAGGTACTCAGGAACATTTACCCTCCCCAGCCCCCGATTCTCAACAGTGACTAAAGCCAGCCCAGGTCCGAAGGACACGTATCTGTACGTGGATACAGGGATGACAGGAAAAGCCCCAGGCTGTAGGGGCCCTACATGCCCACTAATGGCTGGGTCAAACCCTAGAAAGGGAACAGATGCAGGGCAGTCGTGAGAGGAAGGAAGGAGGCCTGGTGTGGTTGCAATTTCCCTTCGGGCCATACCATGGCCGCTTGGAAACTGCTGTCTGTTTCATTAGGAGCCAGGTGGCAGCCTCAGCTCAGAGACAGCACTGCATGTGGGATGAGGGGTGGAGGAGCTCCCTCAGGTGGCAATAGGATCTAGGGTCTTGAGCAGCCCCCTCCCCTCTCCAAGCCACCACCAACCTGCCTTGGCCTGGGCAAAGTGGGCCTGGCTGCCACGCCCCCCCACCCCACCCCTGCCTTAGCTTCCCACTCCCTGCCTCTAGGCAGGCATGACTTTCGTTAGGGTTTTAGAACCTCTCTGTTTCCAACCTGCCATTGGGCAGGAACAGGGCTGAGCTGGACTCCCAACTGGCTGACACAGGCCAGCTCCCTGACACCAAGACACTGCTGTCCAACTGCTAAACCAGCAGGCTGGTCATCGGCCCCCGACACCTGCCAGGATCTGGGCTTTGGCCTGTGACCTGCCTCCTGCCTCTGAGCTGCGGCTCTCTGTGCTCTGGCATGGATTGCCTCCCCCTACACCCTACACACCCAGCCCTGGTATGACGCCACCTTCCCCGGGGGCCTTTCGGCAGCCTCTTTCTTGCTCTCTCTCCCCCTAAACGCTCCTACCTCGACCCTTCCATCAGAATGCCCTGGACCCCTGCCTACCACATACTTACATCGCCGCTCACCAGAGGCCAAGGGACACAACGTACACTTCTCAGCCTTGTTCCCAAGTTCATTTTTGCCACATTCTTGTCTTCTCTTCCCTGAGGGTCATTTTTTGATGCTATCTCATTCCGTTTTCTGTTTGTTAGTTCAAATCCCTCTGAGTAAAATGAGGCATAAAGGACCAAACAAGGAGGAAGGGAGGCTTACTTGGCTATGACAGGAATGGAGAGGGTTTCAGCGATAGCTTTGATGGCTTCGCAGCTGACAGGGTGCTGGGGCCGCTCCTCTCGCTTCCTTGGAGATAAAGAGATGGGGCTGGGGGCTGAGTGCCAAAGGCTGCGTCACACTGAGCCCCAGTGACGTGAGTCAGGCCCGACAGTCCTTCCTGCTGGCACTCAGGAAGGCCACGTGGCCAGTAGGGACAGGGCTCCAGGCTACAGGGCATGGATCTCCCTGACCCTGGTTGCAGGAGGCAGGGGCAGCGCGGGTACACACCAAGTCCAGCCCTCAGAGGCCCGCAGGTGAGGCGTGGCTGTCGGGAGCCGATGAGGGTGGTCACATGGCCACCCCCAACTTCTACTCGCCTCTGCTGGAGATGAGGGATGCTGCCTTAAAAATGCTGCCCCCCCCCCCCCCCAAAAAAAAATGCTGCCCCTACTGTCCTGGTCGTGCCCTTCCCTGGGGACAGCGAACAGCTGCTGCCACTCAGACGGGACACTCCCACACAGCTGTCTGTGCTGAGGTCAAGCTGGGCAGCTGATCCTGGGGAGAGGCACCTGGCACAGGGCAGGCCACAGACCATGGCTGTCACCAAGGGTCATGGGGAGGCGGGGCCACAGCCCAAGGCCCCTGAATCCAAGATCAGCTGCAAGAAGTTCCTGTGTATGAGTGAGTGAGTCTTAGGGATGCTAAGGTAAACCCCAACCTGAGCTGTGCTCACGGGCAAACCAGATGGCCAACCAAACAGCCCTTGCCCAGGCCCTGTCTATGGTGTCCCTCTGCTATACCCCTCAACCAAAGTGTCAGGGGCCACAGGGCCCAAGAAAGTCCCATCAATCCAGCCTCCACCTCCACCTTCCCACACCGCTGGCAGCCCAATTCTAACCCATCCGTAACAGCTTTGGTAGCCAGAAAGTCCCTCTTTAAACTTGCCCAATTCTGTCTTCCTAGTCTTTCCAACTACTGGGAAAAAGGAATAGCTTTATTTATTCAGAGAACACTATCTGCCAGGCACTATGTCAAGACTGTATATTCACAATCTCATAGAAGCTTCGCGACAACAGAAACTATCTTAATTTCCAAATGAGGACTGTAGTGCTCAGAAAGGTTAAATAACTTGTCCAAGGACACACAGCCAACCAGCAGCAGAGCTGGGATTTGAAGCCAGGCATCTGAGCCCAGAGCCTGCTGCCTCTGGAAAGGGTGTGTATGTACATGTGCGTGGCCTTTCACCTCCCCCTGCTGGCTTCAACACACACAGCTCTGCTTTGCTCTGTTTCTGTATGTTGAAGTTCTGGGTTCCCTTCTCTGAAAATGCTGTAATAGACACACCTGCAAGAAATGGGCTGTTCCTATAAGACCCTTGAACTCAACAAGGAACATCATTCAGAAGGGAGGTCACTCCAGCCAACATTTGCCAACCTGGGATTTGGTACACAAGTACATCCTGGACACAGGGAACAAGTTCGACTGGGAAACCAAGGATAGCCTTCAGCAACACCTCAGCTCTCAACAGAGAACACACTTGCTACAGACCTAAGGACTGTTTAAAGCAGTCCCTGTGACAGCTGGTAGTCCAACAAGGGCAGACAAAAGAGGCAGTGCCTATAAAAGAACAGCGGTCTGCCTGGGGTCATTCCGGAGAAAAGCTAGTGCTGAACGTAGTGGAAAGAAAATGAGATTCAGAGGCAGAGTTCTAATTCCACCACTTCCTGACTGCATGACCCAGTTTTGAGCAAATCACTCGATCTCTAGCATTTGCACATCCTGAGGGCAGGGGCGTTTCTCCTTCCCTTTGGTGTGTCTGTATCTCTAAAGCTCAGTGCAGTTTCTGCAACCCAGTAGATGCTCAATGAATGGAACAAAGAAAAATGCAACCCCAGAAAGGGTTGGACTGCTCTCCAGATTCAGGGGGTGTCAAAGAGCTAAGCAGAACTAGGCTGACTACATAGAAGAAAAGGTGGTAGGTGCCTGGGGTCTGGTGAAGAAGCATCAAAATAGCTGAAGACCTCCCTGCAAGTCGGTCACTAGCAAGGGGACAACTCACCTCCCGTGAACTGCGATGGCGGCGATGCCAGTCCTCTCTATCCGCTTCACAAGGCTCAGGGTGTCTTCCAGCTGAGGGACGGGGCCACACAGGGTGGTTACTGCAGCCACAGAGGGAGCAGCTGCCAGCTCCCAAAGTGGACTCAGATCTCCCCACTCCTCCAAACCTGACCCATCCCCCCAAGAATCATTCACACCCCTCAACCAACATCTCCAGAGAAAATGGACCTTCAGGTGTAAAACATCATCCTTACCGATGGCAGGATGCGAATCTTGCAGGTCACAGGTCTGCGCGTCCCTTTCACAAGAGTGCTGAGGATCTATGGTGGGGGAGAACACAAGAACATCTGCTTCTTCCGGAATAATCACCACAGCGGCTTGTGCTGATGAATTTCACTCCAGACCCATGCGGCCCAGTGGCACAGACACATTTATGTTCATGTGAATGCATCTGTTAGCACACCATCTACATGGAAGCTCTGTGAAGGAAGGAGCTCACCTTTTTTCTCCATTAGAGCCCCAGCCCCAGCAGTCCCTTACCTGGTTCATAGCAGTATAAATATATTTGGTAAATGAATGCGTGAGGGAATGAATGTATGTTTGGATCTACATATATGCTTGTTCAGGACACAGTGGATCCTTTCCCGGGACAAACATCAGAATCACCTGGAGAGCCTAAGAAATGCAGAATCATAGATTCCACCTCATCTTTCCTGAATGAGGCAGGGCTCAGGGGCAGGGCTTAGGAATATGTGTTTTCAAAAGACTCTGCCCAACATGTTCTCTCAAAATGATTCTGAGGCCTAACGCTGATTGAGAACACATGGCTCACAGCTCCATTCCTGTCTGAAGGCATGTTCCCTGAGTGCTGTGCCAGGGTCTGCCAAATGAAGGAACAGGAGAGCTTGAAAAGGTCCTGGGCCCTGTCCTCCCTTTCGGAGGAGTCAGATATACAGAAGAGGAACGGGCAAAGGAAAAGACAACATTGTCATCCTACTTAAAAGGGTTTATTTTGCACATTAATTGCAAAGGACTTCAAACACAGATCAAGAAAGTCACATAGGAAAGTGTCAGGGAAGTAACAAGACCAGACCAAGAGTCAGAGACCAAGAAAGGGGTAGATGACACTGCATGTCTGTGACCTTGCTATCTTTATCTTCTTCCCTCATCAAAAATTTTGGGCCAGGCAAGCTAGAGGGAAGGTGATCCCAAGAGCCCTCTTCCAAGAAACTGGATCCCTGTCCAGCAGAGCAGAGGGGACACTCAGGCAGCCGTTGCCAGTCTGGTTCTAGACAGGAGGGGGCAGCAGACAGCTGGGTTACAAGAACCAGTGAAGGAGACATTGGACCAAGAGGCTGGGCTGTCAGGACAGATCATGGGCAGGACAGGGCCTGCTGGCTCAGGTGCCACTTGAAAATAGTTAAGGCAGAAGTGAAGTGAGCTTCTGAGGTGAGCTGGGAATGCTGGTGCCTCCTGTGTACAATGTGCCCGAAGAAGGGCAGTGGTGAAGACAGAGCAAACAGCACAGGTGGGAGAAGCCAGGAGGCCAGAGGATAACAGAAATGCCTGTATGTACATTTTAGGAAGAAAACCACCCCTAAGGGTGGACACCCACAACTGTCCACATACACTCCAGCCTGCAAAGAGGTGTCTGAGGTCATTTTCTGTGCCTATCCACACACAGGAGAAATGAGAAGGCCCCTAACTCACAAATATGCTGGATTTCCTAGACCCCAGAGACAGTGGGGCTGGAGGGATATACAAGGTTGAGCTGCTGACATGGCAATGGCACCTCTTAGCAGTGGTGCCTCATCCCATGCTGTTAGCATGTGGGCGGCATTAGGGGGGCTTAAGGCCCAGAGACAGAAGTGGGGATGGAGGAGGAAAAGGAAATCAAGGTAGCTATAGGAACAGCAAGGAGAAAGCTGGTGAACCGACAGAGAAAAGTCAAAGGTGCATGTGGTGTGACAGAAAATGTTACTCCCACATCCCCTGGTAGCTTATAGCACTGGGTGGCAAACATCAGTCTGACCCTAACGGCTTGTAAACCTGGCCACCAGAATCACAGAGGAAGGGGACCAGAGGGGACTAATTCAGCTTACCTTGTATGGCCCTAGCTTGGCTTGCTCTCATACTGATGATGGACTCTGTCCATGTTCAGGGGACCCACTGGGAGAGGCCAATCCCCTATGCCTTGACACATGTGGCCACTGAGCATGTCCACAACCCACAGGCAGCCTGGCCTGTGCTCTCATGATCTTCTCAGAAGGAAGAGAGGCATATAGAGGTGGTTCTAAATGAGTCCTCGGGGCCCTTGGCTCTCGGCTGACATGTCCCTAGCCCTGGGCTTTTCAGGAACACCAAGGCTGCTGCAGGATGGCTCAGGGGTTCCTGAACCTGGCTGCATGTCAAAATCACCGGGAAGTCTTTTAAAAACTTTCCAGACCCTGGTGGAGTGAGTGATTCAATCTCAGGGGAGGGGAGGGGAGGGAAGGTGCTCCCAACAGCTCTAGCTCACAAGCACACTTAAGAGACCTCTCAAGGGCAGGACTTACCTTCTCGATTTTGTCAGGATCTGACAGCAGGGCAGCTCCCATTCCTCCCTAAGGAAAAGCACACACAGGGGCTCTTAGAGCTGGAGGAGGGCGGCTCCTCCCTGTAGGATGGCAACCTGGCAGCACCCCAGCACCTGCCTCCCAGAAACCAAGGTCCACTAGTGATCAGCACTTCTCCTGGGCAAGCAAGAAAGCAGCAGCATCCGTGCCCACACCACCAGGGATCAGTTTGACGAATTCTAAAAGCCGTCTCTCTGATCCCCTTAGCAAGACCCACAGGTCTACCTAGAAATGGGTTCTAAAAAACTCATTTTTCAGCACTGCCCATTTCCTATCCAGGGTTTCAGTGCCTTAATAAACTAAACCCCACCAGCTGCCAAGTCTCTTAAAAAAATGGATTGGTCTTCCTTTGAAATGAGATCGAATCCACCTTCTTCCTATCCTACCATCACTTGCCACCACTGCCAGCAAAGCCACACAGAGGCACACGAGCTGCAGATCATGTCCAGACCCCGCTCCCCTGCCAGCAACAACGGCCCCTCAGTCCTGAGTGTCAAACTCTAACAAAATCCCCAACTAATGGAAACCAACAGTCCCCAGAGCCACTTAAATCTCAACATGAATAACAGTTGTCGTCTCTTGATGGTGAGATTACTGATCATTTTCCTGTTTTTGCTTTTTTTTTTTTTTTTGGCCTTTTCTATATTATCCAAGCTCTGGACAATGGTATGAATTACTTTAATAATCAGAAGAGGGGGGAATGTTAAAAATCTGAAACCATTCAGAATGAGGTGAAGGGAAGAAAGACAAATCCAATAAAGATATGCTGTCAGTATATAAACTACAAACTAATGAATGCTCACGGAATGTGCTCAGAAGGTTTAAATTTACTTATTACAGTTTAATGTCATGTTTCAGAAATACACATTAGAACCACAGAGAATGCTGAACCAGTACAGACTGTGTCTGCATTTCAGAGGAGAAAGGGAAGAGCAGGGCTTCTAGCCCTGGACTACCTCAGACACAACCTGAGACGCCTCGAGGAAGCCCTGACCACTCACCCGGGCTCCACTGCCTCTCCCCTCGCACACAATCCAGCCCTGCCTTGTGGAATCGCAGAATCCAAACTCTGGCCTTTCTGCTCCTTCCCCAGCAATGGCTTTCCTAACTGGCATTTCTTTCCTTCTTCTCTCCTTCCCTCCCTTCCTTCTTTCCTTTCTATTTAACTTCTTAATTTGCTTTTCTGAATAGGCAACATATTAAAAATCTTAAAGGTTCAAAAGGATGAAGAGTAAAACTCTCCCTGCTTAGAAGGAGAAAAAAACTATTCAATTTATTTTTTTTAATATGACTTCCATTTTGAACCATAAGAGAGCAGATATTCAGCTGGCAGGTACTGGGTACAGCGCACTGGGAGGTATCTGTTCTGACTGGTCAGTGCCAGTGCTGTGACCTTGTTAATTATCTGGAGTAGCACCCCTGCAAGGGAACTTTATTTCTTCTGCAAAACCAAAGAAAAACTTAAGTTTCCTTTCCCAGGGGAAACAAGTGTCACCAGTTTCTTGTGTATCTTTCCAAATATATAAAAAGAAGTGTAAATATATATATTCATTCTCCATTTCCCACACAGAAATGGTGACATGTCATATACAATTCTGCTCCTTGCTTTTTTCACTCCATGATGTCAGGGGGAATATTCCAACCATTTCAGCTCTGCTCCATACACAACTCAGGTGCATGAGGGAATAATTAGAAGGTAGCAAAACAGAGCCTGATGTTTTCAACTCCTTACATGCGTGCTCAGCCATGTCCAATTCTTTGCCACCCCATGGACTGTATTCTGCCAGGCTCCTCTGCCCATGAAATTTCCCAGGCAAGAATACTGGAATGGGTTGCCATTTCCTACTCCAGGGGATCTTCCCGACCTAGGGATTGAATCTGCATCTCCTGCAGCTCCTATGTTGGCAGGCGGGTTCTTTACCACTGAGCCACTTAGGAAGAGACAAGGGCAAACTTCCACGATTCCTGAAGCAGCCACCCACAAGGTCCTCTGGTTTTCAAGTACCCCAAGGGCCTTTCCCTCAGGCAGTCTTGGCGTCTTGGCCTAAAGCAAGGGTCCTCAGGCCAATCAACTCCTGAAAGCAGACTCTGGGCGTGGGCTATGGGGACAATCTGCCACATCTAGACTGCAGACCCTGGCACCCTATGATCAGGTTTCCAAGGTGACCCTGCAGGAGTCGCTCTGGTGCCTTACACTCAGTTAGCTCCAAGCTGCCCTTTACATCCTCTCCAAACCACCTCTTCCTCCAGCAGTCCCAATGACAGTGAGACCAACCATCCTCTTGGCTGCCAGTCTATCCTCCCTCTGCCCCCACAACTCACCCCACCTCCCACTCCCAGTGTGATCATTTGCCAGCCAAGCACTGTCAAATTCTGCCCCAATTTGGCTTTTCTTCTCTCCATCCTTGGTTTCTCCTATGGACTCAAGATACTCATCTCGGATATCTGTGTCCTGACCTCTAGCCTCTTTACACTTGAATCCACTAGACACATGGCTTCTAGATTAACATTTCTATTTATAGAATATATTTGGAAAGACACACAAGAAACTAGCAACCCTGGCTTCCCCTGGGGGAAGAGACTAAGTTTCTGATCACAAGCCTTCTCTGTTCCGAAACAGGTCAGAGATATCTAAAAAGTCAAAGTTCAGTTAACCTGGTCCCAACCAAGATTTTCAATCACATGTTCCTCTGCTGCCTCTTCCCCTCCCACTTCTCAACCTTCTGATCAAATCAAGGTTCCCTGCCTCTACTGCATATTGGCCTCCAAGACCCAGCTTATAACCCTCCCTTGGCCTGCCAGGTCCCAAGCCTCCTCCTCAGGGACCACATTTCCCCACAAGAGCCTGCGTTTAAGGGCTGCCCTTCTGTTCCTTTCTCAGAGCTTCCACTGCAGTCCTGTCTGGTCTCTTCTGATACGACAATTGGGATATATATATATTGCATCCTCTATTTTTATCACGAAAAAGACAGAGCTCTGTTCACATTTTTCTTTCTTTTTTTTTTTTTAATTTTTTTTTTTCACATTTTTCTTTCTTTTAACATTTACAGCAGTATTACTTGGGCACGAGTGCTCTGTGTGTGTGACTATTTATTTATGTATACATGTGTATGTGTATGCACATCTAAAATTTTTCCTGGACTTTCCCGGTGGTCCAATGGTTAAGAATCCACCTGCCAATGCTGGGGACACCAGTTCGATCCCTAATCCAGGAAGACTGCACATGCCTCAGGGCACATGCCTAATCCAGGAAGACTGCACATCTGCTCCAAACCACCTCCAAAACCAAGACTGCACATGCCTCGTTGCTCCCCAGCTACTGAGTCAGCAGGCCCTAGAGCCTGTGCTCTGCAATAAGAGAAACCATAGCAATGAGAAACCCACGCTCCACAGCTAGAGAGTGGTCCCCACTCATCGCAATTAGAGAAAGCCAGTATGGAGCAACAAAGACCCAGCACAGACAAAGATAAGTAAATAAAATTAAAACTTTTTTCCTGAACCATTTGAGGATAATTATACATATACATATATATATATATATATACACATACACACACACACACACACACACATATATATATATATATCTCATAGCTCTTGATCCCTAAATATTTGTGTGTATTTTCTAATAGAGATATTCTGACATAACCACAGAAGTTATCAACTTCATATATTTTCATGGTATTTTTTAGCTCATCTACCATCGTCTATATTCCAATTTTGCCAGTTGATCTAATAACATCCTCTTGAGCTTCCCACTCATGAGTACAGGATCTAGTCCAGAGTCAGGCACTGTACTAGTTGTCACCACCAGTCAGTCTCCTTTAATCTGTACCCTACGTTTGTGAAGAGTACAACGAAAGCAGTTTACCTTGGTGGAATACTCTTTAGGACAGCCCATGTTGACGTCAATACCAGCCACATCATTTTCTCTGGAAAAACATGAAGGAGGAAAGGTAATAAATATTCAACTTGAGGGTAGGACATAAAGTCAAAAGTATGGGTCTGAGCTCCTGAAATTCTTACTGGCCCTCTGTAACACACCAACCCTCAGGGACAGAAAATGAAAAATTCTGTATCTAAAATGTGCAACCACCTCTCCTCCTGGGCAGAGCTCCAGAAGAAGAATATACGGTGCTCACACATGTAGGAAAGGCTAGTTGTAGAGAATTCTGCAAGCTTTGAGTTGTATCAGATGACTCGAATGTTGAGTGACAGCCACACGGAACTCCATCCCAGAGTTCCAGTCCTAACTGGGGAGTGAAAGCCATTTGCCGATGCACAAAAGTGACCCAGGCACAAGAGCCCTTTCCCAGAGCACTGGTTCTGGTGGAAGTGGGGGACTGTCTTGGTGTGCTCGGCTGCATAGTTAGCTTCCTCCAAACAGTCCTCAGATGTAGAAAGGACCCTTTCCTCATCAGCTGGTATATACAGTTACTTGTCTGTGACCAGCGGCAACTACTACCCAAGTTTCTTCTCACCTTCATTGTAATTAATAGCAAGAGCTAACAACTTACCAAGCACTCACTACCTGCCACATATTGCAAAGATATTTAGATGCATCATCTCATGTACCCTTCCCTATGATGCCAGAGGGAAGTGGGACTGTTGGTCTCATTTTATAGATGAGGAAACCTAAGTTCTCAGTGAGGTTAAGTAACAGATCTAAGGTCACACAGTCAGCAAATAATAAAGTCAGGATTCCAGCCCACAGCTAACACAAGAGCCCATCTCCTGAACCACATTACTCTGCTGCCTTCATTAATTTAGAAAGCAGTAACTCTTACTTACACTTCATGAGATTTAAAAGCTCAGGGTTCACAGTCATGGTAGTCTCCAGAAAGGAAGCCTCATAAATAAACACTAACAAACAGGCTCCCACCCAAAGGTTCTCTGGGGTCCAGACACAGTGGGTTCACATCATACCTGGGGCGGCCCTTATTCACCACAAATAGAGAAGGAAATATGACCCTCTTAACCTGAAAACAGAAGGTAGTGGACTAGGAAGCAGAAGGGTGGTCACCTCCAAGGTCACAGGGAACAGTAAGACCTCAGGGCCCACAGGAGAGGCAAAGGCAGTCCCCCCAGAGGGAAGAACTTACACAAGCCTGGCCACAGCAAGGGCTCGCTCTGCATCTGAAGTCCCCTGGGAACACAAGAGGCTATATCAACCACGGCCCTGACACAGTCCATATGCACAGACAACCACACGCAGGCACACCAGACACATGCACGGGCATACACGCGCAAGCAAACACACACACACACACACACACCAGCAAGTGGAGACCAGCTGTTATTCTCCCAAGTAGCTAGCCCACTGACTGGCTCACTGGAGCCCTAAGAAAATGTCATCAATGCTGTCAATACTTTGAAACATACAAAAAAGTTGGAAAGATTCTAGAGGGAACATTCATATACCCACCACTTAGATTATATAATTAACATTCTTCTATATCTACTTTATCATATGGTTACTCATTGATATCAATTATTTAAAAAATTATTTTGCTGTTGTTGCTGCGCACAGGCTTTCTCTAGCTGCGGCACGAAGACTTCTCATTGTGGCGGCTTCTCTTGTTGCGGAGCACCGGCTCTAGGGCATGCAGGCTCGCTAGTCACAGTGCACAGGCTTAGTTGCCCCACTGCATGTGGAATCTTCCTGGACCAGAGATCAAACCATGTCCCCTGCATTGGCGGGCAGATTCTTAACCACTGGGCCACCAGGGAAGTCCTGTTATCAATTTTTTTTTTTTAAAGTCAGGATTCCAGCCCACAGCTAACACAAGAGCCCATCTCCTGAACCACATTACTCTGCTGCCTTCATTAATTTAGAAAGCAGTAACTCTTACTTACACTTCATGAGATTTAAAAGCTCAGGGTTCACAGTCATGGTAGTCTCCAGAAAGGAAGCCTCATAAATAAACACTAACAAACAGGCTCCCACCCAAAGGTTCTCTGGGGTCCAGACACAGTGGGTTCACATCATACCTGGGGCGGCCCTTATTCACCACAAATAGAGAAGGAAATATGACCCTCTTAACCTGAAAACAGAAGGTAGTGGACTAGGAAGCAGAAGGGTGGTCACCTCCAAGGTCACAGGGAACAGTAAGACCTCAGGGCCCACAGGAGAGGCAAAGGCAGTCCCCCCAGAGGGAAGAACTTACACAAGCCTGGCCACAGCAAGGGCTCGCTCTGCATCTGAAGTCCCCTGGGAACACAAGAGGCTATATCAACCACGGCCCTGACACAGTCCATATGCACAGACAACCACACGCAGGCACACCAGACACATGCACGGGCATACACGCGCAAGCAAACACACACACACACACACACACCAGCAAGTGGAGACCAGCTGTTATTCTCCCAAGTAGCTAGCCCACTGACTGGCTCACTGGAGCCCTAAGAAAATGTCATCAATGCTGTCAATACTTTGAAACATACAAAAAAGTTGGAAAGATTCTAGAGGGAACATTCATATACCCACCACTTAGATTATATAATTAACATTCTTCTATATCTACTTTATCATATGGTTACTCATTGATATCAATTATTTAAAACATTATTTTGCTGTTGTTGCTGCGCACAGGCTTTCTCTAGCTGCGGCACGAAGACTTCTCATTGTGGCGGCTTCTCTTGTTTCGGAGCACCGGCTCTAGGGCATGCAGGCTCGCTAGTCACAGTGCACAGGCTTAGTTGCCCCACTGCATGTGGAATCTTCCTGGACCAGAGATCAAACCATGTCCCCTGCATTGGCGGGCAGATTCTTAACCACTGGGCCACCAGGGAAGTCCTGTTATCAATTTTTTTTTTTTAACAAACCTAAATGTTATCCAGGAAGTATTTCTGAAAAAATACTGAGAAATGCCCACAGTGAGAGAATGACAGAATCACTATGACTCTAACACAAATCCTAACCACCCTTTTTTTTTTTCTGGTTGTACTCCATGGCATTTGAGATCTTACTTCCTCAACCAAGGACCAAACCCACGCTCCCTGCGGTAAAAGCACGGAGTCTTAACCACTAGACTGCTAGGAAGTCCCCAAAAACTACTCTTGAAGAAACCTAATTTCTTTAAATGGTAAGTATATATACACTATACAAAACAAAGACCATGATCTGAACAACTGATGCTAGGGAATAAAAACACACATGTCATGATAAACAGATAATCCCTGCAATGAAGGAAATTAAATTTGAGACTGGAAGCATGTAATAGACTGCTAATAGCTTGATTTCCATAAACCGTCTCCAAGAGTATAATCACTCATGAGCAGATCTCTGAAACCAATGAATGAAGGACCTTCAGGAAGATTGAAGACCACTGTATAATGAAGCCCAGGCACGTAATACTCCCCCGCCCAGGGCATGAGATGGGAAGGGCGCTCAGCCCTGGGATGTCCTACCATCTGGAAGACGACCTTGCTCTGCTCCCTTTCACAGGTGCAGAAGACCACTCGGTCATCAGGAGCAACAAAATCCACTGTGCTGAGCGCCTCTGCAAGAAAACACAAATGTCCTCATATTAATAGAAAAGCAAGGGGCAAAACGTGTACCATTTCTCTGCCGTGGGCCTTGCTCATGGGCTGAGACAGGGAACAGGGGAGAGGCAGGGTGCGGACGACAGACTGGGAATGTCACAGGGAGGCCCCGCCATCCCCTTTCCTGGGGGGATGCACGTGGTCGGGGGGCCAGTGGCAAGCCTGTTGCCACTGTCACACGTCCATGCCCATGTCCTTCCCTCTGTCCCCGGTGAAGGGGAGAGGGATGGTGGCATGCAGCCATTCGCAGGCCCCTTGCCCTCTTTCTCCCCCAAAAATAAAAAATAAATAAAAAACGCATATCATGATCCCAAGTGTGTGTAAAAAGTACATGTCATTTCTCTTTGTGATTACTCTTCAAGCATGGGATTATGTGGAATTTTTGTTTTTTAGGATTGGGAAAGGAGTATGTCAAGTATATTGTCACCCTGTTTATTTAATTTATATGCAGAGTACATTCTGCAAAATGCCGGGCTGGATGAAGCACAAGCTGGAATCAAGATTGCCAGGAGAAATTTCAATAACCTCAGATACGCAAATGNCTCTTGAAAGTCCCTTGGGCCACAAGGAGATCCAACCAGTCAATCCTAAAGAAAATCAGTCCTGAATATTCAGGTGTTGAAGCTGAAACCAATACTTTGGCCACCTGATGCAAAGAACTGACTCATTGGAAAAGACCCTGATGTTGGGCAAGACTGAAGGCAGGAGAAGGGGACGACAGAAGATGAGAAGGTTGGATGGCATCACTGACTCAATAGACATGAGTTTGAGCAAGCTCCCGGAATTGGTGATGGACAGGGAAGCCTGGCATGCTGTAGTCCATGGGGTCGTAAAGAATCAGATACAATTGAGTGACTGAACTGAACTGATACCTATAACATTGAACTTTTCATAACACGAAGAAAATATACATCTAAAACAATTAAACATGAAATTGACAAAACTTCGAGTGAACTTATTTTAAGATTTCACAAACGTGTATACATTTCAAAAACCTCAAACAATACTACAACTCTCATTAAAGCAGAATCAGCCTTATCAATAAAGTATAACCAAAACCACAATTCAGCACAACTACTTCCATTTGCAAAGTACTTACATGTCCCTTACCTTATTTGATCCTCACTCCAACCCTATGATTTAAGTAAAGCAGGGATTGTAATTTTCCTTTTACAGCTAAAGAAACTGAGGCAGAGAGTCATGTGACTTGCCCCAGGGTACAGTCAGAGAGCAGCAGGGTCAAGATGAGTGCTGAAGCCATCCTGACCCCAAGGGGGTCACCTGTACTATAAAACCTGGTGATTCATATGCCAGTAAGCCTGCAGGTAGAAGGTATTCACAGCCTGCTTCACAACTGGCTGTTTGTCATGGTCTCTGGAGAGCAGTGACTATTCTCAAGAGACCATGATGGTGGTGGTTTAGTCACTAAGTCAAGTTCGGCTCTTGTGACCTCATGGACCATAGCCCGTCAAGCTCCTCTGTCCATGGGACTTCCCACTCAAGAAAACTGGTGTGGGTTGCTATTTCCTCCTCCAGGGGATCTTCTCAACCCAGGGATCAAACCTGGGTTTCCTGCATTGCAGGTGGTCTCCTGATTTGCAAGTGGATTCTTAACCAACTGAGTCCCCAGGGAAGCCCTACTCAAGAGAGCATGGGATCCACAAAATGACACAACCAGGTAAGGAGCACCAGAGGACACTGACACCCAGGCAAAGGTGATGTTAATACAGCCTGGGCCTGACTGGGCACACACACAATCCTAGGACCACAGCTGCACTCACCATTGACAACTCTCTTGCACTGAAGCATCTTGAGGTCGATCAGCTCCTGCAGAGGAATCAAAGGGCACATGTCACTCCTGGACACACAGGTCCTGGGTACAGCAGGGAAGACCAGTGATCCTGGTTGCAGGGGCAGGCAAGAAGGCCAGTGCATAAGTGGGCAGCACTGAGTGACCTGTGCTTATGGAAAGGGCTGCAGCCAGCCTGAGCTTTGGCTGAGAATGAGTCGGGGAAAGCGAGCTGAGTGAAAGTTAGAATGAGCTCGGGTCCCTGATGCTGGGATCCTAGCCCTGGCAGCTGTAACTTGTCCCCCTCAGGATTCCTCAAACCCTCTGCCATGTCCACCTTCACAGCTGGACCACTTCTTCTCTATATGCTAGTTACAGATGCACCCATCATGCCTTTACCATTAGACGATGAACACCCTGAGGAAGGTTCTGGATTTACACAAAGGTGGGCTTTGAGGACCTGAGAGGAGGAGCTGAGGCAAAATGGCCCTTGAAATGTCTTATTTTCTCTTCTGTCTCCCCATTATACCCAAAGAGCCTCTGGGGCTTGGACACAGTCTCATTCATCTTTGTGTCACTAGCGCCCAGCATGTTACAAGTGCTTACTGAACATCTGGTGAAGCGGCTTCAATGCCTTACATGCAGCAGATGCTCAGCTGATTGTTAAGTGGAGAAATTAATTTCAATTGTCACCAGTAAAACCACACACGGGCCTGCTCACCCACACGTCCTCAACACTATTGTTTACCAATTTTATTCATTTTAGTCAGTTTTTTGGTTACAGTGTAGAACCTCACAGATTTTTCTTTTTTATTCACTGTATTTCCTTCATTGGTGAAAACAAACATTGTTTTTCCATGTGATAGAGTTTATTATTTGTGCATCTTCCTACCAAACTTTTACATCTATAAAAGTTGTGCAGAAAAAAAACTATTCTTTGTCAAATAGGATATTATTTTTCTACCTCAATTATCACAACAATTTTTCCTATATCCATGTCATTCCCTCAATTTTTATCATATATGACATTTATTTTTATAGAAGAGACAACTCAAATTTTGCCACAAACAATGCTTTCTAGTTCCCAAATCTATCTCCATCACAGTTAAGAATATAATTTTAATTGGTTTTTATCTTCTTGGTAAAACTAACTTTGCCTTTTTAACTTACCTGATAAGTAAGGCCATTTATAAGTCAGTTATGGTCTCCTGCACTACAAGTGGATTTTTTTTTTTTTTCCAGTTCTACCAGTTTATTTCTACCAGCCCATCTCCCTCCACCCTCCTCATGCATGCGTGCTCAGTCATGTAACCGCATGGACTGCAGCCTGCCAGGCTCCTCTGTCCATGGACTTTTCTAGGCAAGAATACTGGAGTGGGTTGTCATTTCCTTCTCCAGCAAGCAAATTATTTTATTCATATGGCTACCAAATGTTTGAACAGCATTTAATTTTTAAGTGCCTTATCATGTATGGACTTATTCTTCTTTTTTTGTCAGATATTATTTTCCTGTATCTGAACTACAGCCTACTACCTTCATCTCCTCCATTCCACCCTGCCAGGCTCCCCTGTTGATGTAATTCTCCAAGCCATTTGCTTCTTTTTTTTTTTGCCATTTGCTTCTTTAAGGGACCTTTCCAACCCAGGGATCGAACTTAGTTCTCCTGCATTTCAGGCAGATGCTTTACCATCTGAGCCACCAAGGAAGCCCCTTAGAGATGATATCAAAAGCGCAAATGACAAAGGAAAGTATAAGATAAATTGAACTTCATTAAAATTAAAATTTTTTGTGCATCAAAGGATACTATCAATAAAGTAAATCAATTATACTTATATAAAATTTTAAAAAATAAAATGAAGTCTTAAAAAAATAAATAAATGAAAAATAAACTGAAAAGACAGTTTTCTCCCACAGAATGGGAGAAAATATTTGCAAATCATTTATCTGTTAAAGGTCTAATATCCAGAATATATAAAGAACTCTTAAAACTCTTAAAATAAAAAAAATAATTTAAAAATGGGCATAAGACATGAAGAGATATTTTTCAAAAAAAGATATATAAATGGAAAATAAACATAGCAAAAGATGCTCAATATCATTACTAGGAAATGAAAATCAAAACCACAATGTCCACAATGGGGAGAATTTCCTGGCAGTCCAGAGATTAGGACTCTGCATTCTCAATGCTGAGGGCCTGGGTTCAATCCCTAGTGTGGCAAAAAATAGTAAATAGAACCTATCTTTAAAAACAAACAAACAAAAAAACCCACAGCGAGATACCATTTCAAAATGACTAGGACGGCAACAACCACAAAGAAAAAAAGAGAGAAAGAGATTTCTCTGGCGATCCAGTGGTTAAGACTTCGCCTTCCAACGAACAGGGTACAGGGTCAATCAGAGGAATGAAGACCCCACATGCCTCAGGGCCAAAGACAAACAAATACAAAAAACATAAGAAACAGAAGCAGTATTGTAACAGATTCAATAAAAACTTTAAAAATGGTCCACATCCAAAAAAAATCTTAAAAAAAGAATGACTTTATTATTAGAAAATATCATGAAGTATTTGAGAAGTAATACATTATACTATATGAAACTTTCAAACAGTTATGAAGAAAATACATATATTAGAGAGAAAGAACAAATTATAAAACAAATCAAGCAAAATGTTAACAGTAGGTCAATCTGGGTAAATGGTATATGGATGTTCTTTGTCCATTCCTGCAATTTTTTCCATAAATAATTTCCTTGTAAGTTTAAAAAAATTACCCATTCTGGGCAGAAGATTTGAATAGAAATTTCTTCAAAGATGATATACCAATGGCCATGAAGCATACAAAAACACTCTCAATATCATTCATCATCAGAGAAATGCAAATCAAAAGCACAATGAGCTATCACCTTACACCCATCAGCATGGGTACTATTAAAAAAGAAGAGAAAATAATAAGTGTTAGCAAAGATTTCAGAAACTGTACATTGCTGGTGGGAGTGTAAAATGGTGCAAAAGACAGAGAAAACAGTATGGAAATGCCTCAAAAAATGAAAAACCTACCACATGATCCAGCAAATCCTACTTCTGGGTATATGCATCCCAAAGAACTGAAAGCAGGATCTTGAAGAGGGATCTGCACACCTATGTTCACAGCAGCACTATTTAAAATAGCCAAGAAATAGAAGCGACCCAAATATCCATCGACTGATAAATGGATAAGCAAAATGCAGTGCATATACCATTGATTATTATTCAGGCTAAAAATGGAAGGAAAACCTGTCACATAGTACAACATGTGATGAACCTTGAGGATATTATGCTAAATAAAATAAGTGAAAGTCGCTAAGTCGTGTCCAACTCTTTGTGACCCCATGGACTATACAGTCCATGGAATTCTCCAGGCCAGAATACTGGAGTGGGTAGCCTTTTCCTTCTCCAGGGCATCTTCCCAACCCAGGGATTGAACCCAGGTCTGTTGCATTGCAGGAAGATTCTTTACCAGCTGAGCCACAATAAGCCAGTCACAAAAAGACAAATATTGCATATTTCCACTTATATGAGGTATCTAAAGTATTCAAACTCATAGAAACAGAAAGTAGAATGGTGAAGGGGCTGCGTGGGATGGGGAAAAAAGGGGTTGTTGTTTAGTAGGTATAGAGTTTCGGTTTTGCAAGATGAAAAGGTTCTGGAGATCTGTTTCACAACTACTGAACTGTACACTTAAAAACAGTTAAGATGGTAAAACTTTTGTGTTTTTTACCATAAAAAAAAAATTCAGTACCATTTTGGTAATCAAGGTCTCTAAAGGCCACTGTCTTCTCCCTTCATCTTGCTTATTAAAAGGCAGCTGTCCTCTCACGTCTGAGCCACTAGAGTCCCATTTTATTTTGGTTTGTTTGTTGTTGTTTATTTATTTCCTGTTTATTGGCGTGTAGGTGATTTACAATGTTGTGTTAGTTTCAGGAGTAGAGCACAGTGAATCAGTTACACATACACACATATCCACTGTTTTTTTGGTTTTTTTTCCCTTTTGGTTCTTTCCGGGTTTTTGGGCGGGTTTTCTTTTTTTTTTTGTTGGTTTTTGTTTTTAAGGTTACCTTTTTTTCCTTTTGTTGTTTTGCTTTTTTCATCCCCATTTTCCCATTTTTTCCCCTTTTTTTTGCCTGTTTGTTACCCTTAGTTTTTTTTTTTCCTTTTTTGCCCCTTTTTTTTTTTTAATTGGTTTATTTTTTCTTTTTTTTTTAGATTCCACATATAAGCGGCAGCATATGATATTTGTCTTTCTCTGTCTGTCTTATTTCACTCAGCAGGAAATCTCTAGGTCTATCCATCCACTGTTATTACAAAAAGGAATAAGTATGTGACATCTGATGAACTCCTAGAAAACTCCATCAATAGGGCAGACCTTGGTGGGGAATAACCTTAACCTTTGCTGAGCTGGTTCATCCTTTCTTCACCTACAGCTGCTGAGGGCTTTGCAGGGCTTTTAAGAAGGTGCCTGTACATATGGAATGCCTGAGGTCCCACACTAGGTCCTGAGAGGTGGGTGAGGTGATTTGACTAACCCTACAGATGGGTCACCTCATGTGAACACAGAGCATCACAAGGCTGGCCTGCAAAGCAACTCTGGATCCACCAGGGGGCACCAGGCACCATGCTGTGCCTTTCCCAGTTCTCAGGGCTCAGTTCCCAGAGATCCATCTACTCTCCACAAGCAGGGGCCAGCCGGCCTGCATGCCTGCCTGCCTGACTCTGCTCCACAGCAGCCAGGTCTGGGTAAAGGGCCTATTCTTCCCAAATTCCCTCTTAAGCCCTCGCTTCTTTTCCTTTTTAAAAAATATTTATTTTACTTATTTATTTTGGATTCGCTGAGTCTTAGCTGCAGCATGCAGTAACTTTAGTTGCAGCATGCAGGTTTCTTAGATGCAGCATGTGGGATCTAGTTCCCTGACCAGGGATTGAACCTGGGTCCCCTGCATTGGGAGCACAGAGTCTTAGCCACTGGACCTCCACGGAAGTCCCAGACCCTCTCTTCTTTTTACACTTTTCTTTTTCTTTTTTTTCATTTATTTTTATTAGTTGGAGGCTAATTACTTTACAATATTGTAGGTTTTTGCCACACATTGACATGAATCAGCCATGGATTTATATTACACCTTTCTTTTTATTTATTTATTTTTTTACCTTTCTTTTTAATAAAACCTTTCATTTTGAGATAATTGGAGGTTCACATGCAATTGAACCTGAATGTGAGATCCTATGTACCCACTGCCCAATTTCTCCCCATGGTAACATCTTGCAAAACTGTAGTAACAATAATGCAACCAGGATATTGACACAGAATAGATCCATCAGCACAAGGATTCCTTGTGTAGCCCTCTTATAGCCACAGTCCTCCCTTCACAGATGGCTCTTAAAGATGGAAATATCAGAAGCACTTGGGTAGTTTCTTTAACCTCTCACCCCCACTAGAGAGACATAGGAGGATTAAGGGTTGTGGGGAAAGCTTATTTGCCCAACTGAGAACCACTGCTCACAGCCCCTATCCAATATCAGCTACTCCTTTAACTCTGTTTTTCCTAGAAGATGCTTTCTAAACCTGGATCTGAAATACTATTAATAATATTCTTCAAAGCAGCAGGCCAGTAGCTGGCCCACTAGCTACTGCTATCAGAAAATTCTATGGCTTCCCAAACCAACCCCATCCAGTTTCTCTGGCCTGAATCTGGTCCTTTTCGTTCTCACTCTGAAACTGAGCTTCCTCATTCACATAATGACTGTGTATTAACTCCTACAGGAGCCACAGCAGCGACCTGACACGATGCTCATCTATCACCTGGCACAGGTGTCCCACAATGCCTCCACGCAGCCCAGGCTCCTGATCCTCGGCAGGGCTCACAAAACTTCTGTGTTTTTGTCATCTGATGCTTTCAGTGACCACCTGTGAAGGGAGCGCCCATTCTGCCTCCTCTAGCTTCTGACCGCACCCACCTACTGGTGAGGAGGCTGCATTTGCGGAAAAGCTCTCTGTCTGGGAGGATTAGGAGCCCCTTACCTCACAGTACACAATGTCCGCTCCATAGTCCAGGGCCAGAAGCCGCATTGGGAGAGTCCCCACCCGAACCATAGGAGCTAAGATTAGTTTGTTGTGGTAGCACAGAGAGAGGCTGTTGACAGTCATTCCTGAAGAAAGAAGAGTCAGAAATTCAAATGGAGAAAAATTTCTTCTGTTATCTAGAGCAGGCTTTCCTTTTCCTCCCAACATGTAATAGTTTGTTTTCCCTTTCTCTGATCATAAAAACAATGCAAGTTCATTCACACATCCAACAAATATTTATTAAGTGTGTGGTCTGTGCCAGTCACTGTCCTAATCTTTGTGGATACATTAGAGAAGAAAACAAAGATTCCTGTTCTGCTAGAGCTTTCATGCTGGTGGGGAATGAAGAGTGCACAGCAGAGAAAACAGTCAGTGCAAAGGCCCTGGGGCAGGAGCAAGTCTGATGTGTTAAAAGACTAGTACAAAGGCCGACATAGTTGAGCACAGAAAGAAGAAGAGTAATGGACATCAGATACAGGATGGATGTGAGAGCAGTAAGCAGACAGGACACAATGGTGAGATCCCAAATGGCCTTGTAGGATGCTCTATGGGCTCTGTTAGTTCTTCACGATATGAGCCAGCACGGGTTTTAAGGAGAGGAGTGGCATGACTGATCACATTTCCGCATGATCACAGTGACTGCTGCATGAAAAGCCATGGTAGACACAGGGAGACCAGTTAGACTCCTCAGTCACTGATAAGAGAGATGATGGTGGCTCAGGATGGGGAGAGAGTTATGAAGGTGGTGAGAAGTGGTCATGTTCTAAAAATACTTTGAAGGTAAAGTCAACAGGAGTAAAACAAAAACAAACAAACCAAAATCTTTAAAATGGATAACCAACAAAGACCTACTGTATAGCACAGGGAACTCTGTTCAATGTTATGTGGCAGCCTGGATGGGAAACGAGTTTTGGGGAGAATGGATACATGTATATATATGGCTGAGTCCCTCTACCGTTCATCTGAAACTATTACAACATTGTTAAATGGCTATACCCCAATATAAAATAAAAAGTTAAAAAAAATACCAATGTCCAGGCCTGACCTCAAGTCAATTAAATCAGAATATAAAGCTCCCTAGGGCAGGAATTTTGTCTGTTTTGTTCACATGAAAAGTACCTGGCACATACGTGGTGCTCAGGAAATATTTACTGCTTGAATAAATGAATGAATGTACCACTATCACCTGAGACCCAAGGAACAATTCCTTTTAAAATTTAGGGAGTAACTAGGCAACATATGTTTCCATGGCAGCTCTGAGAAAAACATTACCTCAAGAGGCCACCATTCCCAGGAGCTTGGATTTTTCCACAATAAGTAAGCCTTTCTTATTTCTAGAAAACTCTTGAGAGTCCCTTGGACTGCAAAGAGATTCAACCAGTCCGTCCTAAAGGAAATCAGTCCTGAATATTCATTGGAAGAACTGACGCTGAAGCTGAAACTCCAATACTGTGGCCACCTAATGGGAAGAACTGACTCACTGGAAAAGACTCTGATGCTGGGAAAGATTGAAGGCAGGAAAAGAAGAGGATGAGAAGGTTGATGGCATCACCAACTTGATGGACATGAATTTGAGTAAGCTTCGGGAGTTGGTGATGGACAGGGAAGTTTGGTGTGCTGCAGTCCATGGGGTCACAAAGAGTTGGACACAACTGAGCGACTGAACTGAACTGATAAAGTGCTTTGTAAAATATCTTGTAAAATATCCATCTCAATAACAACTAGAGGTTACTCAATGTCTGCTGTGAGCAGGAGGGAAAGAGGGGATTTACAGAATATCTAAAGAAATGGTAAGAAAGGGACTTCCCCGGTGGTCCAGTGGTTAAGACTCCATGCTTCCACTGCACGGAGCACTGGTTTGACTCCCAGTCAGGAAACTAAGATCCAGCATGCCATGCAGGGTGGCCAAAAAAAAAAAAAGAAATCACAGTAAGAAACTAGGGGCTATGAGAAGAGACAGACAGCCTCAGACAGGCTCCAATCCCTATGACATTTTGAGGTAATCACATTGCAAGGGCTCGAGCATGAGAAAGCAGCCACTAACCAGTTACCCTGCCCCAAATATTTGGACAAAAGTCAAACACAAACACATACCTATGTATTATTCTTTTCTGATAATTCTTTCAGTGTATCTGTTCTGGCTCGGTGCAAAGCAATTCTTTGTTTTGTATCTGAAAAAAGAGTAGCACAGGTAAATGGATGAAACCTGTCAGATCAGACATCCAAGGAGCCCTTCAGTTAAGGAACAAGGAGCTCTGAGTTCTTGGAAAGAATCATAAAAGTAGTGTAGAATCACAATATCATAGTGTATTCTTTGTATCAACTCCCCTCTATCATTCCACCACTCAATGGTCATTGATCTGTACATTAAATTTTCAGTGACAGAAAATCCAGCACTCTCCAGACAGATCTGGGCATTTCTGGTTGCTACAGCAGTCTTTATGTCAAATTCGGAATCTGACTCCCTGTCATCAGTCCCAGTCTGCCTTCTGGAATGGTTCAACCCATGGCACACCTCATCTCTTTTCCATCTGACACACTCCCCAAACACATGAGGACAATTTTATTCTTCCTGAAGTTCTCTTCTCCCATACCACCCTCCTTAAATCACCCCTTTCTGTGCTTATGGCTCTCAGGGGCCCCCCAAGGTTTCTTGATCCCAAGGGCAGGACAAGCAATGACATCAATATGCCCACTACAGATTCTGGGGAAGGGGCTGGGCCACACAAGAACCTGGCAAGTGTAGCTACCTGAAGTGAGAGCACATGCGGCAACCTCAGCCCCTCTTCAGTCCCCATCCTCTATCCAAGGTTCTCAACAGCACTGTTGATATATATTTTCCGCCAGATCATTCTTTGGGGGGGGGGGGCCACTGTCTTGTGCATTGTACTATATTTAGTAATATCCTGGTCTCTACCCACTAGAAGCCTGTGGCATTTCCCCAGATGTGACAAATAAAGATGTCTCCAGCCATTGTCAAATGTCCTGGGGGAAGGGTGGGGGCAAAAACCACTCTCACTCAAGAGTCGCCATTCTATCCAGTGACTCTGTCTACCTGTCATTACTCAAAACTCTCTCCTCCTCTAGTTTAACAGGTAACTCTCCAGAAAAGCCTGTTGTGTATCAAAATACTATTTGAAATATAATAGTATTTATCTTTATAACAGCATCTAATGAAAGTAAAACTTTTCTCCAGGGACTTCCCTGGTGGTCCAGTGGTTAAGATTTCATATTTGCACTGCAGGCAGCACCACAGGCTGTACAGCAGTGGCCAAAAAAACCCAAAAACCTCTTTCTTCAGATGTTAAGACTCTTCCAAGTAGTTAACCCACATTTACCTTATCTCCTACCCAAGAATGATCTGGCCCAAAATATCAACAGTGTGCTGTTGAGAACCTTGGATAGAGGATGGGGACTGAAGAGAGGCTGAGATTGCAGCATGTACTCTCACTTCAGGTAGCTACATTTGCTAGATTCTTGTGTGGCCCAGCCCCTTCCTCAGAATCTGGGTAGGAGATAATCTGATGCCCATTTTCTGGGTCCGTTCAAGAAGTACCGATAGTGTAAGGTTTTCCCACAACCTGAACTGAATTCAGGTAAAATATTCTGCCTGACCATGGCTTTGTGAGACAAGTCAGATACCTGCAGCAGGACCCTCCTCACTACTATTCAAGTAATTTAGGTATCTAACCTGAAAGCTGGTGGAGCTAGCCAAGCTTCAGGATGAGAAGTTGGAAAGGGTGACAAGAGAAGGAAGAATGAACTTCAGCGGAAAAGCAAGCGGAAAAGGTCCGAAGAGATGAGTTCTCTTGACTGAAGAGATGATATGCTGAAGTCCATCAGCTTGCCCTCTGGGCCCTCCGCTCTCTCGGCGGTGGGGAAACGCTGAGCCTAGATCTACTCCTGGTCTCGGCCCCCATTCACTCAGACTCTCAATAAATATTTGTATTAGAAGACCTTACAAGGGGAGCACATCTGTGAAAACACCGCCACACCCTCACAGTTTACACGGGGCGATCAGAACTGGACAGGCCATCACAGAAGCTGTGAGGGCGACAAAGGAGAATTGTAGGGTTCCGACATCGGATCGCCAGAAGCCCTCAGCCCTCCTGGTTCTTAATGCCAGGGCCCCATCGCCGCCTATCGCCGGACCCCGGTCCTGCCTTCATCGCGCACCCTTCCCCAAGGTTGGCCGGGGCCTGGACGTCACCATCCGGTTTGGACCTACAGACCTCGCCGCTGCTGAACTCTACAGATCCTCCCTCCTTCCACACAGTTCGCCAATTCCGCATGCCTTACTGAGCCGCGCCGGCCACCGTCCGCGAGGCCTTGGCGCGCGCGTGACGTCACGGTTGTGCGCCTCTTCCGCACCAAGGGGAATATGGCTCTAGCACGGCAGCTACGACTGTTGTCGCTCGTGACTCAGTTGCCTCTGGCGCCTCGAAGGGACCTGACAGTCCGCGGTCCCGACGAGCCCCTGCCCGTGGTGCGCATCCCGCGGGCCCTACAGAAGCGGCAGGAACGGCGGCAGAGCGGGCAGCGGAGCCCCCTGCGGCCCGTGTTGGTGCGACCTGGCCCACTGCTGATCTCGGCGCGGCGGCCGGAGTTGAACCAGCCCGCACGCCTAACGCTGGGCCGTTGGGAGGCTGCGCCACTCGCTTCGCGAGGCTGGAAGCATCGGCGCGCTCGCCAGGACTACTTCTCCATTGAGCGCGCTCAGCATGAGGCCCCAGCGCTGCGGAACCTCTCGTCCAAGGGTAGCTTCGCCGATCTGGGTCTGGAGCCCCGTGTGCTGAGCGCACTCCAAGAAGCTGCTCCCGAAGTCGTTCGGCCCACTACCGTGCAGTCGAGTACCATTCCGCCATTACTTCGTGGCCGCCACATCCTCTGCGCCGCGGAAACCGGCAGTGGCAAGACTCTTGGCTACATGCTACCTCTGCTTCAGCGGCTCTTGGGCCAGCCAAGCCTGGACCCCAGTCGTATCCCTGCTCCTCGAGGCCTGGTCCTTGTGCCTTCTCGAGAATTAGCTGAACAGGTGCGGGCCGTGGCCCAGCCCTTGGGCAGCTCCTTAGGCCTCCGGGTGCAGGAGTTAGGGGGAGGCCATGGCATGAGTAGGATCAGGCTGCAACTGTCCAAACATCCTCCAGCAGATGTACTAGTGGCCACTCCGGGGGCTCTGTGGAAGGCCCTGAAAGGTCAACTAATCAGCCTGGCGCAGCTCTCTTTCTTGGTGTTGGATGAGGTAGATACATTGTTGGATGAAAGTTTCCTGGAACTGGTGGATTACATCTTGGAGAAGAGTCACATAGCAGAAGGCCCCGCTGACTTAAAAGACCCTTTCAATCCCAAAGCTCAGTTAGTGTTGGTCGGGGCCACATTTCCCGACGGTGTAGGCCAGCTGCTGAGTAAAGTTGCCAGCTTAGACTCTCTAACCACCATTACCAGTTCCAAGCTCCACTGCATCATGCCTCATGTCAAACAGACATTCATGAGGCTGAAAGGAGCAGAGAAGGTGACTGAGTTAGTGCAGATCCTCAAGCAGCATGACAGAACACACAGGACTGGCTCTGCAGGAACTATTCTCGTGTTCTGTAACAGCTCCAGCACTGTGAACTGGCTGGGATATATTCTGGATGACCACAAAATCCAACACTTAAGACTGCAGGGACAAATGCCAGCCTCCATGAGGGCAGGTATTTTCCAGTCCTTCCAGAAGGGCTCCCGAGACATACTTCTCTGCACAGACATCGCCTCTCGGGGCCTGGACAGCACCCAGGTGGAACTTGTCATCAATTATGATTTCCCTCTCACCCTGCAGGATTATATCCACAGGGCAGGGAGGGTGGGCCGTGTGGGGAGTGAGGTGCCAGGAACAGTCATCAGCTTTGTGACCCATCCCTGGGATGTGAGCCTGGTTCAGAAGATTGAACTGGCAGCTCGCCGGAGGAGAAGCCTTCCAGGTCTAGGGTCCTCAGTAAGTGAGCCTTTGCACCAGGAAACCTTACTGCAGCAGGCTTAAATACGAAGCCGTAACGGATCTTTCCCTGTATGCTGGGTGGGTGAGCACACTTGTCAGCAGGATGCTCTGGGCTGCTTAGTCACCTTCTAAAGGCTCCAGCTGCTGGTCAACACTGAAGGGTGAAATACTGAACGTGGCTCTCTATAGTCTTTCACACGAAGAATAAAGTCAATTTTGGCTTTGTTTCATGTCATGATTTCTAACAATAAGTGATGTTTCTGTAGTTTGCACCTGGGGCACAATTCACTGGATTATGAGAAAATTCACACTCCAAACTACTACACCTAGGACAAAGACTCCTTCAGTTGATGTTTTTGTTTAGACTTTATTTCCTGCCCCCAAAACCATCCATTAAGGAGACTTCCCTGGTGGTCCAGTAGTTAAGAATCTGCCTCCTAATGCAGGGGATGTGGATTCGAACCCTGGTGGGGGAACTAAGATCCCACATGCTGTGGGACAGGGCAGCTAAATCCTAGTCTCACCCTGTGGCCACAACTAAGACCTTACACAGCCAAATTTTTTAAAAATCCATTAAGCCCTCAGAAGAAAGAAAAGGAGATATGACTAGCAATAGGGAAATTTTCTTCATGAACAATGGCCATGGCAAGCTTAGGCTCTCTTAGTGAAATCTCTCTGGGAAGTAGTGGCAGAAGAATAAAAGGCAGACTGACACAGAAGTGTTCCTTGGTATGCATTTCCAGCCTCTGCCTTCTTTCTCATCTCTTGGTTGCAGAGGAAGAGGAAAGAAGTTTAAACATTTTCATAAAACTGGCAAAATAAGCTTATAGCATCCTCTCACTATCTTCTAGGCTCTATAAGCTTTATAGAACCTAGCAGCATTATATAAGCTTTGCCTAAAGTAAGGAGCAGTTGAAAGAGATAATACTTAAGAAAACAACTTAAAACTGCTCACACACTGAAAAGGATTAAGTTGCAGAGAACAGAAATAGGCTCAGAGCAACCTTTGCCAAAAGAGAATATTGTGCTAAATGTGCAGTCTTTCCCATATGAGGAAAGAGTCAGAAAGATAAAAGAACTTGCTCAAAATCACACAAATAAGTAGGACAGAATCTGGTCTGTGTCCTAAGAGTTGTGTTCTTTAACCACTAGACTAAGTTTTCTCAAATGTGATTCACATGTAGAATAACTATACATTTCTGTTCACCTTGAATATTCCTTATTTATATCTATGCCTGCTGCAGTTTTTAATATTGCTCACTTTGACTCTCAAAAGCAACCCCAAATAGACAATAATTTAGTCACTATTTGTGGACCACTTTGGTGCAACTGCCCAGGAAGCTTGTTGATCCCTGAGCCCTACTCCAGAGCTACGTAAGTTTTCTGAGGGTTGGTCCAAAAATCCACATACAAGTCTTTGTTGTTTTGTGGAATCTCCAGATGAGTCTCCCACCCTTTTAAGTTAATAAACCATGTATTCTGCCTTCCCCGGGTGCCCAGCTGAGTTATGATAAGGTTCGGTACCTGCATCGCGCCAGAGGGATGCTCTCAGACAAGTAATCTCTGAAGCCTTGGACAGTCAGTGGTCTCACTCTGGCCCACCTGCCATGACAAACCTACAGAGCATTTCCCTTCACATTTTACCTTCTAGCATTCCCAAAGGCAGTCTGCTCTAATTAGGCCTGACTTCATCTGTCCTAATATGCATCCGCCAATTCAAGCAATTTAGGAGTAGAGAGAAGGAAGGTTTCTGCGGTTCGCAACCAGAGTGGCCCAAGCTCTAAAATAATAGCCCAAGACGTCACCTCCTGGGCACATACCCTCTGCAACAGCTCCAGTAAACAAATGTCCCATCTTTGCTTTTTTAAGGTCAGCCATAGGGAGCCCCTGAAGAAGGTTATCTTACATTGCCACATTACCAAAGGCTGCCCCAAATGTTCCTTCCTGTGAACCTGATCAGGCTAATGGCAGAGCTGTCTCTTTCCTTCTCTAAGATCAAACTGTCTTAGTAACACCTCTTCACGGTGTTCACCATGTTTTTCACTTGGGTTGCTACTTAGCCTGTTATCTCATCTTTTCATGGTAGAGAGAGGGGGGACTATAATGATTTTTGCTTTTAAGGGAGAGGGGAGTGTAATGTTTATGTTGTCATTTTGTCATGAGTTTGTTTTGAATTTCCTATTAAAATGGGTCCATCACTCCCACTTGGTGAAGTCATCAGGGCCCTCATTTTGCACCTTTAACATCTCTCAGTGTCAGTTTGAAATGGGATGAGCTTGTCCTCACATTCCTATTGGCTGTAAATCTGGACCCTGATATGAACCTACCATTGAGCAGAACCGCTCCACTGCCTGTGTAGCCTTGGGTAGGCCCCTTAACCTCTTGGTTTAAGTCTTGGCAGTTGTAAAAATGTGAGAGGGCTATGAATTTATATCTGGGGCAGAACAAAGTTGAGAAGAGTGTGTCTTTGCTTTTATTCTTTCAAACTGGAATGACTCCCCTTTTCCCCATGGGTGCATATCTCACTTGTCCTTCAGGCCCACTGCCAAGGAGCCTTCCCCGATTCCCCAGTCCACACAAATCTGTTTCTCTTCGGGTTAGTACCATACAGCCTAGTGTCTCTTAGGTCAATTTTGCCTCTCAGGCCAATCTCAGAATGTGGGTTCTGTTGCCCTCCCCTGGCACCAGGGGCTGTGCCAGCCCACAGGCATGCTCCCCAGGGGGTGACCACTAGACTAGGGCACGCGTGGGGAGGCCCAGGTGTGAGGGGTCAGGCAAGGTGCCTCTCTGCCTTCACTCTGCTCTCCTCCAAAAAACCTCGAGAGCCTGCAGCCTGCCCCTCGAGTCACAGGTTCCTTATATGACCTCACTGGGTAGTGATGACCTCACAGCCCTTATCACAGTTTCCATGGCAGGGTAACTGCGCAAACGTGCTGCTCTCGGAGAAACTTCCCTACCAGTCCTCTACCAGATAGCAGTCTTCGGCTGTGTAAGAGAGAATGTCTGATCGAATCTTCTATATTCACTCTAACTTGTCCTCTGTCCCCTGGGAGGGCAATGCAGCAGGTAGGCTGAGACTGGACATCTGTTCAAGAGGCGCTGTGTACACACAGCCTCACTTGGCCACCGCGCGTTCCTTTTGGGCCTGCCCACACACACACCTCAGCACTTTCCCAACTGCAAGTAATATGAGTGCCCTGGGGCACCTTCAGGGACCCACAGTGCTCATTGCTGAGGATAAGCAAAAGGTCACCCCTGGGCAAGTGAGCAGGAAGGTCCTGGTCTTTCAATGTAGCCTTCCTTTTTGGGCTACAGGACACTTCCATCCAGACCCTTTCCTGATTGGCCTCTTAGCAAAAGGCAAGTGCATTTTTGCTGGCAAATGATAAATGGCACAGTTTGAGGAAGAGGGCGGCTCTTGAGCTGCACCTTCAAACCCAGGCACCTTCGTGTAGTCATGGGGACATCTACATGGGTCCCCTCAGACACATTCCAGACTGAGCTGCTGTGTACTGGGGGAAAGTGTGGTGTGGTATTGGGGGAAAGACCCGAAGAACCCAGGGGAGTGATGAAATGCTAATGAGACTGGAGGGCTGAGGAGCTGGTGTCCCAGGAGGTCGATGTGAGTCTAGACTTAGTACCCACAATCTGGTTCTGAATCTTTTGGTCACTCTGCCTCAGTAATTTCTAATCTAGATAAAAGTATCAGAGGGCTAGAGTTCAATGTGGATGAAACAGGCAATATAAATGGGGCCCAAGAGGGGCTGCCAAGGTGGGAGGGGTTCTTACCAAATTAGATTCCTTTTCCCAAAACTTGAAATGCATTTCCACTGAAGACAGACCTTAAGGAATGTTTTCTCTGGTGTGGAAGGGAGAGATGGAGGGGATCCTGATTGCAATTATTTTTAGGTTTTCTCTGGAAATGGCAAACAGATTTCCTCATCGGCTGCAGTCACAGTCTCTAGGAAATGCTTTGGCAGCCAAGGTCCATTCTCTAGGGATTCATGGGGTGATGGGCAGAGGCTGTGTTTTGAATGTCAAGCAGATTTTAAAGGGCTTCAGCCAGAAACTGGGAGAGACGTGAGAGGGGAAATTCTGGCAGGAGACTGTGTACAGCAGAAGCGACTGATCAGTTATTTTCTTTGCAGCAGCTGTGGCCCCCATTTCCCCTCCTACACCTGGTCACTACCATGTCCTCTACCGAGGGTGTGGAGAAATGCAGGTAGGCTGGCATGGGGAGACATACTGCCTGGTCGGTGGCTACCGGGCCTATGGGGATGCTCCTGTGGCCACCCCAGCCAAGGTGGAAGCAGAGAAGCCAGTCCTCAGCCGCACTCCCAAGAGACAGCAAGCTCTGGTGGAGTCGGATAAAGACCTCAGTTGCTCCAGCCCCAAAATTCAGCAACTGCAGCATGGTGGCAGGAGGCTGACCCTGCAGAAGCTTGCCAGCTGAGCCACACTCTGAAGAGAGGGCAATGGTTTAAATGCTGCTTCCTGCAGTGACCACCACTGCCACAGATTAGAACCTGTGCCATTCTGTCTGGCCCTTCCTTCCTCAACCAGGAACCTCCTTCCACACTAAACGGCCATGAGCAAGGAACCTCAGAAACAGAGTTGAGAGTCTCCTCTGAACATCCCAGGACTGAAGCTGGCCTGGAAGAAAACCTGATGTTCCTCTGCTCAATTCTCGGGAGCCCCTTTGTGGGCAGAAGAAAGAACAATCTGCACACTGTGAGCCAAAGAGGACCCAGAAGCAGAGAGAAGTGTGGAGTGGCCTTCGCAGGGGCCCTGTCTACCACACAGGCTCCTGCCTGAGCCACTGGCCAGCTGCCACCACCACACACCAAGGGGAGCTGGGCTTTTCAAAACTGAAAGAAGCAATGTGCAACTTCCCAAAGAGCCTCCTGCCTTGGATCAGGAGGCAGGATAAAGAGACCCAGGAAGACCTGCTCCCTGGAGCAAGAACATGATGGAGAGTCAAGTGGCAGCCACCCCTCCCCAAGGCTCACATGCTCCTTTACTCCCAGCCCTTTCTGGCCCCAACGGGGTCCCTTACTGCTCAATAAAATGTTTTCTGTAACAGTGTCTGACTTGAAATCCAAGTTATCTAAGGCCAGGTCCCAAACCTCCCTGTTTCCTTTAAGCATATTCCCACATGGGGCTCCTGGTCCTTTGAGAACTTCTGCCTCTAAAAAGACCCTTGGGGGTAGTTTCTACCTATGTGGCTCCTGCAATGACACCTGTGCAAATTGGGGCAGGATGTAGGCAGGTTCTTTAAGAAATGTAGAGCCAGGGGGAAAAAAAAAAAGAAATGTAGAGCCGGTGTGTGTGTGTGTGTGGTATGTGTGTAATGAAAAAAGAGGAAGGACTGGGAACATGCCATTCCATCTGTCGATCCGTTTATTCAACAAATACTGAGTACCCAGGTGGTGCTAGTGGTAAAGAACCTGCCTGCCAATGCAGGAGACCTAAGAGATGCAGTTTCAACCCGTTTGTTGGGAAGATCCCCTGGAGGAGGGCATGGCAACCCACTCCAGTATTCCTGCCTGGAGACAGAGGAGCCTGGTGGGCTACAGTCCATTGGGCTGCAAAGAGTCGGACATGACTGAAGCAACTTAGCAAGTACACATGCACCTGCTACAAACCAGCCGCTGTGCTGGCTGCCTGAGGTGTTTAGGTGAATGAGATGATCGAACACCCTCTTCTCATGGCACCCACAACCTGAAAGGAGACATAAACAATAATTTCAAGTAATTATAATTGCTATACGGAAAAGTAGAACAGGATAATGGGGTAGAGTGATAAGGGGTTGCTATGTTATACCAGGTAGTCAGGGAAGGCTTCTTTGAGGAGCTGGCATTTCAGTGGAGATGCAAGTGAAAGAATCCCGTGAGGAGCTGGAAGAAGAGAATTTCCGAAGGAGGACATGGCAAGTACAAAGACCTTGAGGTAGGAGTGAGGCTGGCGTGTACTAGGACCAGCAGAAGGGCCGGTGTGACCAGGGAGGAAAGAGAATGAAAGATGTGGTTGGAGAAGTAGGAACAGGCCAGATCATAGTAGGCCTCATCAGCCATACTGAAGAGTGTGACTCTTAAGTGTGATGGGAAGTTGTGGAAAGGATTTGAGCAGGGGAGTGAAGTGATCTGACGCAGGTGCGAGAAAGACCACTCTGACTGCTGTGCGCCATGGCAGTGAGTTGCTGGATGTCCCTGGTGGAATGCCTCTTCCAGCAGTTAAGGGGACAGTTGGTCCTGGAAAGCTGGGGCAGGGGAATATTAGGAGAGACGAAAGAGTACAGGGTTTGGGCCTGTATCTCAGGCCCACCTCCCTCATCAGCGCATTGGATGTATATACCACATCTTTATCCACTCATCCATGATGGACACTTAGGTGGCTTCCATATTTGGTTATTGTAAATAATGCTGCAGTGAACATGGGGGTGCATATATCGTGAATTAGTATTTTTGTTACCTTTGGGCAAATGCCCAGAAGTGGAATTGCTAGATCATCTGATACTCTTATTTTTAATTTTTTTGAGAAACTTTCAAAATATTTTCCAGAGAGACTGTACCAATTTAATTCCCACCAACAGTGTGCAGGGGTTCCCTTCCCTTCAGGTCCTCTCCAACACTTGTTTTCAGCCATCCTAACAGGTGTGAGGTGACAAGTCATTGTGGTTTTGATTTGCATTTCCCCGATGGTTAGTGACACTCAGCACATTTTCACATACCTCTTGGCCATCTGTATGTCTTCTTTGGGGAAATGTCTATTCAGATCCTTTGCCAGGATCCGACTTTTAAAAAGAGTCCCTCAGGAAGTTCCCCTGGAGAAGAAACTGGCAACCCACTCCAGTTTTCTTGCCTGGAGAATCTCATGGACAGAAGAGCCTAGTGGACTAGAGTCCATGGAGTCACAAAGAGTCAGACACGACTGAGCGACTAACACACCTGTCTTTTAGAGATGGAATCTTAAATATGGATGAAATAAATGCTGATTTGCTTTAAAATATTCTATAAAAGTGGATGGGTAAGGTATAAATGAAATAAGATAGGGCATTAGTTGATAACTGTTGAAGCTAAGCAATGGGTACAAAGGGGTTCAATATACTCTTCTCTCTACTTTTTCAATGTTTGAACATTTTCCCTAATAGGTAAAAAGAAATAAAAACTTCTCAGATGGAGCCTATGTTCAGCCAGATTTGGAATCAGCGAGGACTCAGGTGGTCAGCTTCACAGGGTGAACTAGTTTGGGCAAGCCCTGGAAGTCAGGCAGAGGAGGGCAAGCTTCCCACATAAAAGCAGGGAGCGGGGCGGGCAGGTCTGGGGTAGAGTGTGCTGTGTGCAGCATGGTGTTGTGGAGGACAGGCCTGACAGGCCTGAAAGCTGAGCAGGCTAGGCTGAACAAAGAGACAGCAAGTCTGAACTCGAGGCTAAATGAGCAATCACGTATGTTGTCAAGCAAACGTTTGCTTGCTCAGGTCTGGCTCCCAGCACCTGGCGCCCCCACAGCCAACTCTTCTGTGTGTTATGCCAGCACATGTGATAGATCACTGGAGGCTCGTCCAGCCCTCTCACTGTACACCTCAGCGAAAGGCCAGCACCGGAAGGTAATCAGCAAAGGATATCAGTACAAAGAGATGGATGGAAGTGATTCTCCTCCACAGAGATAGCAGCTAGAAGTCGAGACATCGAAAGAACTCTATCTGACTTGCCAGGAGGGCACCACTGTGATCACGTGCCTGCCCAGCAGCTGGTCTCCCCACACCTGTCCTCCTTCTCAGCCAGGGCAGGTTCCACCCCAGGGCCAGTGGGCTACTCTGCCTACCACTGCTGGCTTCCCCAGGTGCCTGCCTTATGAACCATGAATTCTCCTCCCTGAAGACAGAGCCAACCCTGGTGAGCCCGGCAGCAGTGAACAGGAGGTATGCAAAGTCAGACATGGCAGACTTGGCCAAACAGCTGGCTGTCATTCTTCAGAGTTCTGGCCCGTCAGGGCCTGGAGCACACACAGAGGATGAGCCAAAAGAGACAAAATCTGAGTAGGTCTGGCTTGGGGTCCCAGAGAGCCCCAGACAACAGAAGACTAAGGATATCTCTCCATAGACTCTTGGTTCCATTGTCCTTACAAGCTGCCCCCAATTGGGAGGCATGGGGATAAATAAGGAGCTTGGGATTAACATATACACACTACTGTATATAAAACACAACTAACAAGGACCTATAGTATAGCACTGGGAAGTATATTCAGTATTTTGTAATAACCTCTAAGGGGTAAAGAGGCTTCCCTGGTAAAGAATCTGCCTGCCAATGCAGGAGATGCAGGTTCCATCCCTGGGTCAGGAAGATCCCCTGGAGAAGGATATGGCAACCCACTCCAGTATTCTTCCCTGGGAAATCCCATGGACAGAGGAGCCTGGCAGGTTACAGTCCATGGGGTCACAAAAGAGTCAGACACGACGTAGTGACTAAACATCACACCAACACATAAAGGAAAAGAATCTGAAAAAGAAAAAAAATACACACACACACACACACACACACACACACACACATATCTGTGTGTGCATGTGTGGCTGAATCACTTTGCTGTAACCTGAAATGACACAACTTTGTAAATCAGCCATAGTGAAAAAGTGAAAGTGTCAGTCGTTCAGTTGTGTCTGACTCTTTGTGACCCCATGGACTGTAGCCTGCCAGGCTCCAATGTCCATGGAATTCTCCAGGCAAGAATACTGGAGTGGGTAGCCATTCCCTTCTCCAGGGGATCTTCCCGACCCAAGGATCAAACCCAGGTCTCTTGTATTGCAGGCAGATTCTTTACCATCTGAGCCACCAGGGAAGTCCAAATCAACTATAATTCATTTTTAAAATGAAAAAAAAAGTCTATCAGAAAAAATATAAGGCTGGTAAAAACCTACCTCGTGGGCTATTGTGAAGACTGAATGCACTGTGTACTACTAACTCGAAGCATAGCTCTGGGCACGCAGTAACTCTGGCTTCCCTCATGCACTGTCACTGCTGCCACATCTCCTCGTTCTGGGAAGGAAGGGAAGGCGCAGCCTCCTGTGCTCCTAATCAACTCACTTTTCACTGAATGATGGTCAAGTGCTTGCTGTGCTCAGGTGTGGTGCCAGGTGCCAGAATGTGGTGGTCGTGGCCTTACGGAGTTCACTTGCCAGCTCCAACAGGGGCAACTACTTCTGACTGCTGGGGCAGGGTGGGGTGGGGAGGAAGAGGGAGAGGTCCCAGCAAAACCTGAACCTGAGCAGTGTGAGAGGTTCACTCATGTCCCTGTTTTTAGAGAGGGTAAGTTGCCAAAGAGGGTTTGGATGTGGCAGAGTTCTCCACGGTATGTTCAACCCTTCCTGATGGCAAGATTTCCTCCCCTGGCCCTGCCTCAACAGCGCCACCATTTGGAGGCCGAGGGGCAGCATGGCTGGTGTGGCCAGAAAACGGGGCAGAGTGGTGGTGGTAGTGGTTTAGTCCAACTCTTGCGACCCCATAGACAGTAGCCCACCAGGCTCCTCTGTCCACTGGATTTTCCAGGCAAGACTACTGGAGTGGACTGCCATTTCCTTCTCTAGGGGATCTTAGAGGTTTGTGTTATTTGTTGAAACTGGAGAAGCAGGTGAGGGCAGACTCCCCAGGACTTGAAAGTCAAATAAAGGAATCCTAGGTTTAGGAGCAACAAGAAGCCACAGAAAAACTTTGTGCAGGAGGATGGCACCAAATTTTTCAAAGAGAGATAGGGTATGCCTGCTCTGTGGGAAATAAACTGGAGGTGGGGAGACCAGAAGGAGGTGAGAGATGAAAATGACCTGTACTGGGGAAGGAACAGTGGGCGTGGAAAGGAGACATACCCAGGAGATGTTTGGAGGTTGAATCAGCAGAACTTGAAGATGCCCTGAAAGGGGAGGGGTGGGCAGAGAGTAGAGGGTATCATGGATGACATTAAGGTCAGCTCTGGAGCCAGGCCCTGGGCTTCTCTGTCTCCATCCTCTTTTCACTTCCGCCCATTGTCGGTGGCACCTGAAAAACTTCTGGCATAACCTCTGCCCTAAAACTGTCCCTGTGTCCGGGGGGCTCCTAGAGGACAAGACGTTGCTAGTGTGCTCATTTGCCCCTGGCAGAGACAGGGCATGAAGATGCCTTGGTGAGGTTAAGGAAACAACATGTCACTTTGTTGGCTAAAATCTGCTTGCCACTTGGGTGTGAGTACTCCCCTGCCCCTGAGTATATAAGAATGTACATGTGTGTGTGTTTCCATGATCAGCTTTATATGGTCACCTCAAGGCCATGGCCACCAGTGCCAGCCTGTTTAAGGACTGAAGCTGAACATTACAGAAAATTTGTTGCCTGGCTAATCTTCTACAGTAATGGTGCCTACCTCCTCTAGGTCAAAACAGCCTGTCTAGACATCTGGTCCCTGCAGAATAGCTAAAAAAAGAAAGAAAAAAAAAAGGCTAAATTCTCTCTTTTCATTCCTCTGTCAGCAGCTGCTGTTTGTCTGCACTTCCTGGAGGTCTATCAAGAGTGGAATGAACTGTTTATCCCCCAAACTCATATTTTTTTTTGCCTGGAAACCAGCCCAAGAATTACTCCTCCCTCTCCCACTGTGAGAGTGACTCTGGGGGCTGCTGAGCAGCAAAGGGAGGGAAAGGAGCCAGGTCTGAGTTTGGGTGCCCAGGGCAGGGATACACCCTGCTGTTCTCTGAGGCAGAGCCCTAGGGGACACATGCACTGAAGGCTGCAGTGAGCAGGAAGCAGACTCACCTCCAACATAGCACCACCAGTGTGCCCTTCCTTCTGGCCTGTAGGCACTAGGCAGTGTCAAATGCAATATACATGAGCCTTGAAATATACACAAGCAGGGACCCTTCCCCTCGCAGGTAGACCAGGACCTCTAGTTCTGCTGGAAGAGTTTTACTCATTTCATTTTTAAGAGAGATTTCTAGGGTCTCCAGCACTCAGACTTAGGTCCCTACCCCTGAGCTAGTCACTCCTGCCACCCAGGAAAGTTTCCAAAGGCCGAACAGCTCCGTGGGGCACCAAGGACCGGAGCAGAAATTTGAGAGGCTGGAGATGAAGGAGTTTGGGCACGGTTCCAAAAGCATCTCAGTGGCTGAGCTTCTGTGAGAAGGCACATCCTCAGTGTATGTGTGTGGTGGTGGTGGGAGGGGGGCTGTTCCTAGAGGAGTCAGCTAGGGTGAGGGCCTGAAACTAGAAATGAGGAATTGGGTGGGGCCTTGGAGCAAGCACAGGAACTTAGACCTGTGGTTTCTGGGAGAGCTAGAGCCACAAGGCCCACAAGATACAGCGACTGTAGCAGTGGAACCCAGATGCCAGGCCTTCCACACTGAGGTAGGAGGGATCCTGGATCCTGGCCAGCAGGTCAGCCCACAACTCTGGGAGGAAGCTTCCTGGGGTGGGGAATCTCCTGTCATGGAAGTGACTTCAATTCCTTCCACTCAACAGCCTACCTACCAGGTTCTTGCTCTGGTGAGTAAAAGGGTCCTTGACTCTTACCAGATAGTTGTTCGGTTCACACCCTCAAAGTTCCTCAAGTGAGGCCCTGGAGAAGTGCAGCAACTCCTGAAGGCGCTCTTTCCAGAGCGTGACTGGGGGAAGTGGGGGAGGGTGCCCCTGACAGTTCCCAGTTGCTGGCTGACGTTTCCTGAGAATGGTCACACATGCTGGGGAGTCAAGGAGGGGGAGACAGAAGGTCGGGGGCAGAGGGGCCCTTCCTGAATCTAGAATCCACAAGGTTAACCTTCCATTTCTAAAAACTATCTCCTCCCTCACACCCACCCCACGTGGCCCAGCACCTCGAAACTAGGAGCCCAGATCAATGGGGACGCAGAGACACTGGCACGTGGCCCTGGGGTGGGCGGGGCAGGCTGCAGACAGATGGAGACAAGCTGTGCTCCTGGGAGGGGCTGCCTGGGGCCGAAGGCCACTCTCTGACAGAAGCGCCCTGGACTCTCTCTTGGACAGCAAGGTTAGAGGCAGAGGGAGAGCAATTTAGGGTGGCCCCCTTGGAATAGAGGGGTCGGGAGAGGGGTGGGGGCAGAGGGAACCCAAGATGGGAGGGGAATGAGCTCAAGGTGGAGGCCAACTTAGCCCACAAGAGCCGCCTCTTAGCAGAGGGCAGGAGGGTAGTTCGGGCCCCCAAGGCACCCGGGCTTTGTGGATTACGGCTCTCTGCACAGGGGTCGCAGGGTCCTGTGACTCTGTGTCCCCTCCCTCCATGCCCCTCTCCCAGAGGCTGTGCCACTGCACGATCTGTGTTGACTGGCAGAACCCCAGCACCCCCACCGCTCTCAGACCCGCCTCTGCCTGCCTGCCCGGCCCTGTGCAGCATGCCGAGTGGGGGCCTCGAGCATCCCCACGTGTGCACCCAGCGGCCTCTGCTGCTCCTGCTGTGGCTGCTGTTGCAGTTGGTAACCCGCGCCCAGACAGCACCGGATGCCCCTATCGCCCTGACCAGACTGGACACCTCCAGCACACCAAGTCTGGGGGAGCGTGCGCGGGCCCTGATGCAGGACTTCCCACTTGTGGATGGGTGCGTGGGGGCTGGTGGGGGCCTAGCCTGGCCCTGGGCAGGGGAGGAAGTCCAAAGCATGCAGAGCTAGTGGGTGGCTCCTTCACACCACCCCTGGCTTGTCCTCTCCATCATCCGTGGGTGCCCTTCTCCTCTTCTGTCACTCCCTCTCTGGTGGGAACCCCCTCAGCCCAGGCCTCAGCTGGTCCTAGTATAGTCTATGTGACAGTGTGAGGTGGGGGAATCCCCTGGCTGGCCTGAGCCCGAAGGAGCCCACCCATTTGCCTTGACCTCCCTCCAGCCACAACGACATGCCCCTGGTCCTGAGGCAGTTTAACCGCAAGGGCCTACAGGATGTTAATCTGCACAGTTTCAGCCACGGCCAGACCAGCTTGAACAGGCTTAAAGACGGTCTCGTGGGTGCCCAGGTACCAAGGGGACACACAAGGTGCCACCATGGCTCTGGGGGAGTGTGGGGGGCTTTGGGGGCCTCAGAGATCGCGGGTTAGTCACATCAGAACTCAGTTACCATAGCAACCTAGAAAGTGCCATGACACGGATGCTGGGGGCTATGAGGGGTCACAGTGAGTCGACATGATGGGCATCCAAGTACCACAGAACAAGCCATGCGTCACACATGACACCTGGCACAGGGAATGCTGCACCAGCAGTGGAGGTGGTGAGAAGCCCAAGAAGTTCTAAAGGAACCCCTACCCAAACCATCCCCTGGCCTTCCCTCAGTTCTGGTCAGCCTACGTCCCATGCCAGACCCAGGAACGCGATGCTGTGCGCCTCACCCTAGAGCAGATTGATCTCATCCACCGCATGTGTGCCTCCTATTCTGAGCTGGAGCTTGTGACCTCAGTTAAAGGTAGACGGGTGGGTGGTGGTGGGTGTCAGGGGCCTGATTAAGCTACCCATGTCTCTGACCATGACAATCTGCCCCACCTGCCCCCAGCTCTGAATGGTACCCGGAAGTTGGCTTGCCTCATCGGTGTGGAGGGTGGCCACTCACTGGACAGCAGCCTCTCCGTCCTGCGTACCTTCTATGTGCTGGGTGTGCGCTACCTGACACTCACGCACACCTGCAACACGCCCTGGTGAGCCTGGTGCAGGTGGTATGGGCCCAGTGAGGCAGGGATCTGCCCGAGATCATGCTGGGGCCCACACCAAGCTTCACCCCTGGGACTTGGCCCTGAACCTGGAGTGGGGAGGTCTACACAGCAAGACTGGATCCCCCGAAGAGCCCTCCTACTGCCACGCACAGCCCTGCTTGGGTCCCTCCTCTAGCTCCAGGGAGATGCAGGTGTAGACGGCTCAACAGAACCTCTGTCTAGCTTCTTGGAGCTGAGTCATGACCACCAGTCAGACCACCTCCTGGCCACCCTGCAGGGCAGAGAGCTCAGCTAAGGGCATCCACCCCTTCTACAGCGATGTCAGAGGGCTGACCAGCTTTGGTGAGGTGAGGACTCTGGCTCCATACCCTGCCCCATGTAAATGCACAGCCCCACCTGCTCCCTCCAGATAAATGCACCAAAGACAAATGCAGCCCTGACACCCTCTCCCCAACCCGTCCCTGCAGAAGGTGGTGGCAGAAATGAACCGTCTGGGCATGATGGTGGACTTGTCCCATGTCTCAGATGCCGTGGCACGGAGAGCCCTAGAAGTGTCGCAGGCACCTGTGATCTTCTCCCACTCGGCTGCCCGGGCTGTGTGCGAGAGCACCCGGAATGTTCCTGATGACATCCTACAACTTTTGGTGAGAGACTGCCCTTGCCTGCAAACCTAAAGCAAGACGTTTGAACCGGTAGCCCCTGAACCTGAGCCTCTGCTCCCTCAATTTCCTCAAACCCCAGGTTAAAGATCTTCCGCCCCCAAAACACACAGCCCCTGAACTCTCGAACTCTAGGTGGGGGTTCTAGGTGTTAAACATTTCTTGAGAACCTCCCTGGTGGTCTAGTGGCTAAGACTCCGTGCTCCCAGGGCAGGGGGTCCCGGTTCGACCCCTGGTCAGTAGATCCTACCTGCCGCAACTGATAGTTCACAGTTTGCAATTAAAGACCCTGCCTGAAACAGCAGAAGATCCTGCATGCCACAAGGAAGATGGAGGATCCCATGTGCCACAACTAAGACATGGTGAAGCTAAAAGAATAAATAAAAATACTCCTCCAAACCCACAAACCAAGTGCCAAGACACCACCCAGACCAGAGCTGAGGCTCCCCCATTCACACAAACCCAGAAAGGAGACATCTCTGACCTCAAAGCCAGGGCTGAACACCTTCCTCAGAGGGCCAAAAGAGTAAACAGGCGGTGGTTGTGCCAGGAGCCAAGTCAAATGTCCATTGTCCAACCCTGCAGAAGAAGAACGGTGGCATTGTGATGGTGTCTTTGTCCGTGGGGGTGCTGCAGTGCAACCCGCTAGCCAATGTGTCTACTGTGGCAGGTAAGCCTCACCCTGGGCTCTCTTAACAGTTCTGATTTGGACCTGAAGCAGGGCCCAAATTTGAGGACGACCTCAGAAGGGCCCCAAGGGTTTGACCCACCTGTTGGCAATAGGCACTGCTCCCCTAAGCCCAATAATGAACGGTACACAGTTCTTAGTGTCATGTGGAACTGGAGCCACAGAACTGAAACGGATGCTGATGGGTATCCGGGAGGCAGTCAGACACAGAGTCTGGGTGCTGCCCATCTGCACCTCTGCAGGGGCTCCAAAGCACATTGCCTGTGCCTCTGGTCAAGAGACTGGGCAGCTCCATAGCTCCACAGGTCTCTGTCAGTTGTTTTCTCGTTCCTCTCTCACCACCCATGGAGAGGCTCACAGGTTCTCAAGGGAACTGAGAGGCAGAGTGAATCTTGGCCCAAATGGGTAACTCTGAGGTCTACTCCAAATCTGAAGTCCAGTCTGGAGCAAGCCAGGATCACTTCAGACCAAACCTCAGCGCCCTCTCCTCGGTGTTCTGGGTGCCAGGCCATGAAGGAACTGGCCCATCAGGCCTACAGGTTGCAAAAGGGGAATCAACAGAGGCCAGTCCTTACCCTCACCCCCATCCTGGAAGTCCCACACTGCTGACTTTTCATCCTTCAGATCACTTTGACCACATTAGGGCTGTCATCGGATCCAAGTTCATCGGGATTGGAGGAGATTATGACGGGGCTGGCCGGTGAGTGCATCCATGTGGGCTTGTCTTGGGCTGGATGTGCCGCAGGGGGCTTTCATAGCCACAATGCCCACCACAGTATGATCTTCATGGCCTTGACCACAGCCTCAGGTCTGCTGGCCCCACTGGTATCTCCCCTCTCTCAGGCTCTGTTTGCTGGGCTCTCCTGTCTATCTGCATCCCATTGGCCCTACTCTAGATCATATTTGGCTAATCCAACCAGACAGACCTCATCTGCCCAGCATCTGCACCCAGCCAGTGCCAGCAGACTCACAGCCTCTGAGCAGACTCTTAGCAAGGTCTGGGGTGGGCTGACCATCTTCTCTACTTGCAGTTGGGTCTGTGCATGCAAGGGGGTCAACCCAGTTCTTCAAAAGCCTTTCTTCTTTTTTTTTTTTTTTTTTTTTTTTTTTCCTTTCTTCTTTTTATAAGGAAAAGTTTGCATTCAGTGAAAGGCATAGACCTTAATAGATCAATTAAATGAATTTTGATGAATATTCAAGGAGCTTTAGGGCCCTTCTGAAGGATGAAGAGCAGGCTTGAATCATTTACTCTCTCCAAGTCTCCATTTCCCATATTTGACCAGAGCAGGGGTTCAGTTGACCCTGCACACATAGGACACTGGTTCTGACTCAGGACCAGGGGGCAGATCTGAGGGCCAATAGCTGGATGGCTGGCTGGTGGCCACACAGGTTCCCACAGGGTCTGGAGGACGTGTCCACATACCCAGTACTCATAGAAGAGTTGCTGAGGCGTGGCTGGAGTGAGGAAGAGCTCTGGGGTGTCCTTCGAGGAAACCTGCTGCGGGTCTTCAGCCGGGTGGAACAGGTATGCTGGGCTGAGCCGAAGAGGAGCTCTGAGCAGGTGTATGGGGGGTGTTGCTGCGGGAGTCGCTGCCCACTGACTGCCACCTCCAGGTTCGGGAGGAAAACAAGGGACAGAGTCCCTTGGAGGATGAGTTCCCAGACGAGCAGCTGGGAAGCTCCTGCCGCTCCGTCCTCTCGCATCTGCAGCAGAGAGAAAATCTGGCTCAAGACCAGAAACTAACCAGAACTCCAAGGCATGGGAATCCTATTTTGTCACCTATGTGGTTATTCTCAAAATCTTTCCCCAACACAGCCCCGGGCCTCACAGTTATTACTGCCTTCCTGGTCCTCATTCTTTGGGTCTGGTGATCCATTAATCCTGCCAGATGTCACTTTGGCAGATGCAGACATCCACAAAGTTTCCTATCATGCAAGCACAAACATTTCCCCAAAATAAACATTTCAGAAATGGAATCAGTATGAGCTGTCCTTCTCTGTAGTGGGGCCTGTGGTACAGGCCCCAACACTGGGGTTTGGTGGGGGACCCTGCAGTTCAGACACCAGGTACTCAAGACAGACCTGTTGGCAGTGGCCTGAGGCCAGGGTGTTTGGCTCAGCACCAGAAGACAATGGAAGGCTCTGGCTGCAGGAAGGCGGACTCTACTCATTCCCTCTGAGTAGCTCACCTCAATCCTGACCCACTGTCTATCACCTGGAGATCTTTTAGGGAATTCTGGCTCAGATTCCCAAGAAAAGAACCTGCCTGGATCACAAATGATCTTTGTTCCTATTTGGACAGAGCCAGAATGTCAGGCTACTTAATGGGCCACAGACCTCTAATGGTTGGACAGCTCTGAGGTGGGCCCACCCCTCCCCCTGCTCCTCAGGGACTTTCTAAGACAGTCAGTCTACTTAGCCACTACATCTTTCCCTAGTCCATAAATGATAGTGCGCTAGGGACTTCCCTGGTGGTCCAGTGGCTAAGATTCGGCATTCCCAGTGTGGGGGGCCCAGGTTCAATCCCTGGTCAGACAACTATATCCCACATGCAGCAATTAAGAGTTCACATGCCTCAACTAGAAGGTCCCGCATGTGCAACTCAGACCCTATGCAGCCAGATAAGCTAAAGAAAAAATATAAAAAAGATGAGGCATAAATTCACCAGGGAGTAGGTAACCCCCTTCCTAAAACAGTTAGGACTACCCTGTAGCTCAAACAGTAAAGAATCTGCCTTCGATGCAGGAGACCAGGGTTCAATCCCTGGGTTAGGAAGTTCCTCTGGAGAAGGAAATGCAATCCACTCCAGTATTCTTGCCTGGAGAATTCCAAGGACAGAGAATCCTGGCAGGCTACAGTCCGTGGGGTCAACAGAGTCGGACATGACTGAGTGACTAACACACATAACACACAGGTAACCCTCTTCCCAAGATGGCTATTATTAACTAAAGTTTAGTATGTATATTCTTCCAGAGTCTTTTTTTGTGTATGTGTATGTCAACATAGGTACAGAAGTAAATTTGGGGCAGGATTTTTGTTTTGTTTTCTGGGCAGAGGCACACCCTACAACACTAACCCATGCCCCCGGCATTGGGAGCACACAGTCTTAACCACTGGACCACCAAGGAAGTCCCCAGAAGTAAATTTTAATACGAAATGTGGTAAAGAATCCAACTGCCAATGCAGAAGATGCAAGAGATGTGGGTTTGATGATCCCTGGGGAAGATCCCCTGGAGAAGGATATGTCAAACCCACTCCAGTATTCTTGCTGGGAAATCCCATGCACAGAGGGGCCTGGCAGGCTACAGTCCATAGGGTGGCAGAAAAGTCAGACACAACTTAGTGAATGAGCATGCACTAAAACAAAATGGTCTCCCATAAATATTATACTTAAATTTCATTTTTGTTAAAAATATATAGGGGATCTTTTTCTTCTGCCTGTCAAAACATACAGATCTAATTTACTCTTTTAAATTTTAATTCTTCCCAGAATTTCATGGAATATTTAACCAGTTGAGGGCAGGCATACCCCTGCAGCTAAAACCCCACATGGGCTTGCGACCTGTCTGCCTAGAGGTGAAATTGGGAAGATTCCTGGGCCCCTCCTAGTCCACCCCTTGGCCTCTTCCCTGAATCAGTAGGCCCCTGGCGCTAGGGAGGGGTGGGTGCAGGGCAGGAAGCAGGGACAGAGGTAACCCGCGGTGCGCCGCCTGAGGGCGCTCGGGGCAGAGGCTGGCCTGGCCCAATGGGGCGCCACCCTAGATGGGAGGGAAGGGCCTACCGCCCCCTGGCGGCCATGCTGGGCGGCGTCATTGCGGATCCCCGAGGTAACCTGACTGCCTAGCGTCCCGACTCCTGCCTCTTCTCACGAAGCCGAGCGGCTGGGTCACCAGCGTCGACGGTCGGGACCCCATTGTCGCCCTCTGCCCCTCGCCCGCTCCTCTTAGCTCTCGAAACCCGCCTCTGCCCGCCTGCTCGGCCCTGTGCAGCAATGCTGCCCCTAGGCCTCGAGCGTCCCCGCGTGCTCACCCAGCGGCCTCTGCTGCGTCTGCTGCTCCTGCTCTGGCTGCTGCTGCGACCGGTAACCAGCGCCCAGGCCACGCCGGGCGGTTCCAGCCCCCAGACCACGCCGGCCACCTCCAGCACCCCAACAGCGCCAGGCACTCCCAGAGGCCCGAGTCTCCAGGAGCGTGCGCGGGCCCTGATGCGGGACTTCCGGCTGGTGGATGGGTGCGTAGGTGGGGGTGTGCGGGTCGGTGGGGGCTGAACCCGCTCCTGGGCAGGAGAGGAGGTCCAGAGCGTGAAGGGTTAGAGAGAAGTCTCCCTGACACACTGCTCTCCTCCACCACCCCCATAGGGCGCCTTCCTCCCTATTAACGCTGTTGCGGGTAGAACCCCCTACCTAACAGCTGCTCTTCAGAACTATCATCTGTGTGAGGTGGGGACGTGGAGTGGGGCAGGGTAGGCCCATGACCTGAGGGCCATGTCCCCTACTTTTCTTACTTTGTCCTGACAACCCCAGCCACAACCACCTGCCGCTGCTCCTGAAACGGCATTTCCAGAACAAGCTACAAGGTGTGAACCTGCGCAATTTCAGACTCGGCCAGACCAACCTAGACAAGCTCAGGGATGGCTTCGTGGGTGCACAGGTACCAGAGACACACACATAATGGCCTCTGGGGAATCTGGGGGCCACAGAAACCTTGGTAGACAGGCCTCTGGTGGACACAGGACACACTATGTGCCATCATGTGGCTGCTGGGGAGTGAGTGTAGGGGTGTTGGAGGTCAAGACAGGCCAGCCGCATGGGTGCCCAGGTTCTGTGGAGACACAGAAAGTGATTGGAAAATCCTTGGTGAGGGTGGGGGCTCTGAAACCACAAAGGATATGGTGGATTGCCCTAGGGGCATTCACATAGTCCATGGACAAACAGCAAGCAATGATGTGTCATGATTTCAGTTGGGCTGCTGGCAGCAAGCTGAATAGGCATCAGGGTACCATAGGGTCTTGTGGTGCTGCACTCGGACCACTGACCCACATGAGTACCTTGAGGGCTGAGGAGGAGTACCTAGTAGGCCCCCATCTTTGAGACCAGCCTAATCTTATTCTGGGCCCCTGTGCCAACCACCAGTTCTGGTCAGCCTACGCCCCATGCCAGACTCAGGACCAGGATGCTGTGCGCCTCACGCTGGAGCAGATTGACCTCATCCGCCGCATGTGTGACTCCTACAATGAACTGGAGCTCGTGACTTCAGCCGAAGGTGGGCTGGAGGAAGGGAGGGGAGTCTGGGGCTACTCTGGTGGTTCTGGCCTTGGCCTCTGACCACTTGATCCTCTATCTTCTTCTAGGACTGAACAGCACTCAAAAGCTGGCCTGCCTTATTGGCGTGGAGGGTGGTCACTCGCTTGACAGCAGCCTCTCTGTGCTGCGCAGTTTCTATCTGCTGGGAGTTCGCTACCTGACGCTCACCTTCACCTGCAACACGCCCTGGTGAGCAGACTGCCTGGCCTGGGGTGGAATGGCAGATGTTTGGTGGGGAAAATGCCAGAGAGGTGAGGATAGAGGGGTCCACAGAAGGAGGCTGAACTCCCAGCAGGTCCCTCAGACTCCCAGAAAGCAGCTGGTCCAGATCCTCACCCTGTTCTGAGGTGGGACGGGTGTTCAGAGAGCCTGGATGCTCAGGCTCTCTTGGCCAAGGTGTGGCCTGCTAGATTGCCCTCCTCTGGCTGTCTTTCAGGGCAGAGAGCTCCACCAAGTTTCAGCTCTTCTACACCAACATCAGTGGGTTAACAAGCTTTGGTGAGGTAAGGACTCTTTGTCAGTACCCTACCTCAGCCACCCCCTACAGGTATGCATACATGTGCATCCCTCCTGACCCCCCCCCCCCCAAAAAAAAAATCCTCCACTTGTCCCTGCAGAAGGTGATAGAGGAGATGAATCGCCTGGGCATGATGGTGGACTTGTCCTATGGGTCGCATGCCCTGGCACAGCAAGCCCTGAAGGTGTCAAAAGCTCCTGTGATCTTCTCCCACTCGGCTGCCAAAGCTGTGTGTGACAACATGCTTAATATTCCTGATGACATCCTGCAACTTCTGGTGAGCGGCCACCCCAGCCCTCAAATCCAGGACTTCATTCAAGTATCCTTGACCCTGAGTAAACCTACCAGTCCAGTCCTCACTCACCCTTGGACCTGAGGCTGGTTAACCCTCCCCCATCTCTGAAACTCAAGGCCAAATCAGTTTCCACCCAGGGTCCAAGAGAGGTAAAGCCTCACCCAAGCTCTAATGTGAGGACTAAGCATTTGCCTTATCAGGGCCCCCAGGGCATAGGTGGCAGGCCATCAGGTCAGAAGGGGCAAGCTGAGTGTTCCTTTGTTCATCCATGTAGAAGAAGAACGGTGGCATTGTGATGGTGTCGCTGTCCTTGGGGGTGCTGCAGTGTAACCTGTTTGCTAATGTGTCCACCGTGGCAGGTGAGCCCCACTTCAATTCTTTGTGCAGTTGTAGCTTGGCCTGTGGCTGCTCGGGCCATCAGGAGAGCTCTAGCCTTCTAGCACACCCTGGGCCCTGGGCAGGCCTCCCAACAGTCTAGGGGAGCAGACACAGCTCTTCACTGCCCTAAACCCAGATCTGGGGCTCCAACCAGTGCAACAGGTTTGGGGGGAGGTAACTGCCTCTGCTTCTGAGTCTCTCTTTTGCTCCCATATCCCTAGACAGGACAGGCAGAGCCCTGTGACCAGGTTGTCAAGGAACCAGAGGCATGGTGGCTCCTAGGCAGGAAAAGGTGCTAGGGGGTTCAGGCCCTGAGGTTCACTCTGGCTCCAGTGTCTAGCCTGAGGCCTCTCCAGGAGTCTCAGCAGGCTAGGAGCTCCATGGAGTCACCTGTCTTGTCTTGGATTGCCTTGGGCAGGGGAACTGGCCATGCTGAGCTTCCTCAGATCAGGGCTGGTCCCAGGATCTACCTCCAACCTCATGCTACCCACCACCACCCTCATCCCCTAGATCACTTTGACCACATCAGGGCAGTCATGGGATCTGAGTTCATCGGGATTAGCGGGAGTTACGATGGGTCTGGCCGGTGAGTGTTTCCCTGGGGTTTGTCTTGGCTGGGGTACAGTGGGGAGTCCCTTAGTCTCAGTTCCCCATCCATGGTCCTCCCATCCTTCATCCTCCATTACAGACTCCAGTCTTTCAGCCCACCAGGCATCTTTCCCCTCCCAGGACCTGTTTCCTGGATTCTCCTTGTCCCTCCTGTGGTCCAGTGGACCCATTCCCACTCCAGGGCATCACAGTTGTTAAGAACCCCACCCCCTCTAAAGACCTATCCAGCACATGCTCCACTGCCAGCCCAGCAGATGTGCTGTGGGCTGAGCATCTGCTCAGCAGGTAAGTGCTGCTGAAGCCCAGTCTTCCAGGAGCTTCCAGAGTTGCATTCAGTGGCCTGAGGAATACGGCCTTTAACTTCCCATATGTGGTTGGGACTGGTGCGACAGTGGGCCCTCAGCCAGGATTGGGGCTGAGGAGCCCCAGTTAGCCAGTTGGTGGCCACGCAGGTTCCCCGAGGGGCTGGAGGATGTGTCCACATACCCGGTACTCATAGAGGAATTGCTGAGGCGAGGCTGGAGGGAGGAGGAGCTTCAGGGCATCCTTCGTGGAAACCTGCTGCGGGTCTTCAGACAAGTGGAACAGGTATGCTGGGCTGGACAAAAAGAGGGTTCAGTGGTTTAAGCAGGTGAGGGGGGCACTGTGGAAACCACTGACTGCTGACTTTCATCTTCAGGTGAGAGAGGAAAACAAAGGTCAGAGTCCTTTGGAGGATGAATTTCCAAACAGGCAGGTGGGCAGGTCGTGCCATTCCCACCTCCTGACTCAGCCTCAGAGTAAGCCTCGAGCCACACACCTGGTGAGAAACAAGTGGCTAACCAACCAAGCCCTCCAGAGGCCCCCAAAAGCCTCCCCACAACTCGTTCTAGGCCTTGTGGCTGCTGCCACCTTCTCAGTCCTCATCCTATGACTCTAGTGACCTGGCCAGTCCCCCAGAGGTCACTGTGGCAAAGTCTCATGAAGTTTCCCTTCTAGTCATCCAGGCACAAACATATATATGCTGAGAATAAACATTTCGAGTACGGAGCCAGATGTGACTGTCCTTTCTTCACGGGGAAAGGGGTTGGGTCTGATGGGCTCTTGGTTGGTGAGGGGTCTTAGGTTCTACCCCCAGCTGCTCAATATGTTTGGTTCCCACTGGCTTTCAGCTTTGTCTGTCTCTCTGGAAAGGCAGAAGAATCTTACCTTATTCTTATGCTAAAAGCTTGAGCCCACAGAAGAGCGCTAAAGAATCAAGTTCAGAGTTGATAGTGGAGTGTAACAGAGGGTACATTCCCAATCTCTCTCGAAAAGTTTTTAAAAAAAATTTTTTTAAGAGGATGATACCTTTTATAGAATAAACTAATGTGTTTGGAAATATCAAGAGAGAAAGTGTTTTTCAGATAAGGTACTCTAATTTTTGTTAAACCGATTTTTTTTTAATGGGCAGGGGTGTGAATCAAGTTGTTAAAAGAAAGAAAAGAAACTGCAGCTTCTACATCAGCTCAGCTTCCTACAGACCCTCTTATCTTTTGGCCTCTTTCCTCTCCCAGTCCACAGGGTGGGCCAGAGCCAGATCTACGTTCCTTCCATGGAAACGTTAAATTAGCAGAGAGACTACAGTGCCAGCTATGTTATAAATTGTGTCCATACACTTGTGGGTCTCTCTTTGAATTCTGTTCCATTTATTAAAACAAGTTTATATCTAGGAGAGTGAGTCTTCCACTTAAAGAGTATCATCTCAGGTACTTCCCTGGTGGTCCAGTGGGTAAAATTCTGGGCTCCCAGTGCAGGGAACCTGGGTTCAATCACTAGGGAACTAGACCCCACATGCTGCAAGTAAGAGTTTGCATGCTGCAACTAAATATCCTGCCTGCTGCAATGAAGATCAAAGATCCTTTGTGCCTCGACTAAGACCCGGCGCAGCCGAATAAATAAATAAATATAAAAAAAGTGAAAAAGCAAGTCAGAGAGTGGGGGAAGTTTTCAACATGTATAACTGACAAAAGGCATATATCCAGAGACAGACAAGCCAGTATAAAAATGGGCAAGACATTTGCAAAGGAACTTTACAAAAGAGGATATCCAAGTGGCCAATAAGAAAATGAAAAGACTGTCAACCTTACTAGTCACTAGAGAAATGCAAAATAAAACTCACAGAAAAAGATAACTAAAATTCAACAGATGAACAATAGGGTGTTATTAAGGATGTGGAGCATAAGGTTTTCTCATAACCAGCTGGTGGCAGTGTAAACTGACAAAACTGCTTTGAAAAACTGTTCCACGTTATTTACTAAAGTTAAAGACACATATCAGTTCAGTTCAGTTGCTCAGTCATGTCTGACTCTTTGCAACCCCATTGACTGCAGCACATCAGGCTTCCCTGTCCATCACCAGCTCCTAGAGCTTACTCAAACTCATGTCCATGATGCTGTCCAAACATCTCATTCTCTGTCATCCCCTTCTCCTGCCTTCAATCTTTCCCAGCATCAGGGTCTTTTCCAATGAGTCAGCTTCACATCAGGTGGCTGAAGTATTGGAGTTTCAGCTTCAGCATCAGTCCTTCCAATGAATATTCAGACACATATACCCAAGGATTTAACCATTTTTCTCCCCTAAAGACTCAACAGAAAGGCCTGCACACATGTGCACAGAAAGACATGAACAAATATATTTAAAGAAGCACTATTTTTAGTAATTTCAAACTGAAAATAACCCAACAATAGAGAAATCAACGGTGTGGTATTAACTCCATGGAAGAGAACACATCAATGAAAAAGAACAAATTACAGGGGACTTCCCAGGGAGGCCAGGTTTGATCCCTGGTCAGGAAACTGGATTCCACATGCTGCAAATAAAAGCATACGCACGGCAACGAAGATCCCAAGTGCTGTGTCTAAGACCTGGTACAGCCAAATAAATAAAAAATTAAGTTTAAAAAAAGTAAAAATAAAGTGAATAATTCAGTGGCTTTTAGTACATTCACAATGTCATACAACCATCACTTCTATCTAGTTCCAAAATAGTTTGACCATCCTAAAAGGAAACCCTCTACCTATTAAGCAGTTGCACCTGATCCTGTGGTTCCCCCAGCCACCAATCTGCTCTCTGTGTCTATGTATTTCTCTGTTCTGGATGTTTCTTACAAATGGAGTCACATAATATGTGACCTTTATATCTAATTTCCTACAGTTAATATAATGTTGTCAAGGTTCATTCATGTTGCACTTTTTCTCCATTTTTATTCTACTCTTTTTCTGGAATTTCTATTGTGCAGATGCTAGAACTTCTTTTTCTATCTCATATCTCTCTTCTTTTTCTTCTTTTGGGAGAATTCCTTAACTTGGTCTTTCTAATTTATGGATTCATTCTCAATGAAAACTTTCTGCTATTAGATTACCTATTGTGTTGTCTGACATACCATTGTGGTAATTTTTATACATGGTCCTGTATTTCATTGATACTTCTCCCATCCAAAGATGGATTCTATGTCTGCCCACCCCTTGAATCTGGGCTTTGTACCTGCTTGACCAGTAAAATATGGCAGAAGTGATGCTGTGCCCATCCAGCCCTGGGCCCAGGAGACTGTCCTGCTTCTTAGGATGCTTACTCATGGACTGTAGCCACTGTACTATGAGGAAGCCAAGCTGCCCAGGGAGAGGTTCACATGTAAAGGACCCAGTGTTCCTGGTCCACAGTCCCCTTGAGCTCTTAGCCTACAGCCAATAACAATCTACTGGTCATGTGAGTGAATCATCTTTTACCTGTTCATGCCCCTCGGCTTGTGGGATCTCAGTTTCCTGACCAGGGCCCCTGGCAGTGGAAGCATGGAGTCCTAACCACTGAACCTACAGGAAATTCCCATGAATCATTTTCAAAATGAATCCTCCAGCCCCAAGTGATGCCATGTGGAATAGAGACAAGCTTACTCAGTTTACAGATTTGTGAGCAAATAATATTTCTGTTGATTGTCACTTTAAGTCACTATCTTTTGGGGTAGTTTGTTATGAAGCCATAGATCACTGGGACAATTATATTTTTCTCTACCTTATATTTCTGCTTATTCTTTTAAAAGATATTTATTTATTATTTGGCTGCACTGGGTCTTGGTTGCCACTTTCAGGGGCTTTTCTCTTATTGCCATGCAGTGGCTTCTCTCGTTGCAAAGCATGGTCTGTAGAGTGCACGGGCTTCAGTACTTGTGGCATACAGGCTCAGTTGCCCTGCAGTATGTGGGATCTTAGTTCCCTGACCAGGGGTCAAACCTACTTTACCTGCGTTGCAAGGCAGATTTTTAACCACTGGACCACCAGGGAAGTTCCCTCTGCTTGTTCTTTTTTATACTTTCTTATTTCATATGGCTAATATTCTACCTTATCTTTTGTAATATGTTTATTAGGCTAATTTTGAATTTTTGATCCATGTATTCTGATCCTTTCCCCAATAGATGTTTTCTTTAATTTATTTATTTTCATTGGAGGCTAATTCCTTTACAATATTGTAGTGGTTTTTGCCATACATTGACATGAATCAGCCACGGGTGTACATGTGTTCCCCATCCTGAACCCCCCTCCCACCTTCCTCCCCATCCCATCCCTCTGGGTCATCCCAGTGCGCCAGCCCTGAGCACCCTGTCTCATGCATGGAACCTGGACTGGCGATCAGTTTCACATATGATAATATACATGTTCCAATGCTATTCTCTCAAATCATCCCACCCTCGCCTTTTCCCACAAAGTCCAAAAGACTGTTCTTTAAGATGTTTTCTTTTGAAATGTCTGTGCTTGTCAAATGTCTGGTTTTTTTGCCTGTTATTTTTGCCCATGAGTACCCTGATGGTGCAGGCTACTTGACCAGTCAATAGTATGAGGGAAATTGTATCCTAGCTACAGATTCTCGTAAAGTCTAAGGTTTCAGTTGGACTATAGTAGCCTATCTTCCTCACATAGCACCTGACCCTACCCCTGAGAAGAGAGGCCAGGTGAGAACTATGGGGAGCTTTTGTGGAGCATCAGGGAAGACCAAGGAGGAGGCACCTGTTCGTTCTTTATTCAAAAAATGTGTTGGGGCCAAGACTGAAGATAACAAGTTGAGGAGACTGAAACGGTCCTGCCAGTGTGAAATCCACACACAAGAAACATTAAAGATCTCCACCAACATACTTCTTCCTGCAGTGAGTCCTGTGAAAGGAAAGGGCCTCACAGGAGGATGAAGTGGGGGTGGTGGGAAGGTGGGGTATGTTTCAGAGACGTTTCCTGGAGAAGAAGCAGTGTTCTAAGCTGAGACCCCCTCCATACAAAGGAGTTTGGTAAATGGGTGTGGGGGTGGGTGGGTAGAAAGGGATCCTGTCAGGCACAGGTGCTGCACAGAAACCCCTTGAGTTTAGGGAAGTGAAAGAAGCCAGAAAGGCTGAGGCTGGGGCAGAGGATGAGGACAGATATAGCTGAAGAGACTGGAGGGGCCAGATGGAGCAGGGCTTTGTGGGCCAAGAGAAGAGTTTGGGCTTTCTTTTCAAAACAGGTGGCTCTTAGGACTTCCCTGGTAGTCCAGTAGCTAAGACTCCATACTCCCAATGTAGGGGGTCCAGGTTTGATCCCCGGTCAAGGAAGTAGATTACATATGCTGTAACTAAGAGTTCGCATGCCTGCAACTAAAGTTCTGGCATATCGCAATGAAGACTTGGTGCAGTCAAATAAATAAGTAAATATTTTTTTTAAAAAAAGAAGAGATGGCTCTACTATGAGCAGGGAGTTCATTGGAAGGCTGCTACTGTGGGCAACTGAATGTGGCATGAAAGACAGGCCAAAGCAACAGGTCTTGGCTGGGATGAGAGTTGGGTAGGGGCCAGAATAGAGGTCAGATCCCAGGTCCTCCTGCAGGGCCCAGAGACTGATTCCTGATCCTGATTCCCAGAGACAAAGGTCAGAGAATGCAGAGTCTGTGGTAGGTTGGAAAGATACCACTAATTCTGATATTCTAAAACCCTCTGAGTCATAAAAGGGAGAAAAAAATGGAGGTGGGCACTGGGGTTTTCTGATAGAGAAATAGCTGAAAGAATGGTCTAGAAAGATAAAGATGTTAAAGTAAAGCCACCTGAATAAACTTATCTGAAGCAATGGCCTAGAAAGTGAAAGAAAATTGAGAGTAAAGAAATAAATGGAAAAAAAAAAAAAGAAATAAATGGCTTGGGTAGATAGCATCACCAACTCAATGGACATGAATTTGAAGCAAAGTGAGATAGTGGAGGACAGAGCAGCCCCGTGTGCTTTAGACCCTAGGGTCGCCAAGAGTCGGACATGACTTAGCGACTGCAAAATAACAAAAAGGAATCCCCAGGAGGTGAGACGGAAAAAGATAAAACTGAGATGAAAGAACTTGGCTAAAGAATCCAATGCAGCGTCTGAAGAGGCCCGTGGGGCTGGGCGAGGGGAATGGGTGTCCTTACTTCCAAGAAGGAAGCAGCCTCTAGTGAAAGGGCACGGATCCCCCCAGCAGCCTCCAACAGAGAGGCACTGTGGGGTGGGCGAAGGGATGGGATCTTCCTGGGGCTCCCTCGGTTTCCAGGGACGCGGAGAAGAGGTGAAAGACAGGGATGATGAAGATGGGGATAGGGTGCTGAGGAGGCCCCTGGGCGGTTCTTGAATGAGCTCTGCGCTCCTACCTACCCTTCCCCGGCCCTGCATCACAGAAACGTCATTGAGCGCTCACTAGGCCCAAAGCTCACCTCGTGCCCCACCTCAGGAGCCCTCAGCAGCCCCAAGAGCATTTCCTCATTTTACAAGCACTGCATCCGTAGCTCAGAGACGGCGGCTCACCACCCGAGGTCACACAGGAATCGGGCCTCCCCAGGGCGTGGAATTGTACTGCCCCCCCCGCCCCCCGGGGTTTCACTCCTCCGGGGCCCCCCTCAGGGAGGAGCCTGCCCCCAGCCCCTCCTGCTCCCCGCCCCCGAGGGGCGGCCCGGGGGGCGGGCGGAGGAAGTGAGCGCAGCGGGGAGGAATGTGAGCGGGCGGGGCGCGCCGGCCCGGAGCGGCGGGGACAGCAGGGCAGGCGGCCGGGGCGGCGGGCGCGGCGGGGCCGAGCGCGCGGGATGCCTCACTTCACCGTGGTGCCGGTAGACGGGCCGCGGCGCGGCGATTATGACAACCTCGAGGGTCTGAGTTGGGTGGACTACGGGGAGCGCGCCGATCGGGAGGACGCGGACGGTGAGGGCCCGCCCGGTGGGGTCCCGGGCCGGGGCGGGGAGCGGGCCATGCGGGGCCGGCTGGCGCACAGACGCCGGGCCGTGCGCGCACACGTCGATGAGGGCCCAACTTAGTTGTTAGACTCCTTCGCCGCTAGACAGTCCCCAACTCCTCGCGCGCAGACACAATTTTCCTGGGCCCCCGGCGCCTGCTGTCGCGGTCGGGCCTCCCTCCCCGCCCCAGCTCCTCCCTTGAGGGCCGCGGGCGGGGGCTGCAGACGTGGCCAGGCCAGCGGGGCCGCCCGGGGCGCGAAGAGCGCTGAACTTCCATCTCTGGCTCTTCCCGGCTGGGAGCGACAGCCCCAGGCGGTACCCCAGCCGTCTCTCCTCCTGCCAACCGCCCCTAACCTCTTCTTGTCTCGCCTACACTTTTGTGCTTCAGCATCTCTTTCCTTAAAACCCTCTCTCTCCTCCGCTCCCCTCCCCTTCTCCTTCCTTCTGTGTGCCGCCCAGCACTCCAGTCCCCCCGGAGGGAAGCCTGAAGGGGTCTGTGGGGCACTGCTTGAGTGCTACATGGATCCCAGCTTACATCTGTAGCTACAGAGGACACCTATGGAGCACTCACACGGGACCAGGCTTGTCTAGGCACCTTACCTGAATTAACTCCTCCTAATTTAGTTTAATCCTAATTTCCCGCCCTGGGACAGGTAGTGTTACTCTCGATTAGGAAGGAGTGAAGTGAGGCATGGAGTAGTTATGTAACTTGCTCTAGGGGATTCAGATCGAGGATGGGAGATTCCAGAGTCCTAACTCTTAACCTAGCTGTTAAACTGGGCCTGAAGGTAAACCCGGCTTCCCGCTCCTAGGTGCCTGCCCTTGACTTTCACCATCTCTTTCCCCAGGGCCCTGTCTTTGCAGGGCTCACTCTTGTGTGAACACTCCAAGAACCTGTGTGTGTGTTTGTGCAGCAGCACATGCATGTGTAGTTGTGCTCGTGCAGGTGTACAGCTGTGGAGTACCGCAGAGCCAGAGTGGGGTCAGGATAGCACATTCTTGTGGGCTACGGTGATGAGGATGGTGATGGGACTGATGACAAATGCTTGGTCTGTTACTGACCATGATGGATATCTGCAGGGGACATGCGTGTTGGTGGCATATGTCAGGTGATATTATCTTGATCTGACTTGGATCTGTCTCTGATGGGGACCTGACTGAGGTGATCCATGCTTCATGTGGGTGATGGCTGTGTGTGTCACTTGACTGCTGTGTGTGGAGATGGCACAGCGCAGTGGCATGGGCTGCTGGACATCATGGAAATTTAACAGGCTTGACAGCTTGTGAGGGTGTGCACACCTCAACCCCTGCTGGCACCTGCCCCATCCTGGTACCAGTGAACAGAGCAGGAGCCGGCAGCCATCCCTGCTCCTCTGTTAGCCTTTGGAGGCTCTCTCTCCCCAGAGGCTGGGTTGGGCTGCATCCCTAAGATCAGCTTGGACCAGCAGGTAGGCAGAGAGAAGCCCAGCCTCAGGCTCCGCCTTGGCCTTTCACAGGGGACTATAGGGAACTGGCTCCTTCACATTGGCTGAGTCCTGCCAGGTCCCTCCAGGCTGGGCCAGCTCCTCCCACTATCCCCCCACCTCTTCTTCCTCCCTTTCAGCCAGATCCGTGACTGTGTCTGCAGTATGGGGGACATTCTGCACCCTGGTGAGTGGTTATGATCCTTCTAGTTGGGGGCTGCAAAGGGTCAGGGGCACACAAATAGTGACCCTGAGGGCCATCTCATGGGACCCCCCCTTCCCCCCCGCCGGCCTGGTTATCTGAATCTCTCAAGGCCCATACCTCTGGTCCAAGGGCATAGATGGACCTGTTCATCCAGCCCACCGTGGCCTGTGGGCAGAGGGTGAAGAGGTTCTAGAGGAGTACCCCTAGCAGATACCTGTACAGGGATACCAGGAGTGTCACTTGGATCCCTGCTTGCAGCTGGCGCATTCACAGCTGCTGGCCAGAACACACATATGTATGTATCTCAGAGGCAGCCCCCAGGCCCAGTCTTCATGCTGTGGTTAATCTCGGGTCTCAGGTGGCATCTGAGTAGCTTTGGCCTGGCAGGCATGCCCAGACCTGCCCTGGGATTTTTGGAATAGCTGAGGGCAGTACAGATACCCAGGCACTGCTTAGACCCCACCTCCCCCCAATTCCCACAATCCCATGGGAGCTGTCCTTAACTGGGGCGGTTTTGGGGAACTCCATGGAATCCCTGCTGGGTGTCTGGCACCAGGCTGTCCCTTTTCTGAGGCATTTGGGCAGTTGGAAGAGTGGATGTTATTAGCTCTGCTTCATAGGAAAAGAAACCAAGGCAGCACAGAGAAGGTAAGCAGGTTGCCCTGCGTCACACAGAATCCAAGCTTGGCATCTGGCCACTGAGCACCAGGAGCCTTGGATACATACATCATGGCCAAACTGCAAACCCCAGACACTCTTTAGTTGTGGCCTGTACTGCAACCCTGGGATGCCTCCTGGGATGGAAGGGGGTCTTAAGCAGGAGTAGGGAACCCACAGCTCAGCTCTCACCTGGATCTAGGGGATCCTGGGACCCAAGTTTGGCCCTCTCACTGAGTCACCTTGCCTCTGAATCTGAGCTTTGCATTCCTTGTTACTGAAAGAGGGTAAATGATACCTACTGGAGTATTGCTATGAGAACTAAAGGTAACCTTTGGAAGGGCTCTGAGCTGCCCTGGCATCATGGCTGAAGGGACAAGGGATCGACTGGGTCTTGCAGGACCATCCACAGGCATTTTGGGGGGACTGCTGTGTGCTCAGCTCTGTGTTTTCTAGACACTAATGCAGTCCTTAGAGAGGTGTGGTTAGGGTTAGACAGTGGTGGTGGTGGTGGGGGGAAGGCTGCAGTGCAGGAGTTTAGAATGATCTATCCTATCCTTTACTTTCAGCCTACTTCCACAGAAGGGTCAGAAGAGACAGACAACAAAAACTCCTCCCCAAAGGACTCTTACTGTAAGAAAAATCAAAACCATGCAGAGGAAAGGGACAGGGACTCTGAGGCAGATGGTGACTGGATCTGAGAAATAAATTTAGCTTAGAGATTCCTGGCAGCCACGGCAGAAAGGGAAACAAGATGAGCTCTTATAGTTGCCTTTTTTGGACAGAATAAAGCCTCTGACTTACTCAGGGAAGATATTTTTGTTTGTCACAAAAATCTAAGAGTAGTTTTCAGGGACTGCTCACTGAAGGACCATCCATGTACTGGGCATCAAGGGCACAGCAAATGTCTTAGGGTGTCTGAGTAGCTACGTGACCACTCCTCCCAGCCCGAGGCTTTAATGTCATTCTGTAGGCTGGCCTCACCTCTCACTATCTCTGTCCACTTTGCCCTTAGCATTGACCTACATACAGACTTGTAGCTTCTGGTACTGAGCTGCTTCACTTATTTAGCTAGTCCAGGTTCCTAGAGAAGGTGATGTACTCTTTTTACATCCTGTGGGAAGGAACAGCTGATTTTGCCCCAGAAATTGTCATCAACATGCTTTACCTGTCAGTCTCTTGGGGCAGTAAAGAATCCATAGCACAGCACCTACTGAGTGATTGTTGGCTCAGAGAAGTTAAGTTTCATATTGATGGCAAGAGGACGTATCAAACGGAGGAGGCATCATTCAGTATTTTCAGCTGTAAACAAGAGAAATGGATTGGGGGCTGTTAAACCAGAGAAGGTTGCCAGGTAGCTCTCACAAAACCAGGCATGGCCAGAATACCCCACTAGTCTGGATCCGTGAAGACACTTCTGTTGGCCACCTCCATCACAGGACACCAGGCCAACACTGCTGCTGTAGTCATTGCCATCCAGTACCAACATGGCTTCTTTGAACCAAGATGCCAGCTGTGAGGCCTTCAGTCACTGCCACCACAGTTTCCAAACTGCAGGGTTTTTTCTCCCTTAGCAACGAGAAAAGGACTCTTGGTGTCTTCTGCCTGCTTCATGGAAAGCTGGGAATGTCACCCACTGAGACTCACAATGGACATGGTTTGGAAAACGATAGAGTGAATGCTGGGTGGCCAGAAAAAGTGGCCCAGTTTTGAGTGTTGAGGCAGCTGTATTAAAAGAAGGTGCATCTGGCTCCTTTCTGTGAGGTCTCCTTGGTACTTAGGCCTTACCTCATCGGCCTGGGGGGGGGGGGGGGGGGNGGTAGGTAGACGTGGGGACTGGCCACTCGCCTAGTCTCTGGCAAGTGGCTGGTATCAGGGGACAGGGAGGTAAACAAGTGAATCCTGCCTACAGTCCTTGCCCAGTCCCACACCCACGGGGTCAGGCTTTCGTAGGGCTTTCCCAGAGGACCCTAGACAGCTCTGGGCACCCACTTCCGTACACTGGACAGTCTCCTGCTTGCTGCTCCTCCCGGCATGCCTCAGGCCGCCCTCAAGAATGCCGTCCCCACGCGGTGCATGATGGGGTGGCTAGCAGGTGGCTGGCTGATCATGGCGGCAGAAGGCGCCCTGTGTGGCTTTCTCTATCTGGAGGGTAGCTCTTGGGGGAGCCCTGAGGACACTGAGCCCTTGGCACCTGGCACATTGGGTATACCAGAAGGGCTGGGAAAAAAAACGGGAGTGTGAGCCTCAGGGGTGGTCTGAAGGCGGGCCTTGACTGGGCCACGCCCTTCTGCCGCAGACTCCACCCCTTGGTGTTAACAGTGCTGAGCTAGTGCGTCTGGGCCTTTCGCTCCTGTGCCCCCTGCTAGATGAGTGTTCACGCTGGGTTTTGATCATTGGCCAGTCTGCCAATTCTGGCTCTTTCAAGGAGGCTGACAGGGTATGTTGGGGAAACTGAGTCCCAGTATTGTTACACTGCTCCCTAAAGTGCTCCACAGAGATGACAGCAGGCCTGCTGGGAAGAAGTGCATGCTGGGAGCTCAGTAGGCAGTCCCTGACTAGGATTCTGTTTTTCTCTCTCTACAGGACATGGCAACCATAAAGAGAGCAGCCCTTTCCTTTGTCCCATGGAGGCTTCCAGAGGAAGTGACTACCATGACAGGAACCTGGCACTGTTTGAGGTAGCTGAGGAGCCATTCTGGGCCATGGGTGTGGGCGCGCAGGGACCTGTCAGGACCTAAGCCTTAGCTAAGCAAGCTGGCTGGGTGTTGTGTCCTTTATGTCTGGGCTCCTCCTCCAGTCTCCGCTTGTCTGTCTCGCTCCCTTGGCAGCCAAGCTGCGGTTCTCTTGGCCCTTTCAACTGAAACTGCTTTCCCAGAGGTCTCTACCTCATTACTACCTCCAAGAGTGTTTACCTTTGACTTCCATGCAGCCCCTCAGCACGGTCACCACCTCTCAGGATTTCTAACCCAGGATTTCATTTGTCTCCTTCACATCTGGGACTTCTCACAGTCCACAATTCTTCCCTCTCCTGTGAACTCTTCCTTGTCCTTCGTGATTGACTCCTCCAACTCTAGCCCCATCAAGTTCACCAAGACCTGGTGCTTCTCACTGAATTTGCCCCTTCTCTCCATATCTGTAACCTCAGTGGATCCCTCTCTGGAAACATTCCCAATTTTGTGACTTTGGCCTTGAATTTTATCATTTTCAGACTCAAGTCAGAAACTGGCTCTGGGTTGAAGTCATGGTTTAGGCCCCTAAATTCTGACCCACATCTACCCACATTCTGTGGAAGTCTCGTAGGCTCTTCAGTCTCCATAGACTTGCAAAGACCTGCATCTTCACTTCTTACTCCAAGACAGTTTCTCCTTGTGTGTAGGGTCAGAAGGGAGCTGATTGATAGGGAAAAACTAAATGTGGGCAACAGGCAGGTAGAGACACAGTGCTCAGGAAGCTGTGCTAGATGCTGTGCCATATCTTGAGCCCTGGGAGGCCTCTTGACTTGGCCCCTCCCAAAGATGGGCTAGGGGGCTAGGATCCCACCTTGGGGATTGAGGTGGGTTATTCACAGGGTGTGGGGAAGACCATCCAGGAGGTTCAGGGTTTGGGCAGATAAGAGAGACTTCACTTGTCCCAGACATCTCTCTTTTGACTCCTCTTTTAATTTCTTTTTATTTTATTTTATTTTTTCCTCTTTTAATTTCTTTGTTTCCCTGGGATCACTAGGGTGTCTATTTGTTGAGCACAGATGTGAGTTCCAGAGGCCTACTCATAGCTGGGAGGTAGCCAGCCAGAACAGGCAGGATGAAGTGTGCCAGTCGCCTGTCTGCCCTGCCCTTTCCCCTGAGGCAGGTAGTTTTGCAAATGGGCTGGTAGTGATTGAGCCAAGGTGGGGCAGAGAGAAGTGAGTGCTGGGGTGGGGCACCCACACCTGCCCAGTTGGCTGGCTTGGGCTTCCCCAGGCAGGAGCCCAAGCCTGCTTCAGGGTTTGGCAAGGGACCAGAGGCCAGGCTGCTGGCTACACACAGGTAGCCTGGTGCCAGTTGGGCCCGTTGCCAGAATGCCCTGTGGCTCTGTTTACAGGAAGAGCTGGACATCCGGCCAAAGGTGTCATCTCTTCTGGGCAAGCTCGTCAGCTACACCAACCTCACACAGGGCGCCAAGGAGCATGAGGAGGCTGAGAGTGGAGAGGGTGCCCGTCGGAGAGCAGCCAAGGTGAGCTGGTCAGGGGCAACAGAGAGGCTGCTCCTAGGAGGACAGTCAACACCATGGAGTTGGCAGTTTCCCCATGTAGCTGTTAGCATCCCAGGAAAGTAGGTGCCAGGTGTGGTGAGCGTGGACGATGGGCACTGAGTATTTTGGCCTCAAGGAGACTTCAAGGGCTGGGCTGAGGAGGAGTCTCTCAGGGCAGAGGACCAGGGAGGCCCTCAGAAATAATGGTGGGAGCGACCACTGCCTTTACTTAGGCCTGTGTGTGTCCGTGTGTGTGTGAGGCATCATGCTTAAGCAGTGGGCCAGGGTTCTTGCGTGTCATCCTCACAAAAAATCTGTGAGGCAGTTTCTATTATCATCCCCGCCTTACAGGTGAGGAAACTTGAGTGTCAAAGATGTTAAGTAACTTGCCTAAGGTGACTGAGCTAAACAAGGTCAACACATAACACTGGGAGACTTGTGGGTTTCCTGTGAGGTATGTGACTGTGTAGGATGCCAGATCACTGGCATCCTATCAGGATGGATAAGGAACCTTTGGAACTAGGAACCTTGGAGCTGTGTGACCTAGAGCAGATGACTAAACCCTTCTGCCCCTCTCTTTGTTGGCTGCACCGGCAGACCTCTCCAACAGCCCCTGGGTTCCTTGAGTGCTGCTACTGAGGGTGATAGAAGTAAAACACTGCCTCCTGGGGCTTCCCTATCTCTCTCCTAGTCTTATCCCTGTTCACTCTCCAGGACTCTGGCCCTCCAGTCGTCCTCTCTTCAGGATAACTTTGTTGTTATTCAGTCACTTGGTCGTATCCAACTCTTTTGCAACCCCATTGTAGCCTGACAGGCTTCTCTATACATGGATTTCCCAGGCATGAATACTGGAGTGGGTTGCCATTTCCTCCTCCACGGGATCTTCCCGACCCAGGGATCAAACCCATGTCTCCTGCATTGGCAGGTGGGTTCTTTACCACTGAAGCCACCAGGGATGACTTTACCCTAACACTAACCTGTGTGATGGGGCTGTTTAACAGAAGGCTGGGTTGTATTTTTTCCCCCAGCATATTCAGTTTAGAGGCAAAGCAGCTTTTTTCTCCACGTCTCCTGACTCCCTGAGGTTTGGGAAGCAGCTGTGACCCGAAAGGAGCTTGGGTCTGGCACTCTCTGACCTCTTGCTGGAGGTCAGCACAGGCAGGAGGAGCCCTTGGCTGAAATAAACCACATCCCAAGTCTCAGACCTGCCCTTGAGATTTGGGCAGGTCTTTGAGATTACCCTTGAGATTGCCTTTGCCTTTGAGATTACTGAGGTGGGTGAGGAGAGAGGAGGTGAGGACCAGGCGGCTGTGCACCCCTCATGTCGCTCCTCTCGGAGGCAACCCAGCCCACACTTGGGAGAGGACAGCTGAGATCTTGGGATCACACAGACCTGACCCCCACCCTATCCTGTTGGTTGTGATTTTGATGATACTTTCTGAACTGCAGATAGCAGAGAACTCTGTCTATCTCTGGCTATCCCTGTTTAGCCCTGCAGTGAGGGGTGAGATCCTTGGGTAAGAGTCTCTTCTCCTTCCTTTCAGGCCGAGTCCAGGAAGCCAGTGGTTGGGAGTAAAAAGGTCCTTAAGAAAGGCTAGAGTACATCTCAGCAAGGTGTTCTGGGTTGGTGAAGGGCTGTGGTCCCTTGGCCTTATGAAGAGCCCGTGAGGATGCTGGAGTCCAGCCTAAGCTTACCTGCCAGCTCCCCTGGCCCTGGGTTTAAAGATGCAGAGGATGGCTGAGTGTCCCAGCGCTAGTAGCTGTTTCATGGAGAAAGGAGGAGCCTTGTCAAGTCCACAGCAAATCAGCAGAAAGCTAGGGAGCTGGGGCCACTGAGCTGTGGTCCTCACCCAGGCGGGTGTGAGCAGGGGCCTCAGAAAAGAAAACCTTAAAGCCGGAAGGGTGGGCCTCCAGTCAGACCACACCAAGACCCAAGGCAGCCTCTCCATGGCAGCTGCTCTGGCTGTGGCCTGGTGACCTTCTGAGGCTGCCAGAGGTTATTTAGAGATGCAGAAAGCATTTCCGGCCCTGCCCTTTCCCATACTGCCCCTTTTCCCAGAGTGACTCAGCCTTGAATGGGGAGGCCGGGAGTTGCCACTATCCAGTGGGTGGTCCAGGGCCTCTGAGAAGGGCTCAGTCAGAACCCACATGAGGTGTATCTGTCACCTGCTCTGTGCAGGACAGCTTGAGGAACCATTTGTTTTTACTTGGGGCCCTCCCAGGCCCTTCTGGGGTCCTTTAGGCTGTGCACAGATCCTATGCCCGGCCTGGGCCCTGGAGAAGAGTTCCTGTGGCCACAGAGTTCTTTCTCCCACCCCAGCTCTAGAGCAGCAGGCTTTGCTGGGGGTTCTGGTGGAAGCTCTTAGGACCCTACTACTCAGTGCTGTTTTTATGTGGGCTCAGTTCTTCAAGAAGGCACCAGCCCTAACTCTGTGCTTCAGCATCTGCCCTGGCCTCCTGTTTAGCCCCTACTCTGCCCTTAGGTAGTTGAGAAATCCTGCCTGGATGGGCCCATTAAGACAGACTTTCCTTACCTGCCCTCCAGCCTGAGTCTTTATATGCAGGAGTTTCCCAATAGGTTATCCCAGAGGCCTTCTAAGGCATCACTCACTGGGCTTAGGAGCACCTTTTGAGTACCTGCAGGGCCTGCTGATGATAGAACAGTGAACAAGCCAAGTTTACCCCACTATGGTCATTCGAGTGAACAGTTACCATGACCTGTCATGACCACTATGATGGAAGGGTATATCAGATGCTGAGGGAATGCAAGAAGAAGTACCAACTCCACCTAAGGCAACCTGGGGAAACTTCCTGGAAGAGGCAACAGTTAAGTCTCCTGAAGGTTTAACTGAAGAGGAATTTGCCAGGCCGTAAGGCAGGGATAATCATTCCAGGCAGAGCCCAGCACATGCCCTGGTTCAGAGGCTCTGAGAGTCTGATGTTGTCAGGGGCTGACACTGACAGAGGTATGGGGCATGCCTGGTGGCCCAGGCCAAGGAGCCTGGCTCACACTGGATTACAGTATAGACAATGCAGAGGAGTTTTAGTAAGGATGATGCGACTGTCTTGGTTTTCAGAGTCCTGTTCTGGCAGCAGAGTGGGCTGGAGCACGGAGAGGCGGACAGGCATAAGAAGGCACTAGCCAGGTGCCCCAGGTGTAGCGCCCCAGCTTCAGGGGATTAAGGCCGAGGCAAGGCAGACTGATCTCAGGGCACCTTGGGAGCACACTGGGCTGGACTTACTTTCCTCTGGACTGGATGGAGGTGTTGGAGAGAGGGGGGTCAGGAACAACTTTTTAGACTCTGGCCTGGGTAACAGGGTCTGCTGGCTGAGAAAGTGGAGGTCTGATATAGACCTCACTTTCTGGAAGTGTGAAAGAAGAGAGGAAGGGAAGGTGGCAGGACCATGAAGGGGAGGTGAGGCTCAAAAGCTCACATATGAGGTTTGGAAAAGAATCAGGTTTTATACCTTCCCACTCCCCACTGTTTCTTCATTAATGAAGGTCAGCACAGACATCCAGTCAGCTCACCTTCTGTATCCCCAGGTCTCCACTTGAGATGTCCTTCTCCAGCCTGTTCTCTGGCAGAATACCCTGGAGGTGGGGACTGCCAAGCAATGAGGGGCCCCTCTGATGCTCCGTCTCCCCTCTCCCCTCCTGCTCCATAGGCACCCAGCATGGGCACCCTCATGGGGGTGTACCTGCCCTGCCTGCAGAACATCTTTGGGGTTATCCTCTTCCTGCGGCTGACCTGGATGGTGGGCACGGCCGGCGTGCTGCAGGCCCTCCTCATTGTGCTCATCTGCTGCTGCTGTGTGAGTATCGTGGTGGGGCAGGGCCACGGCTTCCCCACAGAGCCCGCCCAGCTGAGCTGCTCACCTCTGCCCTCCTTCCCACAGACCTTGCTGACGGCCATCTCCATGAGCGCCATTGCCACCAATGGTGTGGTTCCAGGTGGGTGCGTGCCATTCAGGCCTAAGGTGGGGAATGGTCCTAGAATCCCCTTTGACATGCCCAGGAACACTCATTCCCTGCCCCCCTGACAGTTTTCTGGTGGGGTCTTAGTCCTTGATTCCATAAAAGTGTCACCACTATGAGCATCCCTGCCTGATAGAATTTGAGATCACTGTTGTTTTATGTTTTATTTGTTTGGGATTTGTTTTGTTTTTAGTATAATAGTAATTTTTTAAAGGGGGTGCTGGGGCTGATAAAGAAGATGATAGGGCATTCCTGGTGGCCCAAGCCAATGAGCCTGGCCCATACTATGGATTGTAGGGTTTCCCACCAGGATGATGAGACTGGACTTGGTTTTCAGAGACTCCACTTATTTATTTATTTAGCCGTGTATTTATTATAACTTCCCTATGGACTCCTGGATACTTATTTTATTCTTTGGTTCATAATCTTAGTACTATCATTTATTTTTTTGCCTGCACCATTCCACTTGGGTATTTGGCTATTCAGGTTGTCTCCTGTGTTAGAATCCTTTTTTATTTTTTTCAAATAACAGTTTTATTAGTATTAATATAAAAGTAATAGGGAAAAAACAATATATGTTTACCAGAAGAGGGATTTAAAGTATAAAAAAATGTAGAAAAAAATTGAAGAGTACCCATAATCCCACCATCCTGAGTTCATAACTGTTAGCCTTTTGGTCCATGGTTTTAGGGTGTTATAAAGTATTGAGATATATTATTTTCCCCAAACTGTGTGTGTGTGTGTGTGTGTGTGTGTGTGTGTGTGTGTGTGTGTGTATCTCAAATGCTGAAAACAGTTTATTTGGTTTTTTAAAACAGGATTGATATTATCTAATTTATGTGATTATTTTCCTGTTCTCTGCTTTTTCACTGTTGTAAACATCGTCATGAACAGTCTTGCACACTGATCTTTGTTCATGCCCCTGGCAGTTTCCTTAGGAGAAGGTCCTCAGTTCAGTTCAGTCGCTCAGTCGTGTCCGACTCTTTGCGACCCCATGGACTGCAGCACGCCAGGCCTCCCTGTCCATCACCAACTTCCGGAGTCTACTCAAACTCATATCCATTGAGTTGGTGATGCCATCCGACAATCTTATCCTCTGTTGTCCCCTTCTCCTCCTGCCTTCAATCTTTCCCAGCATCAGGGTCTTTTCAAACAAATCAGCTCTTCCCATCAGGTGGCCAGAGTATTGGATTTTCAGCTTCAACATCCGTCCTTCCAATGAATAGGAGAAGGTCCTAGAGGTGGGATTATAGCATGAAAAGGAGTAGCCTTTTTAAAGCTTCTTGATCGTTTTTCCCAGATTTTTCACAGATAAGTTTTATCAGGAGCAGTTTCAACCAGAAGCATGGGATGGCTCTTGTCGCCTGCACCCTCACTGGCCCTGAGGCCCAGGGTTGACTCAGTCTTGCCAGGGGTGTTAGACTGTGATGGAAGCACAGATTCAGGGCTGGAGAGTCAGCCATGGACAATTACCCTGTGGCTGGCCCTAGGGGCAAAAAACTAGATAAAATACAGTCCCTTCCCTGGTCTGGAGGGTCAACTAACAGAGTTAGCCCTTGGGAAGGGTGCGGTGTGCTGAGATAGGACACAATCAGCCAGGGGAGTCTGTGGGGACTGACCTAACTCCACTGAGGCTTTGCTGTGGACCTAGAGCTGCCCCAGCAGAGTAGTCATCTCACTGGCCCCTGCTGTGTGTTGGAGTCAAATGAAATCAGGTCCACCCCCAGCCTGGCCACTTATTAACCATGCTATCTTAGGCAAGGTTGTCTAAACCTTCTGCTCATTTGTAAATAGGAAAAGCAGTCCCTGTACCCCTGGATGGTTGTGAAGGGTTGTCATGGGAGAGGCCCTCTTGAAGAAAAACCAGCCTTGACCTGTGTATGCTTTTTCTGTTGTAGCTGGGGGCTCCTATTTCATGATCTCCCGCTCGCTGGGGCCAGAATTTGGAGGTGCCGTGGGCCTGTGCTTCTACCTGGGAACAACATTTGCGGCAGCCATGTACATCCTAGGGGCCATTGAGATCTTGCTGGTGAGTCAGGTTAAGTCCTGGCCGTTTCTGTTCTTGTCAGAACAGCCCGTTTCCTATAAGCCCAGGCTCTTCATGCTCCGCTCTTCTCACGTCTGGTCCAGATCTATGGCTTACAATGAGGAAGGCCTCTTTGAGGGAGAAAGATCTTTGTTCAAGCCAGTGTCCCCTTCAGCACTTTCCCAGTTTGGATCAGGCATGGAAGGGGCCTGGCAGTCTTCACCTTGGCCCTGGATGTTCCAGTTGCCCAGGCAATATTTCAGCTGTGGCAGGTGGTCTGTGAACTACTGCATGTAACGCTATGACGGATCTTGGTGGTGATGCAGAGCCTGTCTCCCGGGCTTATGTGGGCTCTGGGCAGCTCTGTCTCCTCCAGGGTTCTGTGCTAAGGTCTCTCAGATCCATCTTATCCTCTTAACAAAATCAGGGAGGTCAGTACCCTCTCTGTGGGCCCCAAGTGTGCTCTGACTCAGCTTCCTGCCTCCCCCTGGACTGCCCTGGTGGTGGGGAATGAGTGGGAGGGGCAATGGGGAGGATCGGCTAACCAGCGCCCGCCCCTGGGTATACAGACAGTAGATGTTTAGAGGAACTACCTGCCTACTTCCACCTCCAGATCCTCTGTCTGTAGCATGGAGCCTATTCCTGGATATTCTGGGGGGGTTATTTTTGTTTTACTATTTCTGACATTCCTACATTTATTATCTGGATTTCTTCTATAAGGAAATTTGTCCTTTTTCCATTTGTTTATTTATTCAACCATGTATTTATATCAGTATGGACTCCTGGATATTTATTTTTATTCTTTGGCTCATAATCCTATACTATCATTATTTATTTTGTTGTTCCTCAAACTATCCCACTTCTCTTTAGCTATTCAGGTCAGCTCCTGTGTCCAGATCTTTTTTTTTTTTCTTTTTTGTAAATAATAGCTTTATTAAGATATAATTCACATAAAATTCACTGCTTCCCAAGTAACTAAGTGGTAAAGAATCTGCCTGCCAATGCAGGAGATGAGGATTTGATCCCTGAGTCTGGAAGATCCCCTGGAGGAGGAAATGGCAACCCACTCCAGTATTCTTGGCTGGAGAATCCCATGGACAGAGGAGCCTGGTAGGCTATAGTCCATGGGTTGCAAAGAATCAGACGTGACTGAGTGACTAAGCACACACTCCACATAGGAAAATTGAGCCTCCTTTATCTGTCTTCTTGTTTCAGACCTACATTGCCCCTCCAGCCGCCATTTTTTACCCAACAGGCACTCATGACACATCGAGTGCCACCTTGAACAATATGCGGGTATATGGGACCATTTTCCTGACCTTCATGACCCTAGTGGTATTCGTTGGTGTCAAGTATGTGAACAAATTTGCCTCACTCTTCCTGGCCTGTGTGATCATCTCCATCCTCTCCATCTATGCTGGAGGCATCAAGTCTATTTTTGACCCTCCTGTGTTTCCGTAAGTAACCTGGGAGTACCTCCAGGCATTACACTGACATCCTGCCTACATGGATGGCCTTCTCTGTAGAGGCTGCTGGATGGGAGCAAGTTGGGGTCTTGGGCTGAGCAGCTGCTGATGCTTTGACTTCCCCCACGCCCCACAGAGTATGTATGCTGGGCAACAGGACACTGTCCCGGGACCAGTTTGATGTCTGCGCCAAGACGACCGTGGTAGACAATGAGACAGTGGGCACCCAGCTCTGGAGCCTCTTCTGCCACAGCCCCAACCTCACAGCTGAGGCCTGCGACCCCTACTTCCTGCTCAACAATGTGACTGAGATCCCCGGCATCCCTGGTGCAGCTGCCGGTGTACTCCAGGGTATGTGCTCCCTTCCGCCTGCTCACCCCCGCCCCCCACCCCTGCAGCGGAGCAGAAGGAGGGAGCGAGCATGGAGGGACAGGGTAGCACAGAGCCGCCCTTGTGTGGCCAGCTCAGGAACGGGAGGCAGTTCTGGCTGCCTTCCCAGCCCAGCAGTGTCCTCTCAGCCCAGCTCCTGGCAGCTAAATTTCGGTTGAACGGAGCCTGTTTTGGCCAGTGTCCCAGGCCTGCAGCAGCCTCCCAGAAAGTTCTGGCAGCCCCTCTCTCCCCAGCCACCAGCCCCTGACCCTGCCTGGGATAGTTCTCACAGGAGTCATAAAGGGCCTCTGTCTCAGAGGCAGGCAGTGGCCGACAATGGCGGTTCAGCCACCTTTACCTTCCAGACTTCCAGCCAGCCAGTCCTTCCCTGTAGCCAGAGTGGCCCTGTGGCTGAAACCACAGCCATCAGGCTGAGGTCACCCCCTTGAGCCCCCAGAACCTCTTACACCTGCACCCCCTGGCTGGGCTGCCCCAGACTTCCCTGGGGCTGCAGTGGTGATGCAGCTGCCCCCACAGAAAACCTGTGGAGCGCCTACTTGGAGAAGGGTGAGGTCGTGGAGAAGCATGGGCTGCCCTCCAGGGATGCCCTTGGCCTGAAGGAGAGCCTGCCCCTGTACGTGGTGGCTGACATCGCCACGTCCTTCACTGTGCTGGTTGGCATCTTCTTCCCCTCAGTAACAGGTAAGCCCTCTTGCCCACCCATGCTCCCTGCCCACACTCTCGAGGGAGCCCCTGAGGGAGTCTCATTGTTTTTGGAGGCATCATGGCTGGTTCCAACCGCTCTGGGGACCTCCGAGACGCGCAGAAGTCCATCCCAGTGGGGACCATTCTGGCCATTGTTACCACTTCCCTTGTCTGTATCCTTTCCTAGGCCTGGCATTGTGGCATGGGGGTGCGCAGGCAAGAGGCACTTCCTTGTATTTAAGTCACCACCTGGCACATGCAGACATGTATACACATGCATGCATGTATACATCACCCCTCACACACATGCACACATTCAAGGGGTTTGTTTGTACCTGACATGAAACCTCAGCTGCAGGTGTCCTGAGACTTGGGCGAGGGGGGCCCTGGGGCCCTGTGTGGTGAGAGCAGGGGGACAGCAGGGGCAACAGAGGTCCAGCTTTCCTTGACGCGGCTACAGACTTCAGCAGCGTGGTTCTCTTCGGTGCTTGCATCGAGGGTGTGGTCCTCCGGGACAAGTAAGTGAGCTGGGCCCCTCCCTGTGGCTGTGGGCTCAGCTTTTGCTGCCCAAACCCCAGCCCCTCTCATACTCGTGGTCCCACACATGTCCTCAGGCTGCTGGTTGTCAGTGGTGGGTCAGTCCCACCAGGACTTTGGCTTCTAAGAGGATGCTGACATCAGATTGGGTCTGGGCTGGAAGGATAGGGGCTGGTGGACTAGCCTCTGCTGAGGGCCAGAGTTCTGGCCCCTGTAGCTGTCCTTCTTGACCCCTGCCAACCCTCACACTGGGCAGCCCCAGCCAGGGTTTTGGGGGCTCCTTGTATGGAGCATGGTCTGAGCCTGGCCCTTGCAGGTACGGCGATGGTGTCAGCAGAAACCTGGTGGTGGGCACGTTAGCCTGGCCTTCGCCCTGGGTCATCGTTATCGGCTCCTTCTTCTCCACTTGTGGTGCCGGCCTGCAGAGCCTAACTGGGGCACCACGCCTATTGCAGGCTATCGCCAAGGACAACATCATCCCTTTTCTCCGGGTGAGCTTCTTACAGTCCCCCACCATCTGGGTACTTCTAGTCGTGCACACGGGCCAGGGAGAGGAGTAGACAGTCAATCCGTGTGCATGTTATCCTGCCAAAGGCCAGGGCCAAGCAGCCATCCATGGAGAGCTGCTGCTGGCAGAACTGCCTGGACCCAGAAGCCCCAAGGCCTGTCTTCACTCACAACGGAGAAACCTGGGGAATTGGAGGGCGGAGTACCTGTCAGGATAGGTGTGGCTGTGACTTGAGCCCGAGGGACTTGGAGATGATAGAGGCCAGGCTGTGACTTGTATCCTGATGTGTGGAATGGGACCAGCTTCTTCGCTTCTGACCCCATTGCCCCTGGCGTGTGCAGGTTTTCGGCCATGGCAAGGCAAATGGTGAACCGACGTGGGCCCTCCTCCTGACAGCACTCATCGCTGAGCTGGGCATCCTCATTGCCTCCCTGGACATGGTGGCCCCCATTCTGTCCATGTGAGCTGGGGGCCAGGACAGGGCAAGGGTCCTGGGAAAGTCTCCTTGCACCCTCAGCCACACCCTAGCCAGGAGCCCTGCCCAGCAACTCCTGTGTGACCCTGTCTAAGGTTGAGGGCACAGCTGGGAGACGGGTCAGGCTGTTGGGGGATATTTGCCTGGCAGAGCTCAGCCTTCTGAACCTCTGCCTTCCAGTGCTTACTCAGATGTTTTAAAGAGACCAGTAGGTCCCTTGTGCCTCTGTGAGAGACCCCCAGAGCAAGGACAGGGCAAGCAGCAGTCTCAGCACCTTTGATGAGGCACCACTGTCCCATCCACCTATTTGCAAGTTGCTTGCTTTTAAAGTTTTGGAGTCAGCTGGGCATTTGAATCTACCAGTGCCCTGCCGGAGGTGGCAAACACGCAGCAGTTTCCTGGGGCAGAGTTCGTGTCCTTGCTCTGTTCACCTCCGCCAGTGCCAGGGCCACTCTGCCCCACCTCACACACCTTGCTGCACAGCTGGTGCTCCGTTTGCTTGCTCCATTGCATCCAAGCCACCCTTTACCACCCCACGCAGCCTGTAGGACGGACTGAGCTCCCTTCCCCCCGAAGCTGTGCCCCCAGCCACAGCCAGGCCTGCCAGCGTCAGTGCTCTCTTGTTCCCCCAACACACCTCCACTTGTTACCGCCCAGCTTCACCCACACCTGAAACTATCCTTGCTGCAGTTTTCTTGGGTGGTGGCCCCTTACCGCCCATGTCAGGACGTGTCTCAGCCTTGATGCTGTGGCTGCTCCTCCCGCAGCCCTAACGGGACTGAGCACTGCCCCTACCAGGAGAGTCCCTGCCCTGTCTTGTCAGCCCTCCTGCCTCCTTGTCCTTGCTCACCCACCAGCTGAGGGCAGAGGTGGGCAGCCACTCCCCTCAGCCCTCTGTCTTTCCTGGGGGGCTCATGCAGTAGGCCTCTTCCATCCTGGTCTCCCACACCCACTGAAGTGTCCCTCAAGTGTCTCTAATGCAGTGACTCAAAATGGCCCTCCTCATGTTCTCTGATGCCCTCTCCCCACACTCATGAAAGCCCCTCATCCATCTGGTCTCCCAGGCCAGAGGCCTGGCTTTTGTCTAGCTGTATCCAGGCACTGAACTCTCCTTTACACCATCCTCTTCCACAGCTGTTCCCCCTGCCCACAGCCCCCTGGCCTTCTGCCTGGAACATCCTCAGACTAGGCTCTGCGGGTCCCACCGCAGTGTCCCATCCACATCTGGCCCTGGTGTGGGCGAAGTGAGGCTGAGATGACCCGCCTGACCACGCAGGGCAGAGCTGTGACAGTCTCGGCTCCTCATCTAGGCCCAGCCTGGGGAGGGTCTGGGACATCAGGTACCTGGCTGCCAAGGGGGCTGCTCAGTCCCAGCTGCTCCTTGTGCCTCAGGTTCTTCCTGATGTGCTACCTGTTTGTGAACCTCGCCTGTGCTGTGCAGACACTCCTGAGGACCCCCAACTGGCGGCCTCGGTTCAAGTACTATCACTGGTACGTGCCAGCTGGGCCCGAGCCAGGTTGTGGGAAACCATTCTGGATGGGGTTTAAACTTTCTGGGCAACAGTTTCTATTGGTGAGAGTCTGGGAGGTCTTTCCCTGATTCTGGCCCTTCCCCCATCTCTGGCCCAGGGCACTGTCCTTCCTGGGCATGAGCCTCTGCCTGGCCTTGATGTTTGTCTCCTCCTGGTACTACGCCCTGGTCGCCATGCTCATCGCTGGCATGATCTACAAGTACATTGAGTACCAAGGGTGAGTGTGGGTGCCACCCGCTCGGGTCCTCGGGCGGGGCTGCTGGGCTGGGCTGTAGTTGGGTGTGGAGAGCTGAGCCATCCTTCGTTAAGCCACTGTGCCGCTGGGGCTGGGGGGCTGTGACTTGGGCCTGGTCCCTTCCATCCCACATACACATGGACACAAGTCCTGGGTGGGGACTCACTAGCCTTCGGGGACTTCTGCAGGGCTGAGAAGGAATGGGGCGATGGGATCCGAGGCCTGTCCCTGAGCGCCGCCCGCTATGCCCTGTTGCGGCTAGAGGAGGGCCCTCCTCATACCAAGAACTGGCGGTGAGTCACCCGGGCCTGGCGGAGGCAGTCGAGGTTCTCAGGGGGCGGCCCTGTGAGAGGGAAGAGTCACGAGTCACTGGCTTCCCTCCCTAGTCTGTGTTCCCTGTCCTGAACTGCCAGGGGTGCCGTCCTGCTTATCAGGCCCTTGGATCACTGCTACCTGAGGGGGCCTGTGAGCCAAGAGAGGAGGGAGCTGGGCTCCCTGCAGACCTCTGGCCCTAGTCTCAGGCCACCTCTCCATCTGGCCACTCAGGCCTCAGCTACTGGTGCTGCTGAAGCTAGATGAGGACCTTCACGTGAAGTACCCGCGGCTCCTCACTTTTGCCTCCCAGCTTAAAGCCGGCAAGGGCCTGACCATCGTCGGTTCTGTCATCCAGGGCAGCTTCTTGGAGAGCTACGGCGAGGCCCAGGCTGCTGAGCAGGTACTGCTGGGGCGGGAGTCGGGGGTGGGAGGACCCTGAAGCGGACTGGATATGTCCGGGCTGTATCTGGTGCAGAGAGGAGGGGACCAGTCCTGGCCAGCCAGGCGAGAGCTGAGAGCAGGAGCCAGGTGGGTATGAAGGTTCCATCTTGCAAGCATGGTCTCTGGGTGGACAGCTTGCCGCCATCTCCTCACCCACCACCAAGCAGCTCTGTACCCTGGGGCCTGGGCAGGGAACCCAGCAGAGGGGACATGGATGGCCTTGCCTTCTGACCGGGGTATGTTCCCCACAGACAATCAAGAACATGATGGAGATTGAGAAGGTGAAGGGCTTCTGCCAGGTGGTGGTGGCCAGCAAGGTGCGGGAGGGGCTGGCCCACCTCATCCAGTCTTGCGGCCTGGGAGGCATGAGGCACAACACCGTGGTGCTGGGCTGGCCCTATGGCTGGCGACAGAGTGAGGACCCACGCGCCTGGAAGACCTTTATTGGTGTGTGAGACTCAGGGCCTAGGCTTGACCACATAGGGCAGGGGGCAGGGGTCAAGCGAGGGCAGAGGCCAGAGGGTCATGGGCTGACAATCAATAGTGCCCCTCCTCCCCAGACACCGTGCGCTGCACCACAGCTGCCCACCTGGCCCTGCTCGTGCCCAAGAACATCGCCTTCTACCCCAGCAACCATGAGCGCTACCTGGAGGGCCACATTGACGTGTGGTGGATTGTCCACGATGGCGGCATGCTCATGCTCCTGCCCTTCCTGCTGCGCCAGCACAAGGTGGGCCAGGCGCTCAGGCCGTGGTGCGAGGGGCTGGGCCCGTGCAGGGAGGGGGTGCGCCTGAACCACCACCCTCCGTGGCCGCAGGTTTGGAGGAAATGCCGGATGCGCATCTTCACGGTGGCCCAGATGGACGACAACAGCATCCAGATGAAGAAGGATCTGGCCATCTTCCTATATCACCTACGTCTCGAGGCAGAGGTGGAGGTGGTGGAGATGGTGAGACCCCTGCCCACCATAGCCCCATGGATGCCCTGCCCCACCCCCATAGCCCGGTCTTCACGGCTCACCCACTCCCCAGCACAACAGCGACATCTCTGCATATACCTACGAGCGGACACTGATGATGGAGCAGCGCTCCCAGATGCTGCGGCAGATGAGGCTGACCAAGACAGAGCGGGAACGAGAGGTCAGTGACCTTCCTCGGTTCAGGGCAGGGTCCTGCCTTGGGATAGGCCATCAAGTGGGAGCATCAGAATGACTCACTGCAGCCCCCCTTGTTTCCCTGAGGCTGGGTGATCACGCTGGGCCAGCTTGGCCCCCCACAGCGCTGAGGCGACCTCCTCTGGTTGTCCTCAGGCCCAGCTAGTCAAGGACCGGCACTCGGCCCTGCGGCTGGAGAGCCTGTACTCGGATGAGGAGGATGAGTCTGCAGCTGGGACTGACAAGATCCAGATGACATGGACCCGGGACAAGTACATGGCCACGGAGCCCTGGGACCCCAGCCACACGCCCGACAACTTCCGGGAACTGGTGCATATTAAGCCGTGAGTGCAGCAGAAATGGACCCAGCCGTATCCAGGCGTGGGGGCGGAGGTGGGATGGGGGCAGATAAGCCCGGTGGGGTGGTCCAGGGGTGGGATCCATGATCAGCCACGTTATCTGCAGGGACCAGTCTAATGTGCGGCGCATGCACACGGCCGTGAAGCTCAATGAAGTCATTGTCACACGCTCCCATGATGCCCGCCTGGTCCTACTGAACATGCCTGGCCCACCCAAGAACAGCGAGGGTGATGAGAACTGGATCCTTTGGTGGGTAGGTGGGCAGTGTATGAGGTCAGGCTGGGCACGCCTGTCCCTGGATGCCCTGAGGGTTTGCAGGTACCCCAGCTCTGCTTGATGGGCCAGTCTTCTCTGGGTGTTTCCTTGGATGTGGCTTCCTTGACTGATGCCCCACAGACATGGAGTTCCTGGAGGTGCTGACTGAGGGCCTCGAACGAGTGCTGTTGGTACGTGGTGGTGGCCGTGAAGTCATCACCATCTACTCCTGAGCCCAGTACAGACTTGTGGCTTAGAGTGAAGGTGTCCAGGGTAACACACAGCCCCCCTCCAGCACCCACCTGCCAGCCCCTTTGCCTGGCCTCACCCTGGACCCAGCTTTACTAGGTCTCCTTGGAGCCTGGCCCAGACCTGGCCATGGAGATGGATCCGAGGTCCCGCAGGACCCTGAGAGGTTCGGGGACTTGCCCGTCCAGCACGCCAAGATGCCTGTCCTGACTGGAGAAGACTGGTGGGGGCTGATGTGGGGATTGAAGGCAGCTGACCCGGGAGCGCTATTTATTGCATATTTATTGTTTGGATGTCACCATCAGAGAGGAAGGGAAGGGTGACGAGGGAGGGATCCGGCCCAGCCCGCCTGCAGGAAGATCTGACTCAGCTCCTGTGGGCGGGGACCCCCACCAAGCCAAGTTGAATGGAACCAGCCAGCTGAAGCCTGACTTTTTTCAATAAAACATTGTGTACTTCTGGGCCTCCCGCTGCCCCAGCTCTGTTTCCTCTGGCACGGGGTAAGAAGGCGGAACTGAATCCAGGCCCAGAGCCGGCTCCCTGACACTATGCCCCTTTCCGGCAACCACTGGCCAGCCCCATTGGCCAGGCTGTCCCTCCCACTGGCCCTGGGGCCCCTCCCACCCCCACTCCAGATAAGGCCAGCCCAGGACCGCTTTACCGGGCACCAGGCACTAGGGCTGGAATGGGGCCGCCCGGCTCCCCGCGGCAGTGGGTCCTGCTGCTGCTGGGGCTGCTGCTCCCCCCAGCCGCCCCCTTCTGGCTCTTCAATGTGCTGTTCCCCCCGCACACCACGCCCAAGGCCGAGCTCAGTAACCACACACGGCCCGTCATCCTCGGTAAGCCCCCGCCAGGCCCCTGATATACCCAGCCAGCCCTTGGGGAACTGGGGCCCTCGCCCCTGGTAGCAGAGCCTGCCGACGCCCTTCTGCCCATGCATTAGCCCCAATTCCTGCCTCAGTGTTTGGAGGCGCCAGAGGCTTGTCCTGAGGAGAAATCCACCCCTTCTGTTCCTGTGTCTCCGAGGTGTCTTCCCCCAGGTGGGTGGAGTGGAGCGTGGGTGTGCCAGAGGGCTTGGCCAGGGCATTATAAGCTGTGGTCAGCTGTAGCTGTAGCCAGACCCTGGGTCCAGCCCCCCTCCCTCCCCACCGCTCCTTCCTCAGCCCCCACCCCGGCAAGGACGACGGGCCCAGCCCAGGAGAGCAGGAGAGGCCTGTCAGGTCCTGTCCCCGCTCCCCACACTATTTGTTCGCCTCTTGGACTTTAGCAGAGATGGAGAATCATGCTAGCTGTTTGCTCTGTGGGGGCAGGGGTCAGTAGCCTTGGCCCCTGGATCTTCCCTCCCTGGGGGGAGTCTGGACTTTGGGGAGATGGAGCAGGGGATATGAACAGAAAGACAGGATCTTGTCCTTAGTCTCTGGGGGTTGATGGTGGCTATGGGAGAGGAAGGGGTGGGGCTGTCGGGGAGGTGAGGGTGGGGTGGGGTCTACCTCGGGGGAATGGGAGGGATCCAGAGTGAAGGCTGGTGCCCGCAGTGCCTGGCTGCCTGGGGAATCAGCTGGAAGCCAAGCTGGATAAACCGAGTGTGGTGAACTGGATGTGCTACCGCAAGACGGAGGACTTTTTCACCATCTGGCTAGATCTCAACATGTTCCTGCCCCTTGGGGTAGACTGCTGGATTGACAACACCAGGTGGGTGCTGTCACCTCTGGCCTAGTCCCTTGCCCTGCTCCTTAGCCGCAGGTCCGCTGAATGTCCCACTGCCCCCAGGGTTGTGTACAATCGCAGCTCTGGGAGGGTGTCCAATGCTCCCGGTGTACAGATCCGTGTCCCCGGCTTTGGCAAGACCTACTCTGTTGAGTACCTGGACAGCAGCAAGTTGGCAGGTATGTGTGTGCTGAGGGAGAGGGTTGGGCTGTGCTAGGCCAACCCTTGAGAGGCTAGGCTGTGTTGGGCTTGCAGGGGCCATGGCCACAGCCTCTGATGCCGCCGCCTCCCCCACAGGTTATATGCACACACTGGTACAGAACTTGGTCAACAATGGGTACGTGCGGGATGAGACAGTGCGGGCTGCCCCCTACGACTGGCGGCTGGAGCCTAGTGAGTGTCTATGTTTAGGGGGCTTGGGGGGCAGGGCGGAGGCCCCCACCTCCAGCCATGCTGACCCACCCACCCCCCTGCAGGCCAGCAGGAGGAGTACTACCTGAAGCTTGCTGGACTGGTGGAGGAGATGCATGCTACATATGGGAAGCCTGTCTTCCTCATTGGGCACAGTCTTGGCTGCCTGCACCTGCTCTATTTCTTACTGCGCCAACCCCAGACCTGGAAGGACCGCTTCATCGATGGTTTCATCTCTCTCGGGGCTCCCTGGGGTGGCTCCATCAAGCCTATGTTAGTCTTGGCTTCAGGTGAGAGGGCCTGTGATCACTTGGGTCCCACAGGATGTGGGGGGGCGGTGGTGGAAAGAAGCTGACCATGGGCCTGCCCCTACTCCTGTTTCTTCTCACAATGCCCAGCTAGGGGGGTGTTGTCTACCACCTCTGGGAAATAGCCCCTTTCATTGTCCTTGGAGAGCAGTGAGCCCAGCCTGGACTGTTAGACAAACTCCTGAGTTTGTCTCAGCGATGACAAAGGGGAGGTAAAGATGAAGCGAATCCCAGCAATCTGACTCATTGCTGAGTCTGACTGGTCTGTTCCTCGTGGCCTCAGGTCTACCCACTCAGCTCCCAGGAGCTGCTTTGCACACGGATCCTCCCTAAGCTAGGCCACAGCAGATCTGCCAAAGCCAGGGCCAGACCCCAGGAGCCCTTCCTGCTCTTCCCCGAGGACAGATATCTCATGTGGAGCACCTACTGCAGGCTGAACACAGCTGGACATGGTCTTACCCCTAGGAGCTGAAGTGAAGGAAACACTCCCCAGACCACATCAATGTGTGTCAGAGATGGGTCTCATTTCATCCTTCCCAGAACACAGCTCTGAGCCCTGTACAGCACAGGCCATAAGGGTCGACAGACACTTGCCTGAGACAGAACTGCTAGCACTATATCCCCCAACTCACGCTCCTGTCCTCAGGAAACACTGCTCCCCGACCCTCCTGTTGAAGCCCTCCAGCTCTCCCTGTCAAAGGTGCCATCGGGGCTTCTCAGTTAACAAGTACACATGAGCACCTCTGGAATGCTAGGCCAGTTCTAGTCTAGGACTTGGAGTCTGTGTTTGAATTGGGCAAGGACAAGATTGAGTGGCCAACTGAGCTTGGGTTGGGGGGCAAGTTGTGGGCCTGCTGGCTCCAGCCCTGCCCCACCTTGCTCTCTGTCCCCAGGTGACAACCAGGGCATTCCAATCATGTCCAGCATCAAGCTGAAAGAGGAGCAGCGCATGACGACAACGTCACCCTGGATGTTTCCTGCCAGGCAGACGTGGCCTGAGGACCACGTGTTCATTTCCACCCCCAGCATCAACTACACAAGCCGTGACATGCAGCGCTTCTTTACAGACCTGCACTTTGAGGAAGGCTGGTACATGTGGCTCCAGTCACGTGACCTGCTGGCAGGCCTCCCAGCACCTGGCGTGGAAGTGTACTGTCTGTATGGCATAGGCCTGCCCACGCCCAGCACCTACATCTATGACCACGGCTTCCCCTACACAGACCCTGTGGATGTGCTATATGAGGATGGTGATGACACTGTGGCCACACGCAGCACCGAGCTCTGTGCCCGCTGGCAGGGCCGCCAGAAACAGCCCGTGCACCTGTTGCCTCTGCGTGGGACACAGCACCTCAACATGGTCTTCAGCAATCAGACACTGGAGCACATCAATGCCATCCTGCTGGGTACCTACCGAAATAGCACTGCTGTACCCCCGACTGCCAGCCCAAAGCCCATGCCCCCTGAATAAAGACATTCCTTTGCTGTTAAAAGCCCTGACATGTGTTGTGGGTTGAAGGAAAGGCACTAGGGTCCTCACAAAGGATGCATTCATCCGCAGCCGCAGGCCTGGTGCTTTGTGGAGTGAAGAGCTTTGCTAAAGCCTGGGACTGAATTGGGCACCTTGAGATGTATACCTTCCCATGAGAAGGGCATGGCAACCTACTCCAGTATTCTTTCCTGGAGAATCTCAGGGCAGAGGAGCCTGGTGGGCTACAGTCCACAGGGTCACAAAAAGATGGACATGACTAAAGCGATTTAGCATGCGCAAACTGCTGGTTGAGCTGTTTACGCAGCCTGCCTGTGCCTGCCTCTGCTCTGGGCATGAGGACTGGAGGCAGCTGCACACACAGCGTGGAATGGGCATACACGGAGCCAAGGGTACAGGATGTGAAAGATCTGAAATGTCCCTCCTAGCTCCCAAAAGGGCAGGCGAGACCCCGCCTCTGGACAGAGGCTTTTGAGTGCTAGGTGGGTGACAGAAGCACAGGAGTTCAGAATCTAAAAGAGTGACAGCCATTAAACAGGTCACTTCCCTAGTGAAGATTTAATTTTTAGGTAATGGAGCTAAGTGATCTGAGAGAAAAGTATAGAGAGCAACAAGGTGGCGAGTCTTGTGGGTCAGGAAAGGCTTCCCAGAGGAGGTGCTGCCAATGCAGAGATCAGATGGAATGAATGAGAAGGGTGACTGTAAAGACTCGTTTGAGCCTAAGAGCTGTGTGCAACTGATACAGGGTTTAACCGGGGAGAGTGTGATCAGATTTCCAACCTAGAAAAGAGCCCTCTGTAACATGGAGTGTAGTCTGGGGTGGAAGGTGAAGGGCAGGAATTGGGAAACCAGGGAGGCCAGTGCTGTGCCCAGCGGGGAGAGGATGCTAGCTGAGACAAGCAGTAATCCAGAGAAAGAAGTGGCTAGATAAAGGGTCCTAGATAAAGGGTGAAATAAGGTTTGGCCATGGGCAGAGCCCAGCATGTCTACAGGCCACCTGAGGGACAACCATGATGCCTTCCCATGAGGGAAGACGGCATCTGAAACATGGAAGACAGATCAGCATCACCCTGGCCGAGAGGACTGAGCCTCAGTGTTTGGGTTTTGGGAAGAAGGCAAAGGCAGCAAACAAGAGGCAGGAGTTGGTAGAAGGACAAAAGGCAGCCATGACTGATGCTGTTGAAGACGGGTAATAAATAAGAACAGAACTGGTCAATGTGATAGCCTTAGGGCACTGAGACTTGAAGTTAGAGATGGGGTCAGGGTAGGCAGAGCCCGGGGCTCAGGCTGGACAATGGCCAAAGAGGAGGAATTTGTCCCTCTGTTCAGACACAGGACCCAGGAGCAGCTTGGAGTGCCAGGCAAGGGACATCTCCCCTCTTCCTAAGCTGCGAAAGACCAGAGCTGAAGGTGAAAGTGAAAGAGAAGATGCAGAAAAGGACCAGCATGCTCTAAGGAAAGGTGAAAGCGAAAGGGGGAAACTCAGTAGTGCAGCCCGGCAGAGGACAAGCCTTCCGCCTTCTTTCTTTCCTGCTGATCCCACTCCTCTGACTCCCTGCCCATCTGGAGATGCAGAAGACAGTGCTAGAGCCCCAAAGGGGCTTCTCCTTCGAGAACTGTGAGAAGTGAGGGCGGGAATGGTTGGTTCCCCAGCTGCCTATGCCCTTCAGCGAGGGCTTCCGGGAGTGAGCACCCTAGGATCTTTAAAATTCCTGGGGGCGAGAGTAGGGTAAGGTACGTGTGTTGAACGACTTGGGTTCCCAGGTTTACCCCAGGAGGTGAGGGAAACCGGGACAGAGGTGGTGGATGTGATGGGGGTCCCAGAAAAACTCAAACCTGGGCCTCTCCTCTCCGTTTCCAGAAATGCAGCCTTGCAACGCGCCCTCCCGGGGCTCCGGGTCCCTCACGCACGCAAGACCGGGACCACCATTGCAGGCCTTGTGTTCCAAGTAAGCAGGGAGCTGGGATGGCGCGGCCTGGAGGGGCGGCGGGAAGCGGGACGTGGGGACTAGGCCAACGGCTCCTCCCCCCGACCCCCAGGACGGGGTCATGTTGGGCGCGGATACACGGGCCACTAACGATTCGGTCGTCGCGGACAAGATCTGCGAAAAGATCCACTTCATCGCCCCCAAAATCTAGTGAGCATTCCCCCGCCTAACTGTCCCCCTCCAAGAGCCGCCCCCTCGTTCCCATCCCGGGTGCCAGCACTTCCCAGCAACGCCCACACAGACCCCTCCCTTCGCCCTCAGCTGCTGTGGGGCTGGAGTAGCCGCGGACGCCGAGATGACCACGCGGATGGCGGCGTCCAACATGGAGCTACACGCACTGTCCACGGGCCGCGAGTCCCGCGTGGCCACCGTCACCCGCATGCTGCGCCAGACGCTCTTCCGGTGCTGAGGCGGGTCTAAGCTGACCCTGAGGAGGGGCAGCTGCGGGAAGGGCGGGGCTGCGAGGTTCGAGAGCACGGAAGAGGCGGGCCTAAGAGGAGCTAAGAGGCAGACTGCTAGGAGCGCTGTCAGTTATGGGGAGCCAGATCGCGGGAGAGGGCGGGTTCGGACGCAGGGGCGGTTTCGGGGCGGGGCGGGACCTGGCCTCCGGTGCGTTCCGCTGACCGTACCCACTCGGCGAAAAGGTACCAAGGCTACGTGGGAGCGTCGCTGATCGTGGGCGGCGTGGACTTCACAGGACCGCAGCTCTACAGCGTGCACCCCCACGGTTCCTACAGCCGGCTGCCCTTCACGGCCCTGGGTGAGCGCTTCTGCCCGCTCCCCACGAACCTCGCTATGCCACCCTGACCTCAACGTTTTTCCCACGACTGGGCGGCCGCACTTGATCTCAGATGCCCCTCTTGCTTATAGGATCCGGCCAGGATGCGGCCATAGCAGTGCTGGAGGACCGGTTCCAGCCGAACATGACGGTGAGTGACACCTGCCCCACCCCACGACTACCACCACATTACGCGAGCATTGATGGGAAGTGCACCCGCGAGCGGGGAAACGCAGAGGAACCCTGGCCTAGTCGGGGAAGGCTTCTCGGAGGTGACGACTGAGTGGAGACTGAGGGGCCAGTGGGATGAGGGTGAGGTGCTATTCTAACAGTGCCAAAGCTTGGACTGCCTCAGAAGTCAAACCTCAGAGTGCCATTTGAAGTTGAGGAGAGAGGAACAGCAGGTGGGGTCTGGGGTCTGGATTTTGTTTGGGATGGATGGAAGCAGAAGGCATATGTCACTTTATAGGCGGCTAAGGCCCAGAAAGAAAAGGCAGTGAGTGGGGAATTGGGGGTGGGTGAACAGGCCAGTGGAAGCAGAGCCACAAGTGTGACTCAGAAGTTTGTGAAGATGGGGGCAGTGGGAATATGGAGTCACTGTACAGGGGGAAACTGAAACCAGGGTAGAAGAGCTTGGGGTGGATATGGGGGTGTAGGGTGAGAGAGAGGGGAGTTTGGGTGTGAGCAAATGAGGCCTGGCTTCAAGATGAACTGTCTCCAGGCTACAGCCTAAGGGCGATCTAGAAGGGTCCATGAGGCCACACTGACACATCATTGCAGCTGGAGGCAGCGCAGGAGCTGCTGGTGGAAGCCATCACTGCAGGGATCCTGGGTGACCTGGGCTCCGGGGGCAATGTGGATGCATGTGTGATCACCGCGGCTGGCGCCAAGATGCTGCGAGCCCTGAGCTCTCCCACAAAGCCGATAGAGAGGTAGGAGCACCGGGGATGGAGGAATCCCAGGGGAGGATGGATGGGGTGGTAGCGAGGGAAGACAGGGCTATAAAGAGAGGACGGGACACTTGATGGGCCCCTTTTGAGGGGTCATCCCTGCTTCTTCCCAGGTCCAGCCAGTACCACTTTGCCCCTGGGACCACACCTGTCCTGTCCCAGACAGTGGTGCCGCTGACTCTGGAGCTGGTGGAGGAAACTGTGCAGGCCATGGATGTGGAGTGAAGTAGGCTGAGGCTTAGAGCTTGGAACAAAGAGGAATAAACCCAGAAAACACAAACACCTACCTTGACAGATGACTGTGTCATTCTTGGGTGGAGGGGAACAGCAGCCAGCAGGGCTCTGTGGCTAAGGTGTCCCTGCAAAGGCCATTCCCTCCCATGGCGGCAGTCTGGCCTGAGGGGCACCATTCACTCACCACCTTAATCATCTACCCCTCTAGAACCCCAGCCTGGCAAGCATTGCAGGCTCAAGGTGGAAAGCCCCCTCTCCATACCATGGAGGCTCCCCTTAGCACTCCCATGCCTGGCTCTTGCCCTCTGGTCCACTGTACAACCCAAAAGGCTCTAAGTACTGCCCCCACCTAGAGCCTTTACCTGCCTCATCAGTGACCAAGGACAAAGCCCACAGCTCCCAGTCAGACCCCCCCCACCCCCATTGCCCCACTATGGCTAAAATGCTGATGGAGGAGCTGCTTCCTGATTCCAAGGTCAAGTTCTCACAAGCACACTCCTACAAGGCCTTTATCTGTGAAACCCCTCTGATGACCAGGCAGACCTGAGGTACTAACACAATGCTGAGCTTCTGTTTGCACTTGTTGGGCTATGATGAGGGAGACTGACTGTTTTCTGATTGCCAGGGGTCACAGGGCTCACATGGGAAGAGATGACATGACACATTTATCCAGCAGACTTTTGCTGAGCACCCAGGTGCTAGGTGCCGGTGGGAGCATCCTGCCCTGGGAGAGAATGGCTGAATTCCCCTGGAGCTTTGGAGCTGCTAGAATCTGCCCAATCCCTGGGGAGAGCCTACTCCAGGCTGGACATCCCTAGGTCCCTGATTGTGCTTCTTCCCTCAGTGTTTTATTATGAAGATTTTTATTTTTATAAACATAAAAATTGAAAAAATTGCACATTGGGGGCTTCCCTGGTGGCTGAGTGGTAAAAGAATCTGCCTGCCAGTGCGGGAGACAGGGGTTTGCTACTTGGTTCAGGAATATCCTCCATACTGAGGAGCATGGGCCACAACTACTGAGCCTGTGCTCTAGAGCTGGGGAACCTCAACAATCGAGCCCACGTGCCACAACTACTGAAGTCCATGTGTCCTACAGCCTGTGCTCCACAATAAGAGAAGCCACTTCAATGAGAAGCCTGGGCATTGCAACGAAGAGTAGCCCTTGATCACCACAACCAGAGAAAAGCCTGCATAGCAACGAAGCTCCAGCACAGACAAAAATAAGTAAAATTATATATATATTTAAAAAAATCTTTGTAAAGTAATTAGCCTCTAACTAATAAAAATAAATGAAAAAAAAAAATCTTCTCCCTGAAAACCATCAGAGAGTTTGGGTTTAAAAAAAAAAATTGCACACTAAACACCTATATACCCACCACAGGCTTTACAATTAGTATTTTGTTATATTTATCCTTCTCTCCAGGATATTCTATCCTTCTCTCCAGTCAACAATTAACTTATCTGTTTTCTTCTTGTTGTTTTGACTGGTGTGTTCTTGAATCAGCCACAGTGCTCACACTCCTAGGAAGAGGCAAACCAACATACCCACTGCAACTCTGCGCACGGGTGTCTTCTCTCCCGCAGTTCAGGCTCGGCTTGGAGCTCTTCAGTGAAGGGGCTGTAGATACCAGGGCTTGTCCATGGGAGCCCCAAGGCCTGGACGCTGTCAGGCCTGATGGCTGTCACCCTTCTACCCCTGGCCTCCATCCAGGGTCGGTCAGTCACCAAGAGCTCATACCTTGCCCTCCTGTGCACAAGACCCTTCCTAGATATCATCACGAACAGTGTGGGCTCTGGAACCAGACAGATGAAGCTTTGGGTCCAAACACACCATGTGGCAGGAGAGTCACCACCTCCCTGAGCAAACCATGACTTCTGTTCCAAGTTGATAAGGAATCACTGAGATGATGTGTTAGGATTTGCCCTGTCCTGGCCACTGGCCCTGGCTCTCCACAGTAGAGCTGTACTGGTAGATACCAGCCACCAGGTGGTCACCATTAAGGCTAAGCACAAGCCCTTAGTACCTGGTGCTCAACACTTGGGATGTGAGGTGGGGAGCCAATCAGAGGCCAGGCTTTGGGGGATGGAGGAGGTGAGAGCCTCACACCTGGGCTCTACCTGATAAGGCCTGGGTGGAGGGCTCTGAACAGGAGAACCCTCCTGTTGACGCAGCATGGAAAGGAGCTCCTTGGCTTCACTCCTGGGACTTTGGCCCAAGGACAAGGAGACCCATGAAGCCAGGCCCAGTTCTCAGCCTCAAGTCTGCTGTAATGTTGCTGCTCAGACTGACCCTTAGCCTGGTCCTCCTTGGCTCCTCCTGGGGTGAGTGGGCCTGGTCCAGCCCTGACTGAACAGCCTTAGGGCAACCCAATACCAGCCCAGGCTTCCTGCTCAGGGGCTCAGAGAAGGGGCTGGGGTGGCTAGAAGGCAAGCAGGTAGACAGAGTGGGCAAAGGAAAAATGATGTGGCAGGGCTGGGAGAAAGCAAGAGGTGGTGGGCAGGGGCCAGTCTCCCAAGTGGGACAGGAGCTTGGGCCAGGTCCAGGAGCAGGGGAGGGTTTAGGAAGCTTTAAAGCAAAAGGTGGATGTGCAGTTTAAGAAGAGTCATCTGGCTGTATGTGGGGTCCAGACTGCTGAGGTCTGGAGCCAATGGAGAGGTTAGGAAGGAAGGGGACTACATACACCTGGGTCAGGGAGAATGGCCTGGGATGGGGGGTGGAGTAGAGCTGGTGTGAGTAGGATGGAGACAGATGTGGCAGAATGGACAGGACTTCGGGGCTGGTTGGATAGGGCAGTTGAGATTGCTGTAGAGGCCCAGAGGTGCTCACGAGAGAAGGAGCAGTGCTAAGAGCCCTCTTGATCTGGACCCCTTTGGAGACACAGCCTGGGGGCACCCAGGAGAGAAATGGGCAGGAAGCAGGTCCTTTCCAGTCAAATGGCCAGGCTGCGGCGTTCCTGCCATTAAACCAGTGTTGCACTTCAGCCAGAGGATTGTCAATGGGAAGAACACAGTGCCGTGCTCCTGGCCCTGGGAGGTGTCCCTGCAGGTGCAGGACCCTGGCGGTGGGGCAAGATCTCAGGTGTTTCATGCCTGGGTGTAGCCTGGGCCCACCCCCACTGCTAACCCCTGACCCCAGGACAGCAAAGGCTTCTGCTTCTGCAATGGGTCCCTCATTGGCCAGTCCTGGGTGGTCACGGCTGCCCACTGCAATGCTGTGGGTGTGCCTCCCCTCTCCCTGCCCCACCTCCCCACTGCCTTGCTCTGGAGACCCCTGTCTTGTCATTCTGCCCTCCCTCTGGCTGCCCAACCCCACTCTCACTGCAGCCCTGGCTGCCACTTTGTCATCCTGGGTGAGTACGACTGAGTATCTGGGGCTCAGCCTTTGCAGGTCTGTCCATCTCGTGGTGAGTGCCTGGGCTGCAGATGGGAAAGGAAGGGTAGGCAGTGTAGGTGTGTAGGCTGTGGCGGTGAGGAACTTACAGGATGCCCTGGCCTAACCCCTGGCACCCATCACCCTGGAGACCTGTGCCCATGCCCATCCTACACGGCCCCTTCCTGGCTCCACAGGCACCCTTCCTGGAATCCCACCACCATGAACAATGATCTCACATTACTGACACTCGGCTCCCCAGCCCAGTACACAATGTGCATCTCACCAGTTTGCCTGGCTTCCTCAAATGAGGCACTGCCTGAAGGCCTCACATGGCCAGCTGGGTGCCTCAGTGGTGTGGGTAGGAACTTGGGTCAAAAATCTGGGTGGAAGGGAAGGGTAGGGGTAAGCCATCTGGGGCCTAACCACCCCCACCCGGCCCATAGGCAGTGTGACTCGGGCACACCTGCGGTGGCTAGTTCTGCCCCTGGTCACCGTGAGATGGTGCCAGCAGTACTGGGTCTCATGCATCACCAGCTCCATGATCTGTGCAGGGGCCTCCTTGTGCCAGGTGAGCGCTGGACCCCTGTCCTGTTCTCTGCACTTTCCTGTGGTACCCCCACTCCCCATGCAGACTTCTCTCCTCTCCTTCCGCCAGGGTGATTCTGGAGGCCTCTTGTCTGCCAGAAGGGGAACACACGGGTGCTCACTGATACTGTCTCCTGGAGCACCAGTGACTGCAGTGTGCCCATGCCTGCCACGTACACTTAGGTCAGCAGGTTCAGTAACTGAGTCAATCAGGTCAGAGCCTACAACTGAGCCCACCACAGGCTCCGCTGGGGTCCAATAAATACCCCCCATCCTGCTGTCTATTCTGTCTTCCTGGTTCAGGGAAAAGGAGAGGCTTTTGGGGGTTCCACTCCCCAAGTGAACTCTGTCCTCTGGCCCAACATGTACTGAGGAGTCAAGATCCTCCTAGACTAGCTATGTCCAGGCTGAGCTCCCCCCACCACCCTACCACCTCCTGGGCAACCCCTTGGTCCACAGCAAGAAGGCCGTGCTGTCAATGAAGGGGCAGCTTTCCCTGGGGAAGGCAGCCTGTTTATTGAGTACAGAGGATACCTTTACAGACTGAGTACACAAAATAAATAACTGCACATTCTCCATCCACAGTCCATGGCATCACAAAGGCCCAAGTCTCCAAACTCCCTCTGTCCTACCCTCGGGACCAGGTGCATCTGGCCAAAATAGGAAATAAATCCCCAGAGGCACCTGGGGAAGTGGGGGAATTCTGAGGCCATGGGACTTGGGCTTGCCACCGCCTTGTGCAAGGAGCACTGGAGACAGAGGAGCGGGTGTACAAGGCACAGGTGACGTGGCCCAGAGTGGTCTCTTTGGGCGTGGTTCCCACTGAAGGTGGCACATGCAAAAAGTTGAGGAACTGAGAGCCAAACCCTCCCTGCTTGGCAGGGGACCCACAGTCCAGCTAAAGCTAAAGTTGGGCCCTGGCTCCTCCCCACCTGCAGAGAGCAGCTGTGGAGGGAGGGGGCTTGGACTCCGGGCCCCCTGGTCTGTGGTGGAGGGGAGGCACAAGACTGACGGGGGATGGTCTTGCTCAGACCTCTGGGAAAGCAATCATCCAATTTCACCCACCTCTCATGGGGCTCCCTCCGGACGGAGATACAGTGGGGCCCAGAATGGAAGGGTAATGCTGTGAAAAGAAGCGGGGACAGGGTGGACCAAGCAAGGCCACCATGAGGAGGGCAGTGCCCCCAGGCACTCAGGGTTCAGAGGCAGGTCACACAGTACGGCTAAGTTCCAGGGGGAGCTGCAACAGAAGCTCAGCATAAGGGGAGACAGTTGAGCAGCCCCAGGACCCTCCTTCCTTCCCACTTCCTCTTGGAGGATAAAAGGAGGGCACAGTGGGCATTCCTAGGCAGTCCACACTTGTGCCCGACACTAGATGGCGCCTTTGTGCAGCTGCAGAGGAGGGAAGAGCAGCGCCTGAAGTGAGGCAGCAACCGGCAGCACCAAGGCTGGAACCAGGGCTGATGCTGGAACCCAGATGCGGCTCTCCCTCAGAAGCCCCTGTCCTTTGCTTTGACCCAGGTGTCCCCATCCCCCAGGTAGCAGCAGTGGGGCTCCTTTTAACTCCCCACAGTTGGGAAGGAGGCACCCGGGGAATAGAAAGAACGGGCATCCAAGGGAGAGAGTGAGGTGATAGTAGGCTCTTCAAAGAAGGCACTGAGGGTGGTGGGCTGGTGGCAGGAACCCTCAAGGTCAGAGGCTGGAGCCTGGAGCAAGCCTGCTACCAACACACCCACACAGTCCAGAGGGCCAAGAACCACTTCACGGTCTTCCCACGAGAGATCCTGGCAAGTTCTGGGGCCAGGAGGGGTCCCTGGGGACACCGGGAAGGAAGACAGATTTGGGCTGGGAGGTGGAAGACTGTTTAGACTTAGCCAGGGGCTGAAAGTCCAACCAAGGCACAAGTTATGGGCCTACCTGGGCCTCTCACTAGAGCATAATCATGAGGGTCAGGATGCCATGAAACATGGGGGCGGGGGGTTAGGGAGAAGGCTTGGTAGGGGAAAGGGGAGTTCCAGAAGTAACTGTCCCAAAGAGTCCTGAGACCACAGGACACCCTCTACCTGGCAGTGCATGCCCCTTTGGTCTAGGGGAGAGCCAAGAAAGAGGTGAGACTGAAGGCCAGGTCCCGCCCTTCCCCCAATATATACCAGAGCACTTGTCCACCAAGAGGAGCATCTGTGCCAAATCAGATTCAGGGTTCATAGGGCCCAGCACTCCCTCCGCCCTGTCGCACCAGGTTCAGGCCCAGGGTGAAGATGGGGGCTGCTGAAGGCACAGAGAAGGGGCTGGGGCCATTCACCTACCCTGGACCATGCAGGTCTATCTCTAGAGAGGGCGCTGGCCCAGCACTGTGTGGCCAGGCTGGGGCCCACCATGTCTGCATCCTGCTGGTGGCTCAGCCGTTGTACTGCTGCTGGTAGCGCAGGTTGAGCTCCCGCAGCTCTCGCTCCCGCACTCGGCGGGACTTGTTGGAGCGTGTCGAGCGGCTGGACCGCGTGGACTGGGCAGATTTAGTGCTCTGGCAGCGCGAGGAGGCGCGTTTGAGGAGGTTCTGGGAGATAGAGCGGTGCAGATTCTTCATAGACGAAGAGGCTGCCATGCTCACCACCCACGGATGCCTCAGGGCCTGCAGTGCAGTCATACGGGCGCCAGGGTCCACCGTCAGCAGGCGGTCAATGAAGTCCTTGGCCAGGTTGGACACACTGGGCCAGGGCTAGAGGCCAAGGACAAGCATTAGAGCGAGCACACTAAACACTGCCCTCCCCAGGACAAAGATGTCACCCACACAGCACTCAAGACCTGTCCAGCAGCCCTGCGCTCGCCCCCCAGAGAGAGGCACCGCCCCGCTCCTCCCACGTAGGTCATTCTGAGCCTCCCCTTCCCACCCAGTGCTGAGCAGAGGCTACTCTCCAGGTGACATGGAGTGTGACAGAAGGACCCACCCCTCCCCAAGAAACAAACTTCTAAGGTGCCCTGGACCAAAGCCTGTTTCAAGGAGATGGCCCCAGTCAAGACCACCCATCCTATCCTAGGACACAACTCAGGGAGATCTACTGAGAATGACCAAATCTTCCACCCATCTTAAGCTGCACTTAAGCTTCCATGCCGGGACACCCCATTCCAGGCCACTTACTAGTCCTTACAGAGAGGGCCTGTCCTCTCTCCAACTGAAAGAGTGGCCAAAATGACCACTGCATTCTCTGCATCAGCCTCAGCCTCTCAGCCAAGGAGAGAAGAGGAAAAAATTCAAGGCAACTAGATTTCTTCACTTGCTGGGAGGGCAGAGGGATCGTGGGAGCCCAGCAGGGACCGAGACCCTTCTCAGGGGCACTTCTCATGTCTGCATGACTTCCCTAAGTCACACAGCACTCCTGGCAGTGTCCTGTACCAGCCTCATCTTTCCTCAGCACAAAGCCTGCTCAGCTACATGCACCCACAGCTGCCTTATCATAGCCACACACCAAGCAGTTATCTGTCTCCAGGTCTCAGCCTGCACAACCCTTCACCTGGCTGAATCACCAGTTCTCAGGTTAAAAGACATTTGCTCATACTCCCTCTTAGCCCCCAGTGCTAAACAATTATTCCAACAACTTCAAGTTTACTGTGCTCATTAGACCATGCTCAGCTAATCACCAGTGCCTACTGCTGGGTATAAAGGAGGCACACAGCAGATAGAGGCTCAGTGAGCAAACAACCCATGCATGGCACCTGATAGGTACTCTCTCCTGCAGCTGCTTCTAGGACATGGGGCTCAGAGGCCCAGGCCCTCAAGTTACTCTGCTGAAGGAGGGCGCGTGCAGCATGGCTCTGAGTCCCTGCCTCTCTTGGGAGTACTCTGGCACAGAGTCGGACACTCTCCAAAGGGTGGGTGGCTCGGACTTTTGCTGAGCCTGTTCCGGATGGCTTGGTTGGGAGGTCAGGGAGACCATCACCCTCCTTTTTGCCAGGTGAGAGGGTGGTCTGCCTGGTCTACCCCCATGGTGCCCTTCACCTTAAGGAACCCCGGAACACACACACCAAGGGACTCAGGAAAGTCTGAGAGGCCACACTTGGGGCGGCTGCATGTCCACCCAGCAGACGCTCTTACACACTATCACCACCCTGCTTCTGGCTTCTTTGAGCTCCAACTCTTCCCCAAGCCCTTCCCCACCGATGCTGATGTACTGGTGGGGGGCAGGGGGGCAGTGGGTGGAAGGCGGGGGAGACAAAGAAAAGACCCATCTGGAGTCCTGAAGATGGGATGGGACGACTTGGGAGTTGTTATCATTACTTGCCCTTTGGAAGGCAAATCTCAAATCAACTTCTACTGAGCCAAACTGGAAGAAAGTGACCGAAAGCCCAGGTTTCTAAACAGCTACCTACCAGGGTCCTCCTCACCAGTGGGTCAGCTCCCAGTGATTCCTGGGAGAGCAGTGAGGGAGAGCAGGGAGCAACAGCCCTCCCACACCGGCAGCCTGGTCCAGTTTCCCTGCAGGCGGGCCTGTGCAGCTTGGGGCTCCGATACTGAGGCCAACATGCAGGGGGACTGGACTGGACAGCTGCCACGCAGCTGCAGGCTCACAGTGCCAGAAAGCCGGGGGCTTGCTGCTGCCACCTGAACACAAGCAACCACTGTGAGGGGCCAGCCAAACTAGACCCCAGACCATCTGCAGCCCCGTCACTCATTTGAGAGCGAGAAAAATGAAGGCATAATGTGGCCACGGATGGACAGAGCAAACCCGGAGATGGAACAGCAGGGCTTGTGTTGCCCTTTTATGGTCTCCAAGAAAAGGAAAAATCACTGGGGAGCACGCTGCCACTCAGCCTGGCCTGCTGGTGGGACAGCTCCAAGATAGGGCCACAGCACAGGCTAGTCAAACAGGGCTGGGGCATGAACTCTGCCCCTGGCCCTTGGTCCGGTCTAGCCAGAAGAGAGGCAGCTCCTCCTCAAATGACAGAACAAACAAGTCAGGAGCCTGAACATGGATGGATGGGAGGCACCCCCCACTTCAGATCCATACCCTGGCAAACCAAGGCCCCCTGCAGCTCTGGATCAGTCCAGGGTGGTCTCAGAGGCGCCTCTCCCCAGACCTGTACTGGGGACTTAAGCATCTTTGTCTCCAAAGTGACACAGCTCACACCAGGCATCACCTCCTGCTGCTTGTTGCCGTTAGAACCAAAGTGAGCCCAATTGATTGGCCCCTCCTCTTCCCCCCAGGCGCTCGCCTCTCCAATTACTGTGTATGGAC